GTTGCAAAAGCTATGGGACCGAGTTGACCCACGTGACTTTCGCCACTACACTGAGCAATTGACTTGTAAGATTGAGGATGTAATTAAGTACAAGGGTATGGCTACTATTAATTAATAATAAGTTCCATTTTCACAGAGATTCATAAGAAGACTAAAAAATTATGATTTTTGGTAAATAAGGTCTCATTTGTTGAGTTTCGCTTAAGTAGGCCATTCCCGGTGGCCTCAGCTCTTACCTGTTTCGATCACTGTTGCAGCGACCAAAATCCATGACCACACTGATGTAGGTCTGTAAAACATCGTGTGCAGGAACGGTTGCAGGTCTATCGTCTTTATTGTAGATTCGCATCAGACTGCCTCAAAGCGTGGATCAGCAAGAGAGAGAATAGAAAGGAGAAATTGTTGCTGAGGCTGGAGGTAGTAGAAAACAGAGTAGGCAGATCTCGCACGATAATTCCTGGCCCTGATTCCTGGCCCCCAAAGTCGCTCCTTCGGTTTGGAGAGTCCAATGATACACCCTGAAGCGCATCCCGGGTCGATCTTAAGAGTGCATGAGGCGCAGCATTCAGCTCAGCCGTCCTCGCTGTCGACGACCTCACACCCAGCATTTCAGAAATGAGAACAAACTATGAAATCCATCAGCCCTTGAAAATAATTCTAAAATTCCGCCTTGGACCAAATGACTGACAAGCAGGGTTGGACAGGAGGCCCCTCGACGCGGGGTACTTTCGACATTCTCTGGACGTGCGTCTCCACGTTAGCATTATGTGTATGGACAGCGGTCCATCCAAATATACCGCTACTTCCTAGTACCAAGAGTTCTCTTCTGACTCGGATCGGAATGATGATTGTGGCCATTGTTTTCCCGGAAGTGATCATTTCTTCGGCGTGGAGACAGTTGAGATCATCTCAATGGTTACGGAAAGAAATCAATCGCATAGCTCAGAACAGACAGGACAACTATGCGCAGGTATGTGCCTCTGTAGAAGGAAACTTGTTTCACTATCTCAAAGAAGTCATACTGATGTTGAAAAGTACAAGGCGCTTAGGGGTCATTACTCTCCCCACACTCCTAGGCCGACAGACGATCAAAGTTCTCAGAAAGCGCTCCTGCCCACCTTCGAATTTGAGACTGTATCAGGAGATACAGCGTTCTCACCAAGTACTTCATATCCCATCATCGATTTGAAGACTGGTGGGACAAAACGTGCTTTGAGAGATAGTGAGGTCGAGAGCAAATCACTAGTCTGGAATTCCGAGCAGGCCTTCTTCGCCGTCATGGGAGGCTTTGCTATTGAGAATGAATACTTGGACGAAAAGAACATCAAAGTCACCCTCCGACGGATCCTCACCGTCAACGGCGTTCTTCAGTTGGCCAAGCTTGGCCTCATGCCTGTGATCGACCCAGAAGATATCAGCGAACGGAGCAAAGCTGACAACATAGCCAAGATATTTGTCCTGTCGCAAATCATATGGTTCGCGCTCCAAGTCATAGGAAGACTAGCCTCAAAGATACCTGTCACTCCACTCGAGATCCATACTGCTGTCCACGTCGCATGTACGATTATTATGTACCTTCTGTGGATGAAGAAACCCTATGATGTACGAGGATCGGTGCCTCTCAACAATCCTGACGCGAAGGATATAGCAGCTCTCTGCAATTTCTACACAATCGCAGCAAAACTTCATGCCGAAGCATACATCAAGTATGAGAACGCTCGGGTGGCCTATTGGAAAGACCGAGTCGTACGTGCTGCCAACAATTTACTGGATCACGATCCTCCACCGAACCCTCCTATCAAGGAGGTTTTAACATCATCAGTTCACCGATATCTATCATACGCAACAGAGCTACATACTTCTTCTAAGAATGCGGAAGAACATGTTCTTGTTGCCTTGGCTCCTTCCGCACAGCGCGGCATAGAGATCCTACGAAAGCATGGGCATTCCTCTGACCACTCCATTAATGACTTGAAATGGAATCTCCTTTGAGAGAATTCCGAAAACTTCGCTCTCAAAACAGTATGGGGTGGTTGGAGCACAAACACTGGACACGAAATGTCGTTTGATAAAGGGGTTCACTTCCTCTTTAACTTCCTGTACGGCGGTGGTCATCTATCTGCGTGGGCCTCGTCGTCATTCCCGACATCAGTAGAGCACTGGTTGTGGGTAGGGTCTGCTCCTATGCTGGCCTGCATACCACTTCTGGGTGCTCTGTGGATTCTATGGTGGAGAGCGGTCAACTCGAAACGGACATGGCTGTGTTTTGTCCGAAATGGCGACTTAGATATCCTCGCTGCTCCATTCTTCTTTGGCGTCATGTTGGCTTACCTGGTTGCCCGGTGCTACTTTCTTGTGGAGTCGCTGATCAGTCTGAGACTTCTCCCATCAGGTGCATTTTTGACAGTCAATTGGGCAGGTACCTGCCCCATGTAGCCTGAAGCAAGAAGTAGATTTTCGTCAAGTTGAAAACAATGCCTCAACTGTGTTGCCTCTGAACTTTCTCTTCCTGCCCTAGAAATGGTACAATAGAGCCGATTGAAATTTTGGTATTCATCCTAAAGAGGTTACAAACAAGACCAATAGCTTTGCTCAGATTGATGAACTCGATGTTTCTTGGGGAAAGGGCTAACGTAGATTTTTTGGTTCTGGAAATTTTCAGACTTTCTGGCTATTGTTGACAGAATTTAGCGCATGTAGCGCGTGCCGTGCATATTGCGCTCATAGCGCAAATAGCGCATTGAGCGCGCTACTCGAAGCCCCAAGACTTTGCGAGTTAGCGAGCAGGCGCTATGGACATCATTCAACACCTAACCTTCAATGCAATGGGAATCACATCACGACCGACAACATCATGTCTGCCAGTGAAAGCCAACCATATCTGCCTTTGGAAATTATTCTCAATGTCATAGACTTTGTGGTTCCGACGTCGAGCCCATCGCCAATAGCGCTTGCACCAGGACATCCAGCAGCGAAGACAATCCTTTCTCTCCTCACCACCTCCCGAGCCATTTATCCCGTCGCATGTCGCCTTCTATATACACATTGCATGTACATCCACACATCTCAACGACTCTCCCATCTGTTGCGGACGTTGAAAAGCGCCAATCCAGACCTCCTTTCGTCAATCACCTCTCTCTATCTCCGACCATTCCCTCTCCGCGAAGACATCAACTGTCTGAATCCTCCCACCGCGAGAGACACCAAAGATCTGCTGAAGCTCATCGGCCCCTACCTTCGCCGACTACTCATCGATATACCTCTGCGAAGCCTCTATCCTGAAGATGATCTCTTTAGCGTACGGCCCATACTACGATCCGCATTTATAGATCTTCCGGTATTGGAAGAATTCTGCAGCGTACGGGATGAATTATACCTAGCATTGGAAAGAGACTACCCTTCACGCGAGCCGCCAGTTTGGTCTTTGTGGCCGAATCTGAAGAAATTGGCGTTATATAATCAAGATCTGTCGAGAGATGACTTTTGGACTGGGCTCCGGCAGTTGCAGCATATCGAGACACTAGTCATGACTAGGAGCGACGGGACGGATGAGGTTGACCTCCAACAGATGTGGAGGAGTCAGTTTGATAGTAAGGAAGAGACAAAGCGTCTGACTATTGTGCTGGCGAACGTAGAGCTTGACCAACCAGAATTAAGAGCAAGGGAATCGTGGAAAGAGGACGATAAATTGGCTGTGGAAATAATGAATGTGCCAATCAGCTATTACGGAGACGAGGACTATATTGTTCTGTGTCAACAATGGATCAAGCGGGGTATCATGTCGGGGACTCTTTTCGACGAATGGTCGAGGACTGATGAGAAGAAGAAGTGTCAAACGCGATCTGTTGAGGTCGCGAACCACTGAGATTCCACTTCTCTGGACTCCAACTGGGATAATATCCTATTGTCTTTACGATGCTTCATGGTTCGAGTTGCTCGTTAACTATCGATTGGTCCTGTAAGTCTTACATGCGACATGGTTGTGAGTGCTTGACCGAATGTCTGTGTTCAACGCTCTCACCTTGTTGCGCTTGTCGTTGTGGATATGCAACCTTCATACCTACAAAAGTGACTTTGCCCCATGTAATTTGTACCTTCTTCGTTCGCATGTCGCTCTCATCTAGTCCGCGTGTCCAATATTTCCAGAAGTCTAGTCCATGCATAGATAGTACCTAGGTATCCTACTGTTCGTTGTTTCAACAGTCCTTCATGATTTGTAATCTTGTATTCTCTTTTTTGGTTGGTTCTATAGCCAGCTATGTACGTACAGAGATATACTATGTATTAGGAGATACCTGCCTCGATCTTAGAACCGCTGTTGATTTCGCTCTGTCATTAATCATCATTCAGCTCCATTGTTCGATATGCTTTGTATCTACATTCCTGCCGCGCCTGCTACAAAACTCGCCGCTTCTCCAGCGTTTGTAGAATACTGCAACAGAGATTAGCTTCTCGATCCATGGAAAGTTGAGCAAAAACATACCGTCAAATGTGGTGCCAAAATCGCATCACCATTTTGACAAATGTTGTCTCCAGTGTGGCAAATGACCTTTGTTTTTGCAGCAGGAACACTCCCAACTGCAGCACCATTGTCTGGGTCGCCAAAGATGACAGCTTCAATCAAGTCAGCATAAGTGCTCTAGGAACCTTGAACGAGCACATACCGGAGCTCACAGCCGCTGACTGGCTAGCGCTGAGCATCTTTGCCGCGTTGTGTACCAACTGTCCACCTTGACTATAGCCAGCCATGACAACTTTCGTGTCTGGACACGTTGTCATCGCCATCCCAACCATCTTCGCCATCAATGCACTCCCTGCTTTATCACCACCAGCTAAGAAGCCTGGGATATCCGCAGGATAATCAACTCCTTGCACAGCAACGTTGCTGGCTCCAACCTGTTGTTGAAGAGCAGAGAAAAATGGCGGTCCAGCGAGTGTGCCCACGTTTCCTGTCTCAGTTGTCCCTCGTGCGAAGACCACGGTCATGGCTTTGCATCCGCTGCCATTTGTGAGGTCGTTCGCAGTGTCTGATGCACGTCGTTGGAGAGGTGAGGCGATCGTTAGTGACAGGAGGGCTAGTAATGCCACAGAAGTGGTGGAAGAAGTCTTCATATTTAGAAATAATAATCAGGCTAGCTGATCAATATGTGTACAAACTGAATTTGTGTGTAATGAAAAGTCTCTCAAGTCGTCTACACTTTCTTAAATCTTTGACCTGCGTAGCTTGTTCTTATACATCCTACCATTCCAAGATCCACGATACAAGTGCTTGAAGCTTATGTCTGGGCACTCAATCTCGCAACTTTTATCACCTCCGATGCCTCATGCCATCTCGCTATACACACCGAGTACGAACGGTGCCTCGGTCGACATCATCCAATTCTCCATCATTCATCCAAACTCCAAAATGCGATTGGGCCAACGATCTGATCCATTGTACCTCGGCACATATCAAAATTCTTCGTTCTTCGAAGTTCATCGCCTCATCATCTGAGTTCTCGAGCCCCATGCGATTGGTGATGATCGTACGCTGAAACAACCTTAAGTCTTGGTACCAGCTCTTTACCGGTTGCCCTAGCCGGTTGACACAACCGAGGGCTTGGGTTGAGTTTCCGGGAGCTTGGGACGTTGTGAAACACCCTTGCTGTGTGGGTGAGTGTTAATAGCATGTCGAGGAACCTGGAATCGAATCTGGAAGAGTGCGTGACAATGAAACACGTGACTCCTTGTCACTGTTGGCTCCTTGTTATCGATGTCTATTGGTGCTATATTTCAAGGGTCGCTCAGGAACCAGTCACCTTTTCACCACTGAGAAGTTCTTCATTTGTTGGTCTGTGAAAATTGTGGAAGCGAGCCTTCATGACCTCCTTGCTTTGGCTTAGGACTGCTAAATTGGATATCAATTATTGTTACGTATCTCATGCTTGTATTCTCTATTGATACTTTTAGAGCAGTGACCCCTTGCGCCGGGATATGATTGCATCTTGCTATCAAATCTCGCGACGGGCCTTCCTTTCAATCCAACACTTGAATAAGATATGTCTCATTTGTCTCATGTCAGCCTTTCTGGATGAGCGATGCCACTTGGGCTAGGGTCTTCATTCCTAGCTTGAGGTTAAGTTGATGGCTTCTCCCAAGGTTCTGCTGGCATACAGTCCGTCTCTTCATCGACCAGTCGACACACAATGACGGGACTCCTATTTATCATGGTGTTGTGTTTGGCTATGCGTTCGATCAACGCATCATGGTATGAATCGTCTGTCATTTGCGCTATTGAACCATACTAATGCGGCTGCAGCAATGGCAATAACTGTTTAAATGCCCTCCACAGAAACAAAGACTCAAACTCTTTCTGCCTCAATTACCTCTCTTTAGCTGGACAACCCATCCCAAACTACCTGGCAAATTGTCATGACTCACCGTCCAGAGTCAGCTCTGCTTGCTTCTGCTACAGTCCCACACCCACAGCAATATGCTCCACAGCTTTGAGTAGTACAGTCTCCATATCTTCAGCCTCAGCAAGTATAACATCAACTACACTTTTCGCCTGCCCAGCTTCGTGTAGTGTTTCTACCGCGTCGGCGTCTACTGTCACCGTCACAATCACAGATACTTTGCCGCCGACGTGTCCATCCCTCAGTCCTTCTTCTATCGTCATATACACTTGCTCGACCACCGATTACAGTAGCGCGTCACCGACCCTTCCGTCGAGTAACTTGTCAGCGGCGCCATCATCGGCTGCCTTGTCCAGTACCTCCTCAATCGCTTCCGCTTCAGCTAGCCCTACTTCGTCATCATCCCCCACTTCAACTCCAGTATCAATTCCCCCCAACTTTTCCCTCTTGGGCGCGAACTCCAATACATCCGCAGACGGCCAAGTAGTCGATGGCGAACTAGCGGACGACTATTTCCTTGGCTTCGATCTCCCGTATGGAGAGACCAATTTAACATTCGGCATCGACCCTATCTCACAATACCTTTACATCAATGGCAGTAACAATGTCATCTATGTGATCTGGGCCATCAACTTTCCCGGTGGAGATCCGCCGATGCTTGTAAGCCTCCTACCGGGAGATTATTCTGGCTATACACAATGGCCGGTGGTGTGTACAGTTGCACCAACACTTCAGCTCTCCTGTGTAGCTCAAGGGATGGATACATACAACATCTTCTATTTGGTGGATGAGAATCAAGATGGGCACTTTGAGCTGGCTATTGGTGATTACGCAGCTACGGTAAATGTCAAGGGTCCGGTCGATTTGTTTGTTCAACCGTAAATGTTGCAATTTGTCGACGGAGATTCGGAGATGATGTACTTGTACCAATTGGGCTCGCATCCGCCAGTATGCTGGTTTCGAAACGGAGCTCAGAGCTAGCCAGGGAATTCGCGCTTTCTTCAGAACAAGGTCCAATTGAAGAAAAAGATAGATTCAAGTGCCTGCGTGATTCGCATCCTTTCACAACAGCTATTTACCAAGACAGGTGAATTTCATTTTCTCTTTCCTGAGTACTCTATAGCGTATAATCTAATGATCCATCATATCAACATCTGAGAATAGTACTGTACAGTGTTAAAGAGCACATATCTTAACAGATCAAGGCAGTTCCCTAGTATCATTGTAATACACAGCCGCTTGCGAACCCGGCAACTCCGGTTGATGATAGGTTGTCCCCAGTTCGGCCAGGTAGCTATGCTGCTCCGGCTGCTTCATTTCATGTATTCCCGGCTGAACAGACACTTTCTGCTCATTAAGATCCAATTCGATGGGTCCCGTAGCTCCCGAACTACTTTCCTGAACTGGAGCTTTGCGCTTCGAGCGAAGAATCCACAAAATTGCAACCAGTACCATACCAATAACGGCAAGTCCGCCAACCACACCGCCGACGATGGCTCCAATGGGCGTGGAAGAACTAGATAGCGATGATGAACCTGGGCTGGTGGACGTTGGCAATGATCCCAAATTGCTAGAACCATTTGTCGTCGTAGGGGATCTGGTGGACTGTGCTTGGATTGACGATTCCGCAGATCCAATAGCGGAGGTAGACAGTACAAAAGACTTTGCCGGAGCAGAGCTTGTGGCAGATGAAGCAGTCGATATTGACGTTGACGATATGGGTTGTTGCCCCGGAGGAGAGCTTTTCGCAACTTCGGTAGCTGAGGTTGTGGCTATGGCTTCTCCCAGGGAATTTTGAGTGCCTGTACTGATACCGTTCGCACCAGTAAAGATAGGAAGGTCAATGTTTTGGTTCAATCCAGTATAATAGAGCTCGACATTGTACGTCATGCCCGCAACAGCATTACAGTTTCCATATCCTCGATAGCCTGAGGGAAAGTATACAGAGCCGCAGTATGGTGATGCCGCATTGCTGCATACTTACGTTAGAAACAACGAAGAAGACCTTCAACTTGAGAAGTAACTTACCAAGTATGTACTAGGGAGCAATCCGAACCACAAGATGCTCCGGTTTGACCATAGTCGACGCAACTGGTCCAGCCATTGACAATCTGTATGTCGCTGTACCAAAAGCAGGTTGGGCCAGCAACAGTCCATGCACCTAGATTAAGCTTAATAATGCATCTTATCAACTATGGATATTGTCCCGTCACAGGATTGAAGTAGGTACTGCACTTACTTCCAAGGTCTCCGTTGACCCAACCGCAGGTGTTGGGAGCAACTTGTAAGTCTCTCTTCAATTCACCAATCTTTTGAGGAACTTGAGGCCCGTCCGTCGGCCGTAGAGTCCATCCAATATCGGCATCACCACTTCTTACTGTATGCGTAGGTCCAGCCCATGGGATACCGTGAGCGACTGAGATGACGGTAAGAAGGGCAAGGGACAAGCTCCATGCATTTTCCATTTTCAGATAAATATAGAGAATCTTTTTTACAAAAACATGTTCGTGGGGAAGTCTTGGCGGTTTATGGTGTCGTTCAGATCGGGTGAAGAAGTTTATGTCTCGGTGAGGGAAATGCGAAGCTGAGTTGTCTCCTGCGTACCATAAACTCGGCCATTCAGCTCTCAAGGTGAGAGATTACCTTTTATTGGTGGCGCTTTCACGCTTTACCGAGAGCTCCATTGGGCGGACCGGGGCGAAAAGCTGGCTTAGCGAATACGAAGTGGCTTAATGGCTTGTCACGGGGAGATCGAAGTACAGTATTTGAGTTGTTTGAATATACTTTCTTGGAACAGGTACTTGGTTGTGAAAGCATTGTTCATTCATTCATCGTCCATTCTTAGAATGTGTGCTGTATACATAAACTTTTGGCCTTGTGGAACACGACTATAAAACAAACATTCGGTGCTATTGAGGGGTTTTCGCTTTTGTTTTGCGCCAGGGCTATCTTCCTTCTTCAAAATGAAATTTCTTTTGGGGTAAGGACATCTTCTCCACCAACACCACAATGATGCACAGTCTCTCTACCGCACTGTGGTTTGTGACTAGGAACTTAGAAATAACAACACTACTTGATCAAAACTCCATGAAACATTATACAGAATGCAGGTCCTGCCCACAAATCACACAGTTCGACGAGAACTTCCTTTCGAGTAGATTTTGGGCCGCCACTAGTTGTTCAGAACATGAGTTCAATCCTTCAAGACGAACTTCAAGTTCAGATCAGCCCTCAGATCGCCATTCTCAATCTTGGGGCCCATCCCAATGAGTTTGATGCAAAAGTTTCGTTCTGTAGAATTGTGTTCATACCCGGAGTCGCGCCTTCGTCCAAATCTCCTCTTCTTCGATGGTGGGGTTAAATATGCATCCTCGGGCTCGGTCTTGCTAGCCTGTATATCTGGTGCTTCAGAGAATAGCTCAGAGCAAGATATAGAAATACCACATATTGGCTTGAGTCCATTCTGAGCAACAATTTTCGACTCCATGATATCGTAGACCAGTTGCCTCTTGGAAGAGACGTCAGTGATTTTCTCATCTTGGTCAAAAGTCGACAAATCGGCACGTCTTTCCATGGAATCCCAGTCATTGACGAGGCGGAAAATGCAGTGAAGATCCGGACAACCAACGCCTCCAATCTCGTCGCCCAGTTTAGCGAAGACGTAGGGTTGGTCAAGGACGATCCTTTCGCTGAGAAACAGCTTGTGAGCTTTGTAGTTGGTGCGGCCGTTCGAGTAGGTCCTTTGAGCGATCAAACCGTTCGGTCTCTCGTGAGATATATCGTTCTTTGAGACGGGCATTTCACGTTCGATGAAAGTATGATCTTCCATGTTTATGATTTTGTCTGCGCAATAATCAGCTCCGTACCAGAAATTCTTCGACTTTGACACACCTGGTATATAGTATATCTTATGTTTCATAGAATGCTTCTCGAGTGTTTTCCGGAATTCAGGATTGTCCTCGTGCTCGCCCACAAGCAGGCTCAGTAACTCGTGGTCTAAGTTATTCAACTTATCCTTTATGGCATGTCCAATTGACCCTAGAAGTTCCGACTTGCCATCGATCGGTTTCACATCAGATTTTCTTCGCTCTCTTCTGCGCCGATATGATTGCTCCGGGGGCGAAAAGATTGAGGCGCTGGTTCGTGTGTCAGGCTTCGGGTCACCTGTAGCAGGATCCTCTTCTTCCAGTGTGATACATCCGGGTTGGGACTTCATTTTCAAGCTCTTTCGTGACAAAGGAGAGAGTATGTTGGAAAACTGCGTTGCAAACTTTCCTATAGACGTAGAAGAACAAATGTAGAGCAGAGAGTGGGCAAAGCGCTTATCGTATAACACAGGGTGATGCTTGAAACACCAACATTCAGATCACACACATGTACTCCGTATCAGCTGAAGCAATACTAAGAGGTTTGCAACCAGAATAGAAAACACCTGCAGATAATGCTATCAGTCAAACTCGTGGCCCAGCCACCAAGCAAGGCAATTTGTTTCAAAACCACAGGATTCGCTGCCATTGATGAAGAAGAGGAGAATCGTCTCTAAGCGCCAGAAGCACTACGATAGTGATTACATAACCTTGGCGCGCATCCGGAGACCACGAGGAATCACACTGCCTACGGAGTATTCAGCGGAGTTTCAAACGCACTTGAATCAGATGTTCAGGACTTATTTAGACAGTCTGAACAACAGCTTTCAGTACTAAACTTCGAAGTCGATACTCAACACGTGACTCGCTCTCCTTGCGATATCTATCCCCTTACAGGAAGTCTCCAGGATGAATACACTCAAGAATCATTCAAGAGCCTTTACCGAAAATTCCCCTTTTTGCCAATCTCAAAATCTCATTCCTCTATTTGCTCGTGAAAAACGTGGTGGCGAGACATCACCTGTTGTCCACCATCGCCTGTTCCACAACCCTCCTCCTCCCGCAAATCGTCATATCTCCATATTAAACTTCTCCTTTTGGATTGTTCTCAAGTAAAGGTTCTCTTTTGGGCATGGATCTAGACCGGAATGGAAGATCGCTGCAAGACATCACGAAGTCGGAGTGCAGATTTTTTCGTTGAGGTTTGTTTGTATAAATGGCTTCCTCCCTCTTAGTTCTGGACATCAAAGTATATTTCATCAATCAAACTACTATTTGTCTTAATTGAGCACAAAATACAAACAGAAATGACACTCTCCCTCAAAGCACGTACGACAATCGTTCAATTCGTACTCGTTATCGTCATCAGTGCTATTATTGCAGGGACGGTTGGAGGAGTTACAAGTCAGACCAATAAATGGAAGGATGCTGAGGTTGTGCAAGTTGTAAATACGACGTTGAATATCACTTCGAGGGTAACCAGAAGCTCGAGGAGGATGGTTGGGAGGGGGTTTGTTGCTTGAAGTGTTGACGGAAAGATGATGAGAAAGGGATATTATCTCAGAATGACGGCGGAGTCATCTAGACGTCTTCTCCTAGAAGGTTTCTAGGAAGCAGCACAGACAGATCGGAATACCATCCGAAGTGAGCTACGGATACCTCTTGCGAATCGTGCATCCGGTACTGACATCCGAGCGATATCATACGTCCACATCAGCCCTAATCCACTTCACACACCGGGAACCTGAAACAAACAACGTCCGTGATTTTGGGTGTTGGTCTGATCTCAAGACTCGCTATCGGATCAACCGTGCTTTCATCGGAGATTTATCTGATTTTGGAAATGCTTGCACTTCAAGCAGAGACGAGGCTGAGACGGAAGGCTTTCTTGGCAGATGTGTGCCGAGGTTGGGCTCGTGAACGAAAAGTGAATGGTGGATTGGCGATTGTGTTTTTAAAGTTGTGGAGATATGGAGAGATGAATAAGAAGAGAGTATTGGGGGACTAATTGATGTGCTGAACAATATGTAGAATGAGAGTGTTCAGAAAGCAGTTTCGGCCAGCTCATGAGACGAAGAGCCCCTCCGTCAATCCTTCCCACTTGTCCCAATGGAACATGTCCATTGGATCCTCGGCCATCAAATCCTCAATGCCTACCATGTACGAGTTCATGCTGTCTGTTGAGTCTTCCTGGCCGCCTTTAGCAACATCGTTGATGCCTTCCTCCCCAGACGTCTCAGCCCTCTGGCCGTCCTCATCATCAAGTCTCCCACAAAAAGGATCTTTCCCTCTCCCATTTCTGTCCCACCCCAATCTCTTCCAAACTCTCATTCTTAGATCAACAAGCATACTGTATCTCTTGTTACTTCTCTGTGGTAGCATCTCGCCCTTGATTTTTGCCTTCTCCGAGATGATGGAACCAGCTCTAATTCTGCTAATTCTCAGCTCAAACACGTCATCCAGGAGTGAGCGAGAGAGACTTTCTTCTGAATAGATGTGAGTGCAGCTTGATAGATGCATGAGCAAGATAATCATGGCGTGGAGGGGTTGAACAAGTCCGGGAAGGAACCAGGAGAAATGTGAATTTGAGGAGGCCGAAAGTGTGAGGTAGTGGTGGAGAAAGGATCGTGCGGTTCTGGTGACAGTTAACTCCGCCGAGGAAGAAAATGTGATGTGAGGGTGAAGTGCCTACCTGACGACTTCGCTCTGGCAACCAGTTCCGCTGAAGCGATCTAGCTGCCAGAATCGCAACCCAAGCATACAATATGCTCTATCAATTTGCATCTTAAGATAAGTCCTCGTCCATTGCTCCTCAGGACAGCCATTGTCAGGAACTACTTCCAACAAATGATTGATAACAGCCCTGAAGTCGGCAACTTCAGCCTGTGTTGGCAGTACTTCAAACCACTTCTGCATATGCTTTGCCCACAGATAATGCCCCTGGGTCGCAATCATAGTCGAACTCATATTTTCAAACACTTGTTGTTTTGGTTCAGACAAAGGCTCGCAATCATAAGTCAGGGATGGGAGTTTTGTTATGTATCCGTCTGAGCGAATAATAGGTGGGAGACCATTGGCAACGACCGACTCGACATCCAAAAACACAAGATGAAACCAAACTCTCCTCCTCTGCTCTACACACTCTGGACTTCTTGAGCTTTTGCAATTCCTAGCTTCCGACTGCTCCAGGTGAAGCCTCATCAGCTGCCCAAAGCGAATGGCTTGAGGCAGGAAACCATATGCCGCGAACGGTGCAAGCTGATTAGCTCGAAAAGTGTTCATGATGAGATGAGCTTGGAGTAGTTGAAGGGCAGCATCTTCGTCTCTGATATGATATGAGGCCAAATCCAAGTGAGAGGCAATTTCGTTGTATAAGTCTAGCAGCAAGGGTGAACTCGAGTCAGGGGACGGCATGTTGGCGGAACCGGCGGAGAGAATTGCCAGCACAAGAAGCAATAATTCGGCAGATATGTCTGAACAGAGAGTGGAATAGAAGCTAGAATATGTCTGTTCCAAAGTCGGTACATGACAGATCGGTACGAGAGGATAAATGGTTCGCAAGAAGTTCTCGAAGTATCTCTGGCAGAGGATAGAAGAAGGCATTCGGCTCGTCATAAAATGGAGAAACTCTTCATCCAGTGAGCTAATAGGTACGCCATGGGCTGGAGGCATGCATCGCTTAGGACGCGGAAAGGACAACTGGTACTTGGTTAGAACAGAGCACTATCATGTGACCAGATTTGATATGACCTCTTTTTCTTCTGCTAAGACCCATGATGGTATACCAGTACAGCTTGGAGTCCTAGACAAGGATGTCTGTTGGTCTAGAAGCGAAGTCCATGAGCCGTCCGATGGAGCTTCTGAATCCGGACTCGTGACATGTCGAAACTCAAGCTTCTTGTTATTGCCACTGACATACTTGCAAGGCCTGCTAGCTTTTGTACACTGTGAACAGGCAGGCTTAAGACGATTGCATTTGACCTTTAGATCTCTCAGCTTTTTCTACTTCAAATGAATGTGCTGCCTACCTACTCGACGATCTCGGCATGGACCACAGGCAGTCGTGAGCCTTTGCCGTCGTATCTTGCCAGGCAGACTATTTGCCTCATGGGGTGCAATAGGCATTGATAACTCAAGAGAATATAATTGGCGGCAATGGGCTTCATAGATTGTGTAAAAGCAATGAAGAGCGCAAGTTGATTTGGCAAAGGTTGAGACCCTTGAAGTCTAGTGCTCACCGTGCCTAAAATTGCCTAAAATTTGCCACACGACTTGTGTTGCATTTATAGACGAAACACGAATATAAAGTGATACAATACTCAAGAGCACTCTTAACGCTTCTCAAAAGCCAAAAACTTTTCTCTTTGAGGACAAAAGAGAGGAGCACGTGAATTCGCGTTTACTTCGTGATCTTTGGCACAGGCTAAATCGCGTTGGCATTAATCCCTCAGCCTTGCTGTGCCTTCTCGGCTGACTTGGTTCTGACAACAAACAATAAACAACAACGCCACTTCACCATTCTTCTCATACCTTCGATTGTCCCCACCTCGATCTATCTTCCCTTTCATCCTTCCTCTACACACAAATCCGAATCGCAACAATGCCTCCCAAGAAAGTTGCCGCAGCTACTTCGACTTCTGTCTACCTCGTCGTCAGTGGCAGCACCATCTCCTCCGTCCACGCCTCGCAAGCATCTGCCGAAGCCGCAAAGAAGGACGATGCCAAGATCGAAGTCCAAACCCTGATCGGCGGAACCATCAGCGTTGACCCTGTCGCAGAGGAGAAGAAGCCCGCGAAGGCCAAGGCTGCGAAGACCGAAGATGCGCCCAAAGCCAACACTGCCGCAAAGAAGACAAAGACACCTGCCGAACAGCGCGCCGCCAACGTTGACAAGCCGAAGAAGGGACAACCTGCCGATAAGGACCTGCCCGAGAATGTCCGGTCGCTGTTGAATGGCAAGGGCAATCAATTGAAGGGCATGGCAATCATCGTTACGGGTGTTCCGCCTGTTATGGGACGAGCCAATACAGAGAAGCTGGTGGTTCTTTATGGCGGAAAGGTCAGCAAGAGCTTGAGCAAGAATACGAGTTTGGTTGTCATTGGCAATGAGGCAGGTCCCACAAAGTAAGTTTACATTCCTTGTTGGAAGTTCTATTTATCTCGCGGACCGGGCCGTTGCCCCGCTTTCTTGAGGTGCATGGCTAATGTGGGGTTACTAGGTTGGAGAAGATCGAGGACCTTGGTCTCAAGACTGTCGATGAGGACGGGCTAGTTGCTCTGCTTGAGGGAGGTGCCGGATCTAAGCATGCTCTTGATGATGAGGATGATGAAGACGAGGACGAGGAGGAGGAAGAAGAGGAAGAGGAGAAGCCAAAGAAGGGCAAGAAGCAGAAGAAATAGATGTGATCTGTTGTATACGATGGGATGACTCTGCGTTCGCGGGTCATCGTGCACATACACAGGCATCTCTTGTTTCTAGCCTTTTCTCATGTACAAAAGTGGAAAGCGGGGTTATTTCTGGCTTTCGGCCGGAACATACAGGAGGATGCATAATCTGCGAGCATTATGCTTTCATGGTACGATAGCTGAGCAGGGAGTGACTGCAATACATACGCACGAATGTGCTTCCCACTCGCCCTCTTCCGGATACCTCCATCCGTAATGCAGCTAACGAGAAACCACAGGTTCTTGAAGCTGTAGTCATCACAGCCGGTATCCCTTTCTTTCTTTCTTTCTTTCTTTCTTTCTCATTGTCTTTGTCCACCAGACCGTCTGGTCCTCGCCATCCAGCAATATTCCAAAGCCAAATCCAGATCTTGAGAATTCCTAAATTGTGGAGAATAAAGGCTGTCTTCGTTGAAGTTCTACTGGCCTTGGAATAAATATCCCAGACTTGAGATAGTGCCAAAATCCAATACGCAGAATATGTGGAGCCACAGCCGAGACTTGCAAGAGTTGAACCAAACTTTTCATCGGGTCTGGTATAATAATACCCTAACGAAAAGCAGTGATAACAGATGTAGGTAGACCTCAAAATCCCGTTGAGAGCGGGAGACTGAAATTACTGTGCTGATTGAAATCCAGGATAAGTACACTGTTAGGAGATAAGGATGTGGTGTGAAATGTAAGTTTTGAAAATGTCGCCAATGGTTATTCTTTGCCACGAAATGGTATGCAAATCCGAGGCAACATTATGTCTGCTTCCACCTCCCTTTTGCCTCTCCGCACTACGAGCCAGAAGCTATCCGCAACCAGAACACCAAGGTCCTTGCTCGCATTGCTTCTTTTGAGATCCTCCAAAACATATATTTGCCTTGTACTTGTCCAATCTTCTGGCCACGTTCATGCGTGCACTCACATTCTTCGTTCTGTTGTCGTCGCGTATCCGATGGATCTGTGGCAGTTGTCGATAATCCTTATTCTGTCTAAAACTCGAGTTGCGATACACAAGGACGTCGCCCAGTTCTCTGTTCAGGTCTTTCCTCACGGCATCATAGCCACTTGAAAGGAGACTGTAGATCACCCTTCTGTCTCCTCTTCCAGCCCTAAGTTCTGCTGCAAGATTTGGATATATGAATGGCGTGCCAAATCTGAGCTCAAATTCCGAATGGGTCTCAGCAATACCTTTGGCTATCCTAGCGATCTCGTCGAAATTTGCTTGTTCGCCAACAAGTCTGTCATATAAAGGCACTGTGCAGGGCATTTTTTCCTTGTACTGTTCTAGATTGTATTTGTCTCGACAGCGAGCAAACGGGATGGCAGATTGCTGCTGTAGTCCCAGATAGAGCGATGCGAATATCCGTCTCCCTGGATCGGCCTTGAGTATATCTCCAAGCGTCATTTCGATTCAAAACTGCTAAAACAAGTCCAGAAGTCTGCTCTGCCACGTTGAATTGATCTTTCGATGTAGGTCGAGGTGTGAGTTGGATGGTTGTCTGATTTTGCGACCCCAACATTCTTGGTCACTGGGGTGGCTGGTGTGGCTTGCAACACGACTGGTCACAAATTTATTGTTATACAAGGCATCTCTTTCTCGGGTAGATTGTTCCAGGTGCATGTTCTTGTTTTCTGGTTTCACTTCTCTTGTCATATCCCCATGCAGCTGTCATTTATCGGATATTTAGCGCTCAATGATCTTGAAGCGCCTAGTCATCAAGCTGTCGGACATGTTCATCAAAGCACGGAGCAGCTCTCGGCTTGTCATAAAACCGAAAAGTACAAAATACCCATACCTCCCTAGATCTCCACTACGTAAGAGGACTGAACCTGAATCAGGATAGGTTCCAACTAGCTCAATTCGACTAGATAGTCATGAACAATAAGAGTGGTAATTATTGAACCTGATTGAGTCTCAAGAGCCACTTGATTACAGGATCACCAAGAGAGCTTCGCCGTCTCTTACTTGCCCTTGTTTCCGAAGTACTGTACAATCCATTCTCGTATTCTTTGTTAAAGGTTTGCTTGGAAAGCAGAACAAGATCTCAGATTTATACCAATCCGCTTTTGCTTGACCAATTTTGTTTCTGCATGATCAACCTCCTCCAAGTCCGCATACACAAGCTAACACCTCTATGATAGCATGTTAGAGCCACGCGCACACACCATGTAGTGTTCAACATGATGAACGCATGTTATAGCGCACCTGCTACCACTTCTATATTTTGGGAGGTGTGCCAAAAGTGTGATGGTTGGTCAAGACTTTTACAGTGGCGTTCTGAGACTTGAGCCACATCTCAAAGGAGCTGAGAACACGTGAGCTGTCAGAGCACTGCAGCGCCTCATCCCAATTCCCGTTCCCGTTCAAGGCAGCATTTGCTCGAATTATTGAATATTCAATTCAATCTTTCACTGTGGAGTGGATATTGTCCGTGATATCGGAAAGTCATAAGCTAATAGCGTGGTAAAGTCAGAAGGTCAAGCTTAGCCTGCCAACTGCTCCCCACAAGAGAATACTTAAGATCTACCATGTGTAGTTCATTTGGAGCCTGTCTACCTAATGATGATTTCTTACCTCAAAATACATCACCATCATTGATAAATAACAATCGAAAAATGTATGAGCGAATCAAAGCCAGCCCTAGTCAACAGGAATCTCAACATTCGATCCAACGGTTAAATCTGGTTCATCCACTTCTTTCAAGTTATTTTTGCCATCGTGGTACTGGCCAGCGATGCCAAAGTAGCTTCAAAATGGAAGAAAATCAGTTGCAATGCACCAAGTAACATTGCCTATATCCTCGTCATTGTGAGTTCCTATCCGATATCAATTTCAAACAAATAATTAACACGATCCTTAACAGTCATCTATGACCATCCCATTCGTCCTTTATATCTGCCTCACAACTGGACCTGTGTTCTCAAACTTTCTGTGGTACAACTTCCAAGCTGCCATCGGATTCGATGTGATCTTCCTCATTCTATGGTACGCTGTGGCGCTGGCGAATTATTCATGCGGCAGTATCTGCGACGCTTGTCCGAGTCGAGTGGATACACGTATCGTATCCACACTCTGGCTTGCCAGTGTTCGAACGGATATGACGGAAGAACAGACCCTGACCTGGGCGATGATCCTGATGTCGGCCAAAATTTTGATGACGCGCTCTCGGACGCATATGATGCCAGTCAGACTGGTTGGGGATTTGCTGGTGCACAGATGTATGTGGCTTCCACTTGCTCATTGTCAAGTTCAACAACTAAGTCAGGAAATTGAGCATGCTAACAGATTATACATAGTATCCTTTTTGCCATCACGCTAGGTAGTATAATTTATCTACAGCGAAAGCATAGGGAAGGTGGAGACGCGCATGTAGTTGGACAGAGTGTAGTATCTGGTGCTGAGATGGGAATGGCAGTGCTTCCGTCAGAGACTGCGAACTAATGCGGATGAGGGTGAGAATTTGCAATACGTCCATGGATCTGAGCACGCTAATGTTACCCTTAACGAGCGTATGGTGAGCTTGATCAGACGCAAGTTACCTGAGGACAAGGTAGAATCAGCTTGAGCATGTAATATAAAGAGTATTTCATGTCAACGCATGACTATTTTCTATTTCGTTGCAATTGCAGCTTGAAACACTCTCTTCATTTACACCTCATTGCTAGAAGCCAATGAACTCTGTTTCTTTGCACCTCCTTCCTATAGCTTTAAAGAAACTAGAAAATCAACGAATTCAATACTTTAGAGATGATATCGTCTGACGTTACCATTACTCTTCGCGTCCTGGCCTTCCTCGTCCATGCCCCCAATAGACGCACTGCTCGCAGATTTATCACTCCTCTTATTTGCGCCAACGATATAGCCCGCGGCGCAAGAAACCAAAGCAAATGCAAGCACAGAGAAGATGAGAGAATTGGTCATTCCAGAGTGATATCTCGGAGCCTGGGCACTTCGAAAGAACCAAGCAGAAGTGAAAGCTCCCACGTTTCCAATTCCGATGACAAATCCTACACCGATGGCCTTTTGGAACGGGGATGGAAGGTTGGCGAGTGCTAAGCTCCATACCATGGGCATCGAGACGTAGGTTCCCATGCTGACGAAGTAGAGACCGAGCATGGATATACTGGGCGCAGGAAGCTTTGATTGACGAAGGATAGCGAAGCCGATAGTAGTAAAAAGATAACCACCTAGAGCGAAGCTGATACGGTGTTGATAACGATCTGCGAGGAAGGCTGTGATCGCGCAACAAGCGGCGGAGACAACGAAGATTGGTACGACCTGTCCTTGGACTTGGGGGACTGTGTATTTGGGGTGGAAGGCTTCGACGAATGAAGGTGCGAAAAGGGCTACTGAGTAGGTGGTTGAAGCTGTGAACACCAACGTTGCTGCCCAAATGTAATTGAGGATGTTGCTGAAGAAGATCTTGAGTTCCGCAGCGACGCCGATGGTAGTCTCGGTGCACTGCACATCACGAGCAACGATTGTCTTCTCCTCCTGAGTGAGGAAGTTGGCGGTCTCTGGACGAGCAGTGGAAGAGTAACACGCGATGACACTGATACCGAATGTGAGGCAACCTTCGACCAAGAAGATCCTAGGAATGATTAGCATTGAAATAGTAAGTTATCTTAAGGGTGCATACCATCTCCACCCGTGCCAATGATTCGAGCTCGTGGTTGAGATATGTGCAATGGCATAAGCCAGAATATTTGCTGTAGCGTTCGAGGAGATGTTTGCAATCATAATCATAGCCATCCGCCACTGCAGATGGATACCAGGATAGTATAACGAGCATACGAAGACGGAACCGGGGAGCAGTCCAGCATCGAATATCCCCAGAACAAGTCGAGTCGCGAAAAGGTCCGATTTCGTCTGGTCGAAAGCTTGTCCAATTGTAACAATCCCTGAAATGGTTATTAGATAGTCGGACCAAGTCGCAATCAACTCAAGACTTACCAAGGAACGCGGTCATGATAGCGAGGTATCTGATGTATCCGAGTCCAATCCTTTTCTCGAGTGTGCGCATGAGAACATTGCTCGGGATTTCCAGCACAATCAAAGGGACGAATGCAAGGACGATAGCGACAAAGATATCCGTGGCCTTGAGCTTCAAATCGGTAGGAAGCTTCTGAATCAAGGCTGTTCCAATGTTCGTCCTGCCCATCAAAGAGAAGAAGTTGAGGAAAAGTAGGGGAAGAAGGACATGAAGATCGATCTTCAATGCGAGCCTTCGGTCGAATGGGCGATGGTTCAGAGCATCGCTACTACTTTGAGATAGCTCGGGCTTGGGAGAGTCAGGCGCGCTGCCCAAATCTTTTTCATCGAAGATACTATTGTCCTTCCCCGAGGACGCAGGAGGGGCTACGTTGGCCTCGATGGGGGATTCCATCGTGGTGGGTGGTGAACGAAAGCGAAAGAAGAAGAGTGAAACAAGGTGATAACAAGATTGATGAAGAGCGAACTGGATAGCACATGTGCCTCTTTGAAAAAGCTAAATGCAGAATGATAAAGGGAGTATATAGAAGTGTTCTAGAAGATTGCGAGGCTTCGAAAGAGATTAGAGTAGCAGTGGGTGACAAGAAAGCACGGAAGGATTCCTTTCAATAGACTTACCTTGCAGACGTTGTCGAAAAACACCACTCCTCGAGCCACAAACACGGCGTCGCATCCCATGTTGGGTCTTCGTACATGCATGAGTTATTGCTTTCCTAATTGACGACGTCTCCGGTTGGCCCCCCGTATTTCGCTTAGGCTCCTTCCGGGGAGCCGGGATCTCGTCGTACGAGCCGGGTATATAAGCTTTTTTTCACCCTGGCAATTGCAGGGGATTGTACACAGGATGTAACCTTAGGAATCCATGGACCCCCAAGTACATGTACCAGTCGAAACTGGCGCAAATTCCCAAACTTCAGATATTGTATCTCTGAGTAACGTTGTGGCGTGCCGCGAATAATTGTGGACCCCTTTCTCAGGGATATCTTTCCAGGGTGTCTTCCTATTGGCTTCAACAGCAGTGACCCGGTCCGCAGGACGCTCCCAGCGGGGGCCAAGGGTTGGACGGGGGTCCTGCAGCGGAATTAGACTTTAGACATCCGAGGCTTGAGGGTACGTAGGTAACCTTCGGAGTGATGTCTCTGGAGGTATAGGAAGAGAATTTGACATGAAGATAGAACCAAAGTCAAGTATCCGCAGAGGTCCAAACCTTGAACTAGCCCTTCAATTAGATATAAACATCAGCCTCTTGTTCCGGGATGGGACCAAATCGAGGACGCAAGACCCAAAGATGATGGTTCAATACCTGTACAACAAACGAAAAGATGTTGGAAAATACTTAGTACAATATACCTAATACAAGCTCCTGCAGGTCCATTCGAAGTGGCAAGGGGCGGCTGCAAGGTCAGTTCTAGGATCAAGCTCGGGATTCGAACTCAATGCATAGAGTAGTTGTAGAATTGCACGATCAATAAACTTTCTTGCATGACAAGACCAGGTAAGAATCCTTCAACATGATAAGGAAATGGTCTCATCGCTTAGAGCTACGCGAGAAGGGGGAGAGGAGACCGGTTGCACGGCTACCGGTAGGTTGGTTGGGAAGCATGCAAGTTGGTTCCTAGGATTCGACTTCTGCTCAAACTCCGTACGACGATTGCAGAACGAGACCCCAAAACGAAGCTAAATCCTTCGACGGGTAAAGAGTGTTCTCCCCAGGTAGGGACTTCCCAATAAGAAATCTGAGCTTTAAGATCTGGAGTTTGTCCGTGGTAAGATGCAGATCTTGTCCAAGTTCTTCTATTACTTGTTCACCTACTTTCTCTATACGTTAGATCACTACGCAAAGACTGCTTTTACCAGATCGACAGTCAGCAATTCAGAGTCAACTTCTCGATGGCAAATACGTCAAAGAGTCATTATGTTGGACCCAATCCTAGGGGAGCAGCGGACAGAAATACTGCCAGTGCGGTGATGGCACTTGTGGGAATGTTTGTGTTTCTAAGACTATGGGGACGATTCAAATACAACAGTCGACGTCCTGGGAATGGATTCTGGCCACAGTTTGGAGAGTCACGGTTTTGGATCTTGATGTCGGATTTGACCATACTGCTATCATTCGTAAGTATGTTTGGATGAAGAAGTGCTTTTACTTATGAGTATCTAGTTATCGGGTCTTACTCTTACAATCGTCATTGATAATGGTAAATCATTCCCCAATATGGAGAATCGTATGAATAGCTGGCTGATCATCCCTAGCTGTTACATGGGGGTTCGGAATTCATATCAAAGAATTGAGCATTACTCAGATCCACAACGTTATGAAGGTTTGTTTATCAGCGATTCATACTTGAGAACAACCAGACTAATAGGTGGCAGATGTTCTTCTTGTTCCAGATCTTCTACAAATGGACCGCAGGTATTTCAAAGATCGCATCATGTTTCCTCTTTCTCGCCATCGCCACTCCACAAATGACAAGATTCAGAACCGCTTGCTACGTCTTAATTGTGTACCAGGGACTTCTTAGTCTCGGTGCTTCCGTGGCGACCGTCTTTCAGTGCGGCCTTGATATCGAGAGCAATTACATCAGTACAAATGACCAATCTCACTGCTTTCCAAAGCCCCCATTTTGGTATGCACACGGAGCACTTACCATCGTTTCCAGCTTGTGTATGGTGACATTGCCGATCTGGCTGTTCTCGCATATCACTTACAAGCGGAAGTGGTCAATTGCTGCCGTTATGACAGCACTTGCCGTCACGTATGTACTCTCATCCGGAGGGGCTTGTATACCTAGATATGAAGCTGATGAAATTTAGTGAATTGATCTTATCATGCGTCCGTCTCAAAGGACTTGTCGAAACTGCTCACAATTTGACGGACATCCCATGTAAGAATCCTTTTTTTTTTCCACACTCGCACTAATCCAGCACTTAGTCTCTGCTACGACAGGGCTTCTCATCTCGCAACTCGAAGTCGATTTCGGCATTGTCGCAGCCTGCATCCCCACCATATCAAAGCTTTTAGATGAATACATGAGTCGATTATTCTACTGTGTTACGGGTCGAGAACGCCCAGTAAAGTCAGATGGATACTCGAAATCAACATCTCGGACGCCCAAGAGCGTTCATCTCGACAACTTACCTAATTCGATACAAGGGAGCAAATACACTCAATTTGGAGTTGAGATCGACACCGTGTCTATGGGCTCTGAAGAAGATAAGTTTGCCGCAAAGAGACATGAGGCAAACGTAACAACAATCACGACGGGAATGAATTAGAGAAATATGACGCGAACAGACCCTGGCGGTCTAGCAAAACGTTCGTCGCGCTTGTCTCCTAATTATATTGTACAATACCATGCTACTAGCGTTATCAGAAGCTATCAAACAAGAAGTGATCGAGCGGGCCCTAGATGAAGAAAGAGAATAGGATGACGGGAATAACATGCACATGCAAGACCAAGCAATTCACTTTTCCAACCGTGATTTCACCTAAAACCCTGTATTTCGAAAGCCCGCGCAATGTCTGTGAAGCCAAGAATTCGCGTGCCACATTCCAGACCGCATGAATCACTTCGGAGAGAATCCTCGAACCAACAGAGAAACGTTCCAAATAAGTTAATCCAACTGTCTCATATGCACAATCCATGATACCGGTCCTTTACCCTGCTGCAGCGGGCATGGTCCTTCCTGATCAGGTATTTCCGAGTCTGCGCCACCCGCCTGCCTCAAGACCCTACCTATGTCCCTGGTCTACGTCCTCACTTTCGATTTATTTGTATTACAAATTGATTCTCAAACATCATCCATAGAACCTTACTCAACATGGTGACTTCGATTGATCCCAGTGTCACAGTTGACACCCCCAAAATCGAGATTGGAAGTCGTGACAAAAGCGTCGGATGGTACATGCCAACACTAGACAGCATCACAGACACCCAGCGTGACCTTCTTGAGAATTACTCCAAGATTGCTCCAGAGCGAGTGATTTCCCATCTTTTCGAAATCGTAAGCGATATTTTCTTCCCTCCTTTTCCCGCACCCAACCAAGTCATCGCTACTTATCAAAAACTCTAAATAGCGCGACAAAGGCTGGGAGATATGGCCTCACCCATGTATCGGTCAATTCCGATTCATAGACCTCTCAATCATGCGCACTCCCTCCTACCAAAACATACTCTCACGCCTCAAATCCGGATCTTCGATCCTCGACCTAGGCTGCTGCGTAGCCCAAGACCTCCGAAAATTGGTGCATGATGGTGCGCCATCGACAAACATGTACGGCGCTGACCTTCATGGGGATTTCCTCTCTCTAGGGTACGAGTTATTCCTCGATAAAGAGACCCTCGGCGCAAAGTTCATACAGGCGGATGTCTTTGATCTCGATGGCCCGCTCAAATATTTGGAAGGCAAGATGGATATCATCCAGATTGGGCTCTTTCTCCATATATTTGATCTTGAGGGACAGATTAGGGCTTGTGAGAGGATTGTGAGGTTGGGTAGGCCGGTAAAGGGCACTTTGATTGTGGGACAGCAGACTGGGAAGCAAGTGGCTGGGAATCAGCCGACTAGGAGGGGAAAGGCGTTTAAGCATAATGTTGAGACTTTCGAGAATATGTGGAAGGTTGTCGGAGAGAAAACTGGGACCCATTGGGAAGTTAGAGTGAAGATGGATGAGGGACTTGGGTTTGCGGACAAGAAGAGGACTTGGGACGATCCGAGTATCAGGAGGTTAGCTTTTGAGGTTGAGAGGATGGATTGAGTTTATGAAGCGAGTTTCAGGTACTCTTCGGAAATATTGAGAGCGGAGCTGCATTTAAGGTTTCATTTGATCCCATGTCAACTTTGCAGGAAAGCATCAATTGATAGCATCGATTCTGTGCAGACACAAACCTAGATTGCAGGTTTGTTACTCGTCTCTTCATCAACGAGAAATCCATTGTCCTTTCCCATCTTGGCTTAGAGCTGAAGGCGGGACGTGAAATATGATCTTAGCAAAAGTCCGGAGCATCTCTTTTCGGCTAGGTGGAAGGCTAGAGTACTGTGCTTGTGATGATATAAGAACGTTTGAAGATCTCGTGGTGGTACAACAACCATTTATCGCTACTGTACACTTATGGCAGCGATTGGTTGGCGAATACGCAAGCGATTGGCTGGAATCCACCCCAATTCAATGAGCTTCGAATTTCAGATTCGGAGCTACCCCACGTTCAACCTCCCCCCTTCTTTGAGTGAAGTTGAGCATGCTTCAACCACTCTTTGTCAGCAAATCCTCTCATCACGGGGTGTCCGCAGACTGGCTGAGACGGCAGCTGTAGCTGCAGAACGGTATTTCCTGGTCTTCTTCGTTTATAAAGCAAAGTATCAAAGAGAGTCAGTGAACTGTAAGCAAATGTTTTCATTAACCGTCATCATTCATTCTAGCTCAAACTGGAGATGCAAAACCCTCGATGCAACCAAGAACGAAAAAGCATTAGCATTAAAGGAATGTGTTAAAACCAAAAACCAAAATTCGTTCCGCCAAAATGCTTCCCACCCCGTGCGCCTTTCCTGACCCAGCTTTTCCTAACCGAAGACCCAAATGAAAGGTATAATTCGAATCTCCATGATGAAGCTAGCATTTAAGCATGGCAAGAAACGCTCTCAATGGTTTGAGGAGGACCAACAGCCCAGGTGTTAGCGGCGATTGGGGCCAATGCAGCTGAGCCGTCGACAGAGACGAAGTTGCAGTTTGATGCAAGAGCAGCGTAGGTAGAGACGAGGGTTGAGATGGAGAGAACGTTGTCTATAGTCTGTCAGTTCTAATCACGCATAGCAAAGCAGGATAACTTACTGGTAGCGACAACACTTCCATCAAGAGGAACTGTCAAACTGTACGTAGCTCCAAGAGTCGGATCCGCACCATTGAATGCAATGGTGATGGAGGTTGGTGGCGGAGGTGGTGGAGAGCCACCAGTGCAAGAGATTGAGGTGACGGTTTGAGGTGGGCCGACTACCCAAGTGTCGGTTGGGCCTTCGACGAGAGCGGGAGGGTAGTCGACGGTGTAGAGGGTGCATTGTGTTCCGATATCGATAGTATCCGAGGAGACACTGGAGATGGAGAGAGCATTGTTGGTGGGTTGGTCGGAGCCATCAAGAGGGACGGTGAGTGAATATGAGGCACCAGCTGCTCCGTTGAAGACAATGACGCCAGAGGTAGTTCGAGGAGATACAGGAGCAGCGTGGATAAGGGCGAGGCAGGAAGCCAAGCTGATGATATTGGAGAACATCATATTGATTGTAGACGTTGAGGGTAGATTGAGATTAGATTTGTGATAGTATGAGAATGAGATCTGGATATTGATGTGAATGTTGGATGTTGAGCGGGGTATCTGGAAGAGAGTTCATGTCTTTATATACTTCGAGAGCCTCATTGAAGCTCTCGCTCACACCGCTGCCAAGTTCCGTTCGTGGGCTGAACATCACAACCTCGGATACATGATCATTTGCCAACACATCTTCTCAGTAGGAGACCAATAGATTACCAGTGTGAAAGCCAAGAATCCAATGCCGAGGACGGACACGAACGGTGGAGAGATCTAGGGAACACAGCCACAAGGGACGTTGCAGAGAAGTTCTTACAATTCTGCAGCCTCGCGTTTGTATTCTGCTCAGCTTCAGTAGGTGTAGTCAGATTCAAAGTCTTTAGATGATCTGACTGTAATCGCCTCTGACCGCCAAGAGTAATACGCAAATATTGACAAACATGTTCTCAACTGAATTGCAAACAAACTACAAACAGTGAATGTAAACTTTATTGAACCGTTCGTCTGATAGTAATGAGATGAGTGCATCGCATACCGACAAACATGATACCCCAAACTTAAAATTTAAGCTTACAATATGATGCACATGGCCCCACCGACTTATTTATGGAGTGGCTTGCTCTAAACCAAGAGTGGCCGTGTCAGCCAACGCTTGTATGGCTTGCAGCTTAAACGGTCTGCACGAATGAGAGCATTCGGAAAATTTGAGGTTGCTCAGCTGCCAACAATCTCGTGTGGAGAATACGATGTCAGCCTTACGATCACGAGACTGGCGTTCACGAATCGTTCGATTCTCACTCCACATTGCTGACTTGAATGAGTACAGAGCAGTAATAGTACTACACATTGTATAGCTATGTGTCATTGAATGACATGGAGATGTAAAGTCAAGAAACTTCCAAGATATCTCTGGTCGACTAATGTACTGCAGAATAGAGCCAGCATCACGTGGTTCCAATATACCTCGGGACTTCGTCGCTGGAGAAGGCCACAAAGAGAAGCTGAAAAGGGCATTCATGCAATTGATTCGGGCTGGTGAGGTTCTCGCGCTCCAGGATCTACAGACGAATTATCTAAGGAAAAGAGTTTCAGGACTGGGAGGGAGACATGGATTGTGTACACTGCACTGACAGACGAGTTCCTGAAGCCACAGAGTTGTCCATTGATGACGTGGATTGAAGGATGTTAGGATTGGTTGCGTTAATCTCAACGCGCCTGGGCGCTCTTTCCCAACAGGTATGGTGAGCTGGTCAGGAGTGCGACTGTGTCCAAGCCTCAAGGCTATGAACGTCGAGACTTCTACGACTTCACGTGCGACTCCTGATTGACGATCGAAGCTGGGAAACCATAAATGAAGCCAGCTAGTAGGTTGATCAAGAAGGACTTGGGAGAGAAGTCGAGGTCAAATTATCGCTTTTTAGCTTCCAGGCTAGTCTAATTATAGCAGTCGAGGACCCCTTTACCAACTTCACTAGTGACTTGCGAATTTCTACAATTGCATCAACGCAATTCGTCCAGTTCATATCTTTCCTCGTGTCGATTATTGCTTGGATCTTGATGTCACAAAAATTTTGGATCTGGTATGGCCGCCATTTCGAGGCCATCATCCATCTGAGGGTTTTGACCCGAGGAAATGGTAGCGAATAGCATTCCATACCGTGGAAGCAAAAAGCGAGACAAAGTGTTTCGTGTAAGTTACAGTTATTTTTGAATAAGCCCAATCAAACAACAACAACAACGTTATGGATAACAAGCGCTGCGGTGGTCATTCCAACATGTATTCCATTGGCCGAAGCAGACTACATCGCTTAGGCATACCTAGGCGCCAACATCTGAGACAAAGTGGTCCAGGAATCAGGATGACATTTTCAACTCATTTATGAGACTTTCTTGAAAATTTTGACTATATTCCAAGCTGAGCCGATTCAATCAAAATGTCATTATGCGAGGTGTGCTCGAACATCGACATCAGAGATTTGCTCATTGCCGCTCACAAAAGATACAAAGACTCTCCCAGAAGTGACCGCATCGAAGACATCACTGAAGAAATTATCCCATACAATCATTATGAGAGAATATTTCAGCTTCGTGATAGTGCAGAGCAGTGCGTTTTTTGTGGGATGATTTGGGACACACAAGCTTGGAGAATGGAAAGTGAAAAGCCCGAAGACCATTTCTTTGGAGACGAAGGAGTTTTCTTGTATGTCGTTCATCATGGCTACGGGGAGGACGCCATACTGAGGTGTGACTTTCGACTGGCCGTTCGCATTGGGGATGCTATGAAAAGAGTCCATTCGTACCAGATGTTTCGTACTTTAACAGGAGGTGAGGCAGACACTGATGAAACTCTTGAAATGGGAAATTATTCTGACTCTGAAAAGATGATCCAGTAGCGGAGTTGCTCCCCAAATTATTACCCCCGAATTCAGGCTCCCCAGAGTGCCTTTCACACGCGAAGCAGTGGCTATCGTCTTGTCAAGCCGGCCACTCAGACTGTCATCGTGCCAACGAGAACCATGCACAACTCCCCACTCGGGTTCTTCGAGTTGGTAGCGATGGAGAAGATGCGAGTTTGTATGAAAGCAGAGGCGAGACAGGTCGTTGGGCAACACTAAGCTATTGTTGGGGCAATGGTCCTAAGCTCATTCTGACCAAAGAGACTCACTCAGATATGATGAGGGGATATCCGTCGGAAGACTTTCCTGCAACAATTCGCGACGCTATTATCACAACTAGTGCTCTGGGTATCCCGTATCTATGGGTTGACGCACTGTGTATTATGCAGGATTCCAAGAGCGATTGGGAACAAGAGGCTCCGAAAATGTCGCAAATATACACCAATGCAGTTTTAACAATTATCAATGCGAATGCGACAGCGGCAACCTCGGGTATCTTTCGTGATCGTGACCGGTTCGGCAATGGAGAATACCGAGGACCAACTTGCAGTTTACCATGGAGACGCACTGCTAGCAAGGAATATATAGCTTCGCAAAATGAATCCAGTCTTGCGTTGGAGTCTATTGTTATCCGCGGAGGGAGAAGCTCAAAGACCGACTGGCAAGGCCCCGGACCGGATAATCTTACCTCTCCTTGGGCGACTCGAGGCTGGACATTACAAGAAGAATTATTGTCCTGGCGCACGTTAACATTCATGGAAAAGGAATTGCTATGGGGTTGCCCTTCAACCCAAGTTTGGGAATCAGGCCAGTTCCGGGTAGCTTCCGTGGACTTTTCACGAAGTTATGACACTTCAACTGTGCAGCGTGTGAAGCCTAATCTGGGCCATGTCAGATTATTGCCGAACAAGAACGGCTTGAGTCTTTCCACTTCGCTCCCAGGTCTACGCACACTGAGTACACCGGAAATATACACCGCTTGGTACACCATGGCGGAGAATTATTCCAAGCGAAAATTGACCAAGGATACGGACAAACTCATGGCAATCGTGGGTCTCGCAAAAGATGCGCAGAACTACATTACAGACACGTACTGCGCAGGATTGTGGCTTAACGATCTCATTGCCGGGCTTGTGTGGAAATTCGATGCGGAATCCTGGTCGGACACAGAAGAATACGAAGTTCCACCAGGCTCAAAACTGCCGACGTGGGGTTATGGACGTCTCAAGGCCAATTCAGACTCGAGATTGCCATCTTGGAGCTGGGCTAGTATTAATAATGAAGTTTACTGGGCATTTAAAGAGCAATCTGCAGAAAAAGGGACTGCGCGGTACACAGAAGTAGCACATGTCGAAGAGAGGAAGATAGTGTATGCCTCCGACAGCCCATACGGTCCAGTAGAAACTTGCAATCTTGTGCTGAGGGGGCCAACATATAGCTGGTCTGCAGCTGAGACAGATTTTAACCAGACTAGGCCGAAATTGTATCACGATGTGATTCGACATTTGAAGAACGACGGCGAATATCAAGCACGCCACAAAGAGCACGTGAATCAAACCATTTTGGTCCTGCAGCTTGCTTGGATCGAGGAGCTGGTTCGAACATACAAAAAGGGCGAAGATGACACAACTAGGTTGACCTGTGCACTTCTCGTTTTGGAGACTGTGGAGGAGCAAGAGCCAGAAGCGCTGATAAATGGCGCGGAAATTTATCGGAGAGTATCTCAGTTGTACTCTGGAGATGTGACAAATGAAAAAGCAGTGCGAGAGGCTGAATGGGGGATGAAAAGTGTCAGAATAATCTGAAGGTACAAATTGACTCAGATGAGCTTGGAGGTGGCCATGAACATGAGAAGCATTATTAACACGAGACCAATTACCGAAGACTATCATTGACTGCGATGATTTAAGCCTAGAGTGTGCGTGAGCTCGCAACCTTGCATCCAAATAGTCAAGATTGCACACATATAGAGTAATCTCTTGGGGTTTGTGAGTTTCGGCAACAACACTTCCCACCTGACTTCTGGCAGATCATTCACAGCTTGAGTGTCTTCCCGTCTCTTATAGCTTTCTTTCCATGAACAAGCACGCACCATCCGTCATGTGCGTCTGTACCAACATGTCCACCGACAACAATCTTGAATTCTCTTTGAGCGTACTCGAAGTCTTCTGGGGTAACGCTACCGTGTTGGAACCACACTGCTTGTACACCAACTTCTTTTGCCTCTTCCAGTGCTTTTCGCGTTTGGTCGGTCTGTGTCAGGAAGGATAAGGCCGTCTCCGAAGGGTGAGGAAGAGAGAGAACATCTTTGGTAGTTGGGTATTTTATGTCATGTACTGTGATTAGGCGGGTGGAAGGATTGATTGGGGTGACGGGTAGGTTCTCATCGATGTACCAGGTGAAAACTATTTTCATCCATTTATCAACCAATTCTCTTTCAGAGGATATGTGTGAGAGGCAAAAATAGGGTACAGTACCTATATGTCCGAATTTGGCTTCATTTCCGGAGGCGCCTACAACAGCAAAGTAGGGTGATTTGAAAAATGCTTCAGCTGTTGCTTCAGCTGCTGCTTTTGCTTTTGCTTGTTCTTCTCTGGTCTGTTTTGCACTCATCTTGAACATGTGCGTTGAGGATGAAGCATTCAGAGCACGGCACAGTTGCTGTGAAAAATCGCCGAACTCAGTGAGTGATCTTCACGTGAGACAGTTTAAGGTTAAGCTCAAAAAGGTTAAAGGGAGAGATCTCCTGTGCCATGGACCTGCATCCAAGATACACATCGAGACGTCTTTCAACGGCCAAAATATTCTTCCACCTCAGCTCCAATCTCGCTCTCATCTCGCTCCAAGCTCCAGGCAGTGCCAGACTCAACCTGCTTTGGATATTATTGACGACCGCATTTCAATCCTGGGCAGTTTTGAGACGTGGGACGAAACCGTCGAGGACCCCTACTACGCGCTTGTGAGCCAGCGATTAGGCGCGCAAGTGTCTCGGGATGAATGTCCACCTTCTCATCAATACCGACAGGGCTGAAAGGTGACCAGAAGTCTGGAATACCCGCCCTCCACAGTGGATCGTCTGAGCATACCGAGCTTTGATGCGCTGTGATGATGGCAATCGTCCTCATCTCAATTCTTGAATTCTATTTCGATTCCATATTTGTCTCCCGATGACCCCCAAGAAGTCCTCAAACATGCACAGTGTCATACCAGCTAATTGCCTCAATGTAAGAGAGATTCGATGGATCCAATCACAACGAGAATGCGTACCGGCTGCAGCTAAGACGCCTTCCCCTTTTCCGATGCAAAGGATTGGGTTCGCACAGACGAGACAGCTGCGCCGCACAAGCGCCCAGAAGGGGTACGCGCTTGCTGGTCACTCTCAAGAACCTGACTTTTTCCCGACATTAACTTTTTATCCACTTTTCAATTGTTCTTTGCAGCGATTTCATCACATCGTTGTCTCTTTTGAAACATGTCAACAAATCAAGCGCGAACGAATCTCGGCCCTCTTACTACTACAGCTACACTTCCTTCGTCATGTCAGGTACCTGTTGAGCAGTGCTCAACATGCAGTGAAGCTTGGGGAGCACAAACATGCTTTGCTAGCACGATAGATAGCACTGTCGATTATGGTGTGCAGGACAATACCGATTGTTGGCCATCGACAACTTCCTTTGTGGCTACACCACCAATTCCACTGCAAGGATGGGGATTCTACTCTCCTGGTCTGGTATGTCCAAGTGGGATGTACTCTGCATGTTCTGCCACTGCGTCAAGGTCGTCGGGGTGGCCGGTTCAATTTGGATTGTTAAGTGGGGAAACTGCAGTTGGATGTTGTCCTAGGTGAAGATTACCATGGCAGAGAATTGCAATATGTACTCACCCTTTGTTAGTGGTTATACCTGCGCGAACGGTTATGCGCAAACATGCTTAACAACAGCATCTCAAACGAGCTTTCAAGTCGTATCTTGTCAATCGGGGTCCACAGGCCTCTTCACCTACCTCACTCTTCCTCAAACCCTCACTTCTACCGTCGGCAGTTCCGCATCCGTATTCTTACAGGATCAATACGTTCTGTCGGCGCCCCTGATACAAATCAACTGGCAGTCCTCTGATCGAATAAGCTCGACGACATCTGGCTTTGGCTCGAGTAGCCCAACATCCACATCCTCCTCACCAGCATCACAAACTTCCTCATCCATCTCAACACAAACTTCCACACCCTCATCAGGTTTGTCGACGGGAGCAAAAGCTGGCCTAGGAGTCGGCATAGCAGCAGTTGTTCTAGCATTCGTAGCACTTGCATTCTTCATCTACCGAAAAAGAAAGAATGCTTATGCACAAACAGGACAAGACTCACCGCCCACCACGCAACCGTTATATGAGATGAATGGAGGGAAGAAGGATTATTACAGTGGGCAGGCGGAATTGCCGAGTGAGAGATCAGTCTGGGAACTTCCTCCGAAGGACAACAAACCGCAGCCTCAACAAGTTCATGAGATGTATGCGTGATTTTGGTTTTAAGGGAGATTCTGAGATGCGGTCTGCTTCGTGTGTATTTTTGAGCTAAGCATAGTTTTAAGCATATTAGTTTTGGCGGGCGTCGGTATAGGGGCCAAAAGAGCATGTTTTGTTGCATTAAAGGGTCGGGTGTAGGGAAAGTTATACCTGAACGCTTCTTAGACGGTGTTCTTAGCACTGTAGAATATTACAAACCAATTCATAATTGCCTCCTCCACATAATAAGTCATAACCAATTCAAAAATGCGAGAAAATGATTCTGCGGATGCATCCGTGCCTTAGTGGAGCTACCCGATGAATTTCTAGGCTCACAGGGTAGTTTAAGGTTATTCGCGGCCCTGGAGAAGGCTGAACCGCGGCAGCATTCACCCTAAGCCTCGTCAATTCCGACATCGCAAACCTACAGCCAGGAACTTGGATAAAAGACGGCAGGTTTTTTGACCAGACGACTCTTTATATGAATGTTCTTTCTCCCGTTCAACTCAATTCACTTGCGCTCCCATTCAAGCACAGTCACGTCCATATTTCACTTGATTCATAAGCTTGGTGCATATATACCCCCCTTCCACGGTTTCTTCTCTTCTGTCTATTTCACATCTATACTCAGAACAACGAGAAAAGCTCCTGAGGTTCCACAAGCCACATAAACTTGTTAGCATTGCACAGGACGCACGTTCACACAAGTGTCTACTGGTTTGCAGACCATCCCTGGGTCGTGACGCAGCTCAACCCCCAATTCTTGCTTCACCCCGCAAATACAACCACCTCACCTCAACCCCTCCACTTGACCCCCCAAGACAACCTTCACAATGACAACCTTCGCGCAAGTCTCCCTTCCTCCCAATCCTCCCTCCAAGCTAACACTCACCAGCAAAACCGGTTTCAACGCGCTCTCCTACGCCGCCTTCCGCCCAACCTACCCACCCCAAGTCTTCAAAACAGTCCTCACCTACCACCGCGGTCCCTCCTCCCTCCTCCTCGACTTAGGCTGTGGCCACGGCCTCATATCCCGCGAACTTTCTCCCTCCTTCACCCGCGTGCTCGCCACCGATCCCTCATCCTCCATGATCACGCAAGCCACGTCCTCTACTCCCCCCTCCAAGTACCCGAACATCGAATGCCGACAAGCGTCCGCAGAAGACCTATCTTTCATCCCAGACGGGACCCTCGATATGGTGGTCGCTGGGCAGGCGGCGCACTGGTTCGATTACAGCAAGGTGTGGCCTGAACTTGGGCGGAAGATGAGGAAGGGCGGTACGCTAGCATTCTGGGGATACAAGGATAACACTTTCGTTGAGAATCCCAAGGCGACGAAGATATTGGATCATTACTGCTATGGCGAAGAAACGATGGGGCCGTATTGGGAGCAGCCCGGACGGAATATTCTGAGGGATAAGTATCGGGATATTTCGCCGCCGGAGAAAGAGTGGGAGGATGTGGTGAGGGTGGAGTATGAGCCGGGGACGGAGGGAAAGGGGAGTGGTGAGGGGGAGGTGTTGATGAGTCGAAGGATGAAGTTGGGGGAGGTGGAGAGATATTTGAGGACGTTTAGTGCGTATCATGATTGGAAGGCGGAGAATGGAGCGGAGAGGGATATTTTGGATAGGATGTTTGAGGAGATGGTGGAGGGGGAGCCGGAGTGGAAGGCGGCGGGGGAGAAGTGGAGGGATGTTGAGGTTGAGAATGAGTGGGGAAGTGTGATTTTGATGGCGAGGAAGAAGTAGGGGATGGGGTTGGCATCTCTGGCTTGTTTTCCTCTGCGGAGCAGATGGGCGAGCATTGGCCCTGAAGGATATGCATGTTTTCTGGAGGATTTTATATCCGATGTTCTTCTGATCTGGATTGAGACCACGACTTTCAGCTCGTGAAGGATGACGATTTTCAATATATGAAATCATATTGCATGGCTTTTTCAGCGACGTAGCTCTTGGAGTTGGGTTATCGGAGACGGCACTCGAATCTCTCTTCTTTGGTAATTGATACCGTGTATCAATAATAGAACAATAGAACATAAAATCGCTGCTTTTCAGATCTATCAATGAGTAAGATAGATCACTGTGATGACCACTTGACTTGCATGGCGTCCAATATCTTATGTCTGGTACAGAGGAAATATACATATTGGGCATTTGATCAAACTGTTGACAAGCAATATTGACTAAGAACAGAGTGAAAAAAACCCATTTCGAAAGATGTAATGAAAGAAAAATAATACCACTGACGTAACAATTGAATCAATCTGCGAATCTCCATCTCGCTACTCGTACATCAATACGCTGAGCTGAATCGCGGACGTGCACCCGTTGCCATGCCCACCACGAAACACCCTATCTCTCTCACACAGCACATCTCAACATCAAACTCCACACCGACAAAACGTCGCACGTCCCCTTGCAATAAAAAATCGCATATTCTTCCTCCATCTTCAATCAATCATTCACCCATCCTCAAACCAAACATCAATCGCACGCAGTCAATCACAATGGTGAGTCCAATCTTTTATTTGTTATTGTGTGAGGAGGAGAGGAAGGTTAGGCGCGGAATTCGGGCGATTCGGTCGTTGCTGCATTAGTACTGGTGCCAGACAGAGCCTCGGGGAGAATAACAACAACAGGAAGTTGCGAGTTTGCTTCATTCGCTCTTGTTTACTTTTCCTCCATTCTCTTCTCCTCGCAAATCCTCTCTTCCTCATCACATCACACGATTACAGAATCGATAATCTGCACCCTTACTTCTCACACACATACGAGTTTCTTTGGATAGCGATTATTTGAGAGAGAGAGAGAGAGAATATGGCATCTAACACGGCACCCTACGACGCGCAGGCAAGCACCAACTACAAGGAAGCATTCGCGCTCTTCGACAAGCGCGGCACGCAGCGCGTGCAAGTCGACAGTCTGGGCGATCTGCTGCGGGCTTGCGGACAGAATCCTACGTTGGCGGAGATTCGGGATTTGGAGAAGGGGGTTGGTGGGGAGTGTGAGTTGTCCTTTCTCCCTTCCTGGACTGTCTCATGGGAAACAAATAAGACAAAATGCTAATGGAGAGGAAACAGTCGATTTCGAAACCTTCTCCAAGATCCTGAACCGACCGGGTGGATTCAGAGATCCGGGCGAGCCAGAGGAGTATTGTCGCGGTTTCCAGGTCTTTGATAAGGATATGACGGGCTTTATTGGGGTGGGGCAGTTGAGGTATATTTTGACGAATTTGGGGGAGAAGATGAGTGATGAGGAGGTGGATGAGTTGTTGAAGGCGGTGGATACTAGTAGTGGGGAGATTAATTACACTGGTATGTTGATTCTATCCTGGTGGACTTTGAGGAAATCGACTGGACCAAAGGAGATAGATTGGATAATGGCTAATGATTGATAGATCTTGTCCGCACGATCCTCGCAAACTAGACAAGCACCCAGAGCGATGGAACGAGATATTAGAGAGCATACTTCTTTGTACGACATACGAACATTCATGGCATTGATGGATAGGGCTGTGATGAGCACAGATGGCTGGCTGGGGCGTTCACGTTGATATTCATTGTTTGACGTATGAATCCTAGGGGAAAGAACACAGACAGCATAGCGTTGGCAGGAAATATCATGACTGCAATTCTATTCCTCTACACTTTTCCCATCCAGTGAACTCCTCGCTATGCAGAACCAAGAGTGCTCTATTCAAAAACAGCAACCCCTCCACTCCTAATATCAACATCTTCCTCCCCAATCCTCTTCCCCTTCCAATTCCCACCCATAACACTCGTCCCCAATATCCCCCCAGGCAACAAATACATCACCTGCCCCCTATACTCCCCCTCCTCTCCCTCCCCATCAACATCCATCTTTTCCCCCTGGCCCTGACCTAGCCCAACAATCTCATACCCAATCACAACCCGACACCTTTCGCACCTATACAAAACCCTCTTCTCGAACCCATCTTCCCGTCTAATAATCACCGCTTTATTGTCCTTTGTAAGAGCAAGTAACAGTGTATACCCGGACGGAGGAAGAGGGTCCTCGGATGGTGCTGGTGGAGAGGAGGGGAGCGGCAGGATTATGTCGGGGGAGCTTGAGGTTGTGCGGCGGGGGAGGGTGGTGAGGGTGTGGGTGCTGGCGAGGAGGAGGGTTGTGCAGTGGCAGTGGTAGGTTTGGATTTTGGGGGGTGGCATGTTTGAGAGGATTGTGGACAGACAGGAGAGGTAGGTTGAGAGGTGAAGGTTGGCTATTGTTGACGAGGCTGTGGCTCGAGGCTGAGGGATGCAATGCAGATTTGGATCTTCGGTGGAGGATTTGTCTTGTGAGGCGTGTAGATGTTTGTGTGATACTGCAGGCGGGAAGTGAATGCTGTTGCGACTCGGGAGAGTTTTCGAGAGTGGTTTGGTGAATTAATTGGAGATTCTTTGTTGGTGTAGAGATTTCAATTGGTGATGGAGTTGGAAAGCTGCTGAGATCAGCTAGAGGTCCTTGCGGCGGGAGAGCAAGTGTACAATAGCTAGCTGCATATCCCAGACCCTGTGATGCACTGCACTGCATCGACCACGAAACAGAAACAGAAACACATTTATCCATTCACCTATACACTAATTCACTTCCCCTCATTCCAGTCACCCCCAATCTGCAAGGGCGATTCACCGCCTTCCCCCTCCAATCCTGGCGCTTACCTTCCGTCTCCGCACCATCCTCCTCTCCCTCTTCCTCTTCATCTCTATCCTCTCCATCCTGGCTTCCACCCGCGCAGGCACCAGACTCACCAGTCTCTTCGCCCAAATCAACCTACGTCCCACAAGCTTCCCCTTCAGCAAGACTCGCCCCTTAACCAACAGCACGATGGCGCCCTCCCAATACAAGACCCCGCCCCAAGCCCCTCCCCTCTTCACTGCTACGAAAGACTCCCTCATCGACGACGCGAGGAAGATCTGCGGCTCCACGAGAAACCTGCTCGATAAGCTGGCCAAGGATATCAAGCCTGCCCACGCGACGTTCGAGAATGTGCTGTTGCCGATGGCGCAGGACGAGGACGCTGCTGCGTTGGAGAACCGCGTGATTGGGTTCTACCAGGCTGTTTCTACGGATAGTGAATTAAGGGATGCGAGTTCTAAGGCGGAGGAGATTATGGATGAGTTTAATATCGAGGCGTCGATGCGGGAGGATATCTTTGCCCTCGTTGAAGGGGCGTGGGAGAAGAGAGAGCAGAGCACGTTGGATGGGGAGAGTTTGCGGTTGTTGGAGAAGGAGCGGAAGAGCTATATTCGGAATGGGTTGGGGATTGAGAAGGGGCCGAAGAGGGATCGGTTTAAGGAGATTAAGAAGAGACTTAGTCAGATCCAGATTGAGTTTCAGAAGAATCTGAATGAGGAGAATGGAGGCATTTGGTTTACGAAGAAGGAGTTGGAGGGCGTGCCGAAGGATGTTTTGACGGGCTTTGAGGAGGGGACAGGTGATAATGAAGGGAAGTTGAGGTTTACTTTTAAGTATCCGGATTTGTTCCCGACGTTGAAGTTTGCGCTGGATTCGGAGACTAGGCAGAAGGTTTTTATTGAGAATGAGAATAAGGTCGGTCTCAAGCTTTTGTGTGCTGGTGCTTTGCTGACAGAATAGTGCAACCAAAATGTTCCATTATTCAAGGAAGCTATTGTGCTCAGAGATGAGGCCGCTAGACTTTTAGGATATCCGGATCATGCCTCATTCATCATCGAGGACAAGATGGCCAAGACACCAAAGACAGTTCTTGACTTCTTGGGTGATCTCAAGGAACAGCTTGCTCCAGGTGGCGCAAAAGAGGTCGCTCATCTTATGGAAATCAAGAACGAGGATCTCAAGGCCAGAAATATGGCTCATGAGAATGACGGAAATTATTATCTCTGGGATACGAGATTCTATGACCGCATGATGGTTGAGAAGGAGTATTCGATCGATGAGAACAAGATCGCTGAATACTTTCCACTTCAATCCACGGTTGAGGGTATGTTGTCAATTTTTGAGGAGCTCATGGGCTTTGTCTTCATTGAGATTAGTCCTGAGGATAGGGCGAAGCTTTCTCGTGAGTGTTCCTGCTGGTATCTGAAGTAAACTGGCTAATGAGCCCAGCAACCGGGAAGGCTGAAGACATTTCCTGGCATGAAGATGTCAAGATCTTTAGTGTATGGGATGATGAAGGAGAAGGTGGAAGTTTTGTTGGTTATCTTTACCTGGATCTCCATCCTCGTCCTGGAAAGTATGGCCATGCTGCCAATTTCTCTCTCCAACCAGGATTCATCTATCCCAATGGCACTCGCCGATACCCTGCCACAGCCCTTGTGTGCAATTTCTCCAAACCTACCAAGGATAAGCCATCTCTTCTCAAGCACGACGAAGTTGTAACCTTGTTCCACGAACTTGGTCATGGTATCCACGATCTCGCTGGTCGAACGAAATACTCTCGCTTCCACGGTACATCCGTCGTCCGCGATTTCGTCGAAGCACCCTCTCAAATGCTCGAAAACTGGTGCTGGACTCCCTCCCAACTCAAATCTCTCAGCAAGCACTACGAGACCGGTGAGAAGATCCCAGATGATTTGATCGAGAAGCAAATCAGCGTCAAGCATGTCAACGACGCCCTATTCAACCTCCGCCAACTCCACTTTGGTCTCTTCGACATGAAGGTCCACACTCCCAAGACTCACGAAGAAGTCGAATCCTTCAAAGTTTCCGAAATCTACAACACGCTCCGCACGGAGATCTGCGGCCTCAAAGGCCCAGAAAGTTTTGGCCTGAAGCCAGATTGGGGTAATGGCCAAGCAACATTCGGCCACTTGATCGGTGGCTACGATGCCGGCTACTATGGATACTTGAGTAGTCAGGTCTATAGCACGGATATGTTCTATTCGGTCTTCAAGAAGAATCCTATGGATCCGAAGGAAGGGAGACGATATCGGCATACGGTCCTCGAAAAGGGTGGTAGTCAGGATGAGATGAAGTCTTTGGAGGATTTCTTGGGCAGGAAGCCGAGTACAGAGGCGTTCTATGCGGAGTTGGGGTTGAAGGCTAAGTAGATTTGGGTGAATGGGGTGTATGATCAGAACAATATTATGGTGGGCTTTGGAAGCAGACGACCGTATTTGGAGAGACAAAAATATGGCTAGAGAGAGCTATCGTTGATATTCAGTAAGCGCAAATACCGAAGATTCTACTTAATAAGCGTTTCTAATGTGCTTTGTGTTCTTGATCTACTCTGCATTAAACATAGCCAAACTCTTTAATTTACCAGAGCTTGAAAAGGTAGTCTAATGTCTTATGATCACCAAGGTCGCAAACACTGAGCCACAACGGTTTCCCTCCCATCCGGATCTTCACCATCTGCATATCGGAAAGCCTACAAATTCTACTCGAGATAGCTTGAATGCATTTCCAGATCTGCCATACATTAAACGTATCCAAAGTCTTTCGTCTTACAAAGCCAGAAAGTTATCTTATGATCACCAACTTCACAAACACTCAGCCACAACCAAACCAAGCGGCCTTGAATCGGTTTCCACCTTATCCGGATCTCCATCATCGATTCTCGGTCGGCATATCTATCTCCCAGCAACACAAGCTTCATGAAGCAGACGATTTTAGATGATCCGTATGATCTCCGTCACACCACTCCGATCATCTTATGTGAACTCCTGGCCACCACTTTACCTACCTACCCAGAAATACACATCTCCACGTGACCCCACACCAAATAACGCCGTCTCGCTTAACAAGGGGGGGCAAGAAGAGGATCTCCATCCGAAACACGACCTCCTTCACACAACGTCTTCACCACGTTTCAAAGCCCCGCCACCTCATGCGGGCCGCGCTCTCAGATTTCAGACGGGGGCATCGAGCGTATTCAGTGGGCAGCACGCAGATCATCGGATGAAAGGTCTCTCGTCCGAAGACCGCTTTTAGCATGGACTGGACGGGTTTCTTTTTTTTGGGAGAGGCTTGTTGTTCATGCGGAGATGGGGGGTGGGCGGTCTGGGTTTTTGAGACCTGGGACGCAGGAGCCTGCCTGTTGTTGGTATGGTATGGTATGGTATGGGTGGCCATTTTCATGCGTCGTCGTCTTGAGCCGGTTCTGCTTACTTTCTCTTTATCTCTTGGGTGATCTGATCTGATTTTTTGAAAACGTCTCTTTTCTGTTTTCTGGTTTGATTATTATTTTGATCTACATACATACATACATACGTTCTTTTTAATTGTCTTTTGTTTTGCGACTGGATTCGTATTCTTTTCGTCGAAACGTGTAACTGTCGGGAACAGATTTATTTATTCATTCATTGATCTTTCTGGAGTGAGGATTTGTTGAGTCTTTTTTTTTTTTTACGATTATACCCAGAAGGAAAGAAAGAGATGGATACTCGACCTAAATTGCCGCAGAAGGCTTTCAGGAAGGAGGGGGAGGACTTCGATGCCTTGGAGGATAGGAAGATTGGGAATGGGTCGACGTTGAAGTTTGGGAGTCAGAATCAGATGGAGATGATGAGGGCTGATACTGGAGATGTGTTTCCGAGACCGAGTAGTTCGCATGCGGATCCATTGGTGAGTGCTTCGCTTTGGATGTTGGATGAAGACTGACGATGAGCAGAATTGGGTACGCTGGCGGAAGGAATTAGCGTTTGCTTCGCTGATGTTGGCGACGGCCACGATTGGGAGCTTGAAGACGATGTTTGTTACCGTCAATGCGGTGATTGCGACTGAGTTGAATTCCTCGTACACAGGCGCCGCAGCGTTGACTGGCGTACCGTTGATTATTGGTGCGATGACGGGTGTCAAGAGTCAGATTCTCAGTCAGACGATTGGAAAGAGGGGGATCTATTTGGTCAGCTCGATCGTGATGTTGCTTGCGGCGGTGTGGAATATGCATGTTACGAGCAGCTACGCGGAGTTTATGATCTCGAGAATCTTTCAGGGTATGGGATGGGGAGCATTCGAGGCTTTGGTTGGAGGTTCTATCAATGATTTGTTCTTTGTGAGTTGTCCAACATTGGGAAATGAGCACTGCTAATTTGAAAGGTCCATGAACGATCAGCTCGAATGAACGCATACAATGTCGTCAACATGCTCTTCCTTTGGGGATCACCTATCCTTGGAGGCTTCCTATCGCAGTCCACCCAAGGTTTCCGTAACCAGATCATGGTCGTCAACATCATCCAGGCCTTCTCGATCGTCTTCCTAATCCTCGGTGCTCCAGAAACGACATTCGATCGCACAACTGGAGCTACACCACCCGCAGAGAATGCTCCATCAGGAACACCATTCAAACTTTACCTGAACACCCTCAAACTCAAGACCCAACACTCAACCCGTCCATTCTCCATCACCCGAGCCATGCAACCACTCAAAGCGCTCTACGCCCCCTCCACTCTCCTCACAATGCTCCTCTCAGCACCTCTCTTCGCAACCTCCTTCGGAATCGCCGAATCCCTCTCCCTAATCTTCACCTCCATGCCAACCTTCCTCTTCCCCTCCCGCCTCGGCTTCCTCTTCATCCTCCCTCTCATCTTTTCCCTCCTCACCTACACCATCTCCTCCTACATAATCTACATCCGCTCCAAACCCCCACACCACCTCTCCCCCTCCGCCTCGAACATCACCCTCGGGGTCTCGATCCCAGGCCTCGTCCTCGCCGTCGCCGGCCTCCTTAGCTTGGGTCTCTACACCGAACAAGCTCTCATGCCAACCATCGTCTCCGACGGCTCCGGCTCCGTCTTCGCCTTGCTCACCGGCGCAGACATAAGTCTCAAAACCGTCTCAGCACTCTTCGGTATCCTGGTCGCCGGCTCCGTGGTCCTAACCTACGCCTCCACGACCCACCTCTCGTGCTCGCAATCCTCAACAGCAAAAGCCTCTCTCTTAACAGAAGGAACCCGGTTCTGGGAACAGATGTTAGCCGGTATCTGGACGATTGGCATGCCGATGTGGGTCCAGGGCGCTACGCAGGAAGGTATGACGATGGTGATGGGGTTCAAGGAAACGGCGATCGCGTTGGCGGTTTTGAGTGTGGTGTTGAGTTCGAGTGTCGGGGCGCTGTTGTGGAGTAAGGGGAGGGAGATCCGCGGGGTGGATGCGAGGGTTTTGGGGCGGGTGGAGGAGAATGAGGGGGAGGGGCAGGGGCAGTTGAAGAGGTGGAATACGGGGGATAGTTTTATGGATGTTTAGATTTTCGGATTTGTGGGAGGGAGGGGGGATTGGAGTTTTTTCGGGGAGGGATGGAGGGATATCATGATTTGGTTGGGTGGTTGGTTACACGTTTATATCTTGGCCAGCAGGGCTGAGCTGAGAGGTTTTTATATTGGTACTTATGGTATGATGAATAGATAATGATATACTGTTTTGCTTTTGATTTGAAGATCTGTGTTTCTCGCTCTTTTTTCAATTTATTATTCTCGTGGCCGTCGATCGATACTTTGAGTTAAGAATCTTGAATTTTCGTAGAGTTTGGAATATACAATACTCACTAAAGATGAAGAAAAACTCCCCAGTCAAAAGAGTTTACTAACCCTTTCATGTCTCGCTTGGCCTCAACCCGAGGTGGACCAGGTTCTAGTGACAGGTATTGATTCTGCAATTAAGAAGCTCAACTACACATTTCAAGAATCTCGCGTGTCAACTATCACTAGAGTTCGCTAGACTTGGGCTTGGTACAGAGGCACACTTCAAATCATTTTATCATAAGCCCTGCCAACTCTTCATTCCGAGACCTCTTTCCTGGAAGACACTAACCCAAATCCGCAACGAATAATTTTTATACTCCTTTGGAAGAATCATCATCTACCAGCTTTCTACAATCACCTCCCACCCCTCTCAAAAATGCCAATTCCCACCTCGTTACCAAAGTCTACCTACTCCACTTCTTTAATAACCAAACCCGCAGTAGCTAAACAACACCCAAATCAGCACTCTTCCCCTCCCTCAAACAAAACAAAACAAAAGTAACCCACTCACGATAAATCTCCTCCCCCGCATGGAAAGCCGGCGGTGCCACACCAGGAACAGCATGGAAATCCACCCCACCCCACACCACTTATCAACACTTACCTCACCCCTCACAAACCCAGATACAATTGCAAACAAGCAAGAAACTTACAACCATCCCTCACCCCCTCATCCCCCTCTCCCCCTAGGTCCGGCAACAAAATATACGCACCCTGACCTCCACCACCAAGACACACTAATCTGGCCATCCATCTACTACCCGGGACCAAGACCCGTGGCTGCCTTCCCGCTAACTGCACAGCTGGCTGGGAATATCAACAGCTAACGCACCGGCCCCGCTTCGGAGTAAGGTGTAGTTCCCGGGTTGTTGGGCGGCGATGGTGCCGTGTAGGAGGTCGTTGGGGGAGAGGGTGAATATGCTGGTGGTGGTGGTGGTGAGGTTTGCTGTGTGGAATTTGGGGAGTTGGTGCTTGGTTGGTTGCCTGCGGGAGTAGAATTTTAGGGGAGGGGGGAAGGTGCTCGGGAGCTTAAAGGTAGTAGACTGGAAAGTGAAAGAGAGGTAGGGATAAGGAAACGGGGAGTACAGGTAGAACCGAGGGTTCCGGTGTTGAGAAGGGAGATGGTGCTGTTTTTGTGGGTGGATGTGCCGTGGAGGGTGAAGGTGTAGGGGAGGGTTGAGAGGGTGGTGGCGGTTGTGGGGCAGAGGGCTGTTGTGGTGGTTAGGTGAGGGAGAGAGTTAGGAGGGTGCGGGACGGTTTCATTGTTGGGTAGGAGGCTGAGATTTTTCTTCACTTGGTGATAGAGGGGAGTGGGAGATCTGATAATCTCTTGAAAATGTGTTCAAAAAAAACCTTCCTAGGATGAGAGAGAACAAGAAATAACATAATGTACCATCCTAAAGTTCTACATCACGAAAGTACTGTACCTCCCTAAAAATGGTCTTCTGTACTTGGTGGTGTCACCCTGTGAGAACCACAGTTTCCCAGAGTTGCATTGGACAAGCGTCGGATAGGAAAGATCAGCAATCAGTATCTCTGTAGTATGCCACGAGTAACTTGTTTCAAGGACTGAAAGAAGTTCAGCTCAGATAAAAGCTTCAGCTGGGAATTCTGGTGATTGCGCCAAATGCTTGGGACTAGCAAGATCGACTGTATTACGAGGCCCACGATAACGAAGTGTTCAGTGAAATCTGACATGTGCCCTAGATAGGGATGTATGTTTCAGGTTGTTAAAGATAAAGATGCATCATGAACACACAACAGTGAGCTTTCGAACTCGTTCGAAAGCTTCACTACGCATGTGACAAACAAATGCACGTCTCAAAAACACGACATGGTTTGTGTGAAAAATTGTTCAAAGATGTCCCGACGTATCAGAATAACAAAATATAGCCCAAAGACACGATTGCGCAGAGAAACCGAAGTCATGCTATTCTATTCCTGGACACGGATCTTAACCAGGAGACAAACAAATTGATTTGATATCTCTGGATATTATTGACACTCACACTTCACAAGCACCATGATCATCTGAAATGGCATGTCAACCCAACACATGCAAGCTCCATGGATGTTTTGACAACTACCCTCCAACCGTACAAAATCATCTGAAACATCTTGCATGTAAACCAGACACTTGACTCCTCCAAGATCTCCTATCAGTGTCTTGGTAGCTATCAAAAGAAAGGAACAGAGAAAGTCGAGCCAGCCAATTTCTTCATCAACAGACGCGAGAGTTGATTCAAGAGAGCACGAGAATGTGCTAGCTGCTTCGAATGACAACTTTTTGCTTCAGCCGACTGAAGGATCCGGGCCCGACGAGCCCGTTTGGATCATCGTCGACGGGAGAAAGGGTAGAGGTGAAACCCACACTCCTGGTGCTTCAATGATTGCACGATTTTCTCAAATGCTGTACAAACAAATCACCAACTCACCTCGTCCGAAAATTCCAAAATTCTTGACAACGGCGCTCCACTTAACGAAAGATCATCCAGCAACGATGAATACGAAAATCAAAAATATTTAATTCCCAAAAAAGAAAAAAAGCACCCAAACACACACCAGCACTAGAAATGCGCAAACGCCCGGCACCCCAGACACTAATCGAGATCCATCGCGCCGCCTTTGCTTTATGTGCAGTAACTAGTCAAGAGGAGGTGAGACGACGGCGATTTATACTTCGCGTCCTTCAATTCTCTCCTCCCTGTAAGCAAAAAGAACCCGAATATCCACCCCCCCAACATTCCGAGCTCCTGACTTCCCATTCACCTCCTTCCAACCTTCCAACCCCCTTAGCTCAAAACTTCACCTCCAATCCCCTTCACCCCCAAAACAGTCCCAGAACACCCATGGCCAAAAGACACAAAGCCACTCACCCAAAATCTCACAAAGAAAAACTCAATCGGACATAAAGGAGTCCCAACAGATCACTGCACGGATCGACTTACCTACCGGGTGAAGGGAAACACCGTGCGTATGTGCGTGCGTGCGTGCGTGCGGCTGAGAGGGGTATGTACATTAGTCTTGGCGTTCGTTTACGGTGGAGGGAAGATTAGGTCACGCCACTTGCACGGGGTGGGGAATGACTCGTGTATCAGGAGCAAAGGATTGAGTGGTGATTGGATGAACGGATGTAGCACAGAGAGAGAAAGAAAGAGATTGTTGTAAGGGTTCATATTAGGTACGTCTGCAAGCAATTGCAAGCACATATCTGTCTGGATGAAAAAAGGGGGAAAAGTCAACGCCAGCTAGCTCGGAAAATGGCAGCAAGCAAGTAAGCAAGCAAGCAAGCAAAGCTATGTACAAGCATACACTCCCCATCCATGATGATTTGTCCCCATAACTCCGCCATTCATTCATTCATCTCCACACATCCCTTAAGAGAGGAAGTATCTAGACTTGATGTTCCTTATCCTTAGCCCTGTCACTTGCGCCCTTGATCATGGTACTGAGATCACCAACGGGGATCTGGAACGGGAAATCGAGCGCCGCGAGCATGATGGCGAAGAAGATCCACCAGCCCGCCATGCTCGTCACGAACGTGAACGCACCGGCCGCGATCTGTAGTCGTCCCGCTAGGGCCGCAGCACTGGGGTCGTTGTTCGCGATCGAGTTTGCGTTCTGCCAGTAGGCGCCTGAGAGAAGGCCAAAGGCGATGACGAGCGTGAAGAAGATGACCACGAAGACGATGTTGGTGCGGAGCGAGCAGATCAGGTAGACGAAGCAGAGGACGCCCATGAAGACGAGGAAGAAGCCGAAGGAGGCTGTGAAGCCTACTGTTGCTTGGCCGGCGGCTTCGGGTTGTCCTGTTGGTGCGTAGAGGCCGTAGGCGTAGTAGAAAGGTTGGAGGGTGGCGGCGAAAGTGAGCCAGAAGGCGCCGAAGGAGGTGAAGACCACGAAGGGGAAGGTGTTGCCGAGGATGAATTCGAGGAATCCGCCGAGGAGCATGAGGAGACCGCCAAAGAAGAAGTAGCTTCCACTGTGAAAAGTTAGTATGTTGTGAGATCGAGTGAAGATGATCGATCTTACATTCCGGCTGCACCGTTACCACCAGCACCTCGCCATCCCATCAGATCGCAGGAAAGTGGAGACAGAGAGAGCAAGAAACCGAGGAGAGCACTGTGATTTGTTAGCCAAGATCGAATTGGAAGATGAAAGGGAGACATACACAGGTGTAGGATTTCCGAAAGTCTTTCTCAAATCACCTTTGACCGCGTTTTGTGGCGACAGATAGATCTTCTCGAACAGCTCAGGAGAGATCGAAATGCTGCCTGCAGTTCTGATCCGCTTCAATGCCTCGCCATGATCCATATTGGAATCATTCAAGTGATATGCACCGCCTCCGTTGCCATTGGTGTATCCGTGACCGTTCGAGAAGTCCTTTTCCAATGGATCACCGTTTGCACGAGCTTGCTGGTTGTATTCGGTGGCCATTGTGGCGGTGTTGTTTTTGGATGGAGCGAAAGTTCCGGAGAGGAGATCCGATAGATATATGGGAGGTAGAGCTTAAACGAGACCAGAGTCTGGCGATAATCGGAAGACAGACGTAAACAACACAATGAGAAGGCACGGAACAGCGTTACTTATGACCGTCAACAAGGAGATAGATAGAATAATCAAATAACACCCTGGGGATGCGAACTGTTATGTAGCTACTCAAGAACACGACTTGTTCACCTCCGCACTTGCGGAGCCCCGGATTCCTGTCGCAGTTCAGAGCTAATTCTTACCAGTCGATCAGACGATCCCGGTAGATGCAGCTCATCAGAGAGCTCCCACCCCCGAAAAGGAAGAGGTGAAGCTGTCCCAAAGAGCTCAAGTGTCGAGTATTGGCTTGGGTTAGCGAACAATGGAGAGCAAAGATTGGAGATTTACCTGTTGATCTGGGAACTACCCGGCTTTAGCTGTCAAGGCACAGACTAGGACCGTTTCGTAGATTGCTCATGGGTAGCTCATGCTGGAGAGACAAACTTCGAATCATCTGGGAGCCCTCATTTGTTCGGTCGGTTTGAAAGCCGGAATCCGAGTTCTGTTGCGGGTGTTCACTTCCTGTATGTTGTATCAATTGGCCAGATGTCAACGAGGACTTTTTCCTCTGCGTCTCCCCAGCTTGATACTTCACCACTTCTTCCCTTCTTGACCCCTATTCAGCGTTTCGACTCTGCGGCGTGGAAGTCACGTCATGGAGAAAAGGAACGGAATTATGGCGCTTCGGTCAACCAATTGGCCTTGCATCCCTGTATGCTGCTGCATCTTGGTAGCAGTGCGCCATGGCTCTCCTCGCACAGTCGTTGCACGACTCGCGCACTGAAAATTATACTGTATGACAGCGTCCCCCGTCCGGCGGTTCACAGGGATGGCGTGGACAATAGAAATGCCGGCCCAGTGGAAGAGGCGTGGATGGTGAGCGTCAGTGTAGACGCAATACAGTTTGGCGTTGGCCGTCGATCGCGTACCGAAATGCGGGGAAGTGTTGGGGGGCTTGGGGCGTGGAGACGAGAACTCCAGAACTCCTCCTCCGTGTCTCGGGTTCGAGGTGATGCAGGATTGCACATGGCTGGCCCTCTGCGGTACAGCGTACACTATGCAGAGAGGTACAGATCATCATGATGAACAGTCTGGACCGAGAGCTGGATATTGATGGTGGTGAAGATGTTTGGAGAGTGAAAGTTGGCGAGGAAGAAAAACTTTAAAGTTTCCACAAGTTCTCTTCAAGCGAGAACTGCACGTGATGCTCCTCTATTTGTATTTCATGCCAGCCAAAAAAGCAATACGAGCAGCTACCATTTTGTTGAGTGCATTATCACGGAGATACCTGCCGGCGAATCATGTACTGAAATCAAGCAATCAAGCAGCCATACAATCATCGGTCCAGATTGCCTCCAGTAACAACCCCAGATTGAACGGCTTCCAAGCTGTGCGGAACCAAACAGACGTCGGATAGAGCACCATACGGAAACTAGGCTGGCGGATATCGAATCAGGATCAGAAGCGGGATTTGAATAAGTATTTCATTTCTTAGCTGTGATGTTACGCAGTGGGCTTTATGCAGCTTCAAGTGGCTCTTGGTGCTTTGGGACGGGAGGAAGGATGGCATTCTCCTTTGGTGATGAATGTATGACCTGACCATATCTCTGGGTTTATATCACACACAATTGACGTGCAATATGACACTCGTTTCACATCTCACATCTCCACAGCTCTTCAAAGCATAGGGCTACTCTCCTCCTCTTCACGTGATACCCATCAAACTCTCATACCTATTTCTCCTCATCTCACTCCTCACGATCTCCACCTCCACCTCCACACGAGAAGCGTTCGAGTGCCTCGGCCCCCCACTAGTGCATGCTGACTACCTACCAGGTAAACCAAGCTACTCCCCACGCCATCTTCCTTAGTGCCACGGCTACATCTGCCGAGGTTATGCTCCCGTGATATGGGTGCGGAGAAGAGCCGCATCCCGCATCCTGAATTGATGGTTTGTGGTACGGATGTGTGTGATCCTTGGGAAGGGAGATGTGGACTTTTCTTGTAGCTCTCGGTAACGGAAGAGAAAGCGGGACAAAGGTCGGGGTTGGTCGAGAAAATTGCTACTTTTGTGACCGGGAAGAGAGCTCGAGCTATATAGCGTACTTACCCCCTTGATGATTATATGCTAATTTATCACAGATTTAAAGACATTTGAGAGTAGATGCACAGACAGAATTGAGTGAGTCCGTCAGCAACTGATACTTGGAAGTGGCATAAGCTCTCTCTCCCCCTTCAAGTTATTGTATGATGGTTAATTAGCAAGGGATACACTGTAATGACAAGGCTTCGTTTTTTCATTTGGCTTAGATTGCAATATCAATCAAGCAAACCAATTCAAGCGTGATAACCTCCTCTTAAATGCATGCTCTTAAGAAGAAGGCTTATATGGACATGACAGTACTTCCCAATTCCATGTTAAGTCCACGTTAGCATACGGACTCTTAATGTTGTTAGATCACATCATCTGACTACAATGTAACCCCTGATCATATGCCACTTTGCTTTTTGCAGGCATGAAAACATGCCTCTTCATTTTGAGAGAGATTGCACAGACGAAATTGTGTAAAAATGTTTCAAAGTCCGTCAGCAACTAAATACTTTAAAGCGTCACGATATCTCTCCCTTTCAAGTTCCCGAGGCGCAAGAAAGTAAATTATAATTTGGGGGTGCATTGTAAAGTATAGGGAACTTGAAGTGATTGCAACAGCGATATATGAGCGCCTCAGGCGTATCTTTATCGAACGTTTATGACGATTCACGCGTCGATTGAGTTATCCATTTCTTCTTTAATCTTATTGTTGGCGCCTAAGGCGCCTATCAAGAAGCATAAAAGAACTTTTTTGCTCCTCCTCAAACCTGCAAAGATATGTATTCGTCAACTACCTTGACCCATGGGTGGCGGCACCCGGCTCCTGAGTACCTAACCATGTCCATGTGTGTTCATACGTAATGGACGGAATAGCAAATGCACCCGTAAAGAGATTGTAATCGTTTAGGTGCACTGTTGTCGAATGGGTTAGGTATTGCCGACTGTAATCAAGTTGACAACGGTTTTAGTTGAACATGAGAAATATGTTTGCTTAGTTCTGACATTGACTTTGAACGCGATGACATGCAGCGCCTGTGTTGCCAACTCAAAAGCACGAGTTGTAAAAGCCACATGTATTTGTACCATGATAGAATCTGAAGTAGACTTTTGCAATGCTAGAACTTGAGTTATTCACCCTGAGCGCTCAAGAAGCCAGCACGCTAAGTGGGCCAGGTAGTGTACAAGTGCAATCTCTAAATTTATAAGATCTTGGTATACATGACTTTTCATGCACAAGATGGATTTCTTGCCACCCTCCAATATTTCAGAATACGTGGAAATCGAGTCACAACAACCAACGTCTATACTAGACAAGATGGAGCCGGGAAATGCAACTTTGCAATTGCGACCAGAGACCCTCCCTACCACATCCACAGCTACAGCGCTTGCGCCTCTGGGATCTGGTAAGGATGGACAATTGCTCAAAGCTGGCTTTTGCGATAACATCAACACCGACAATCCTTGCCGCAAGAAAGGCGAGCGTTTCTGTACTACATGCAATTTAGTGAAGGTGTGTTATCTATTGCTGGCACAATTGCGTTGCTAATATAACACGCAGTATTGTAGCAAAGAATGCCAGGACGCACACTGGGATAGCCACCAAAAGGACTGCAAGTCTGAAATCACGCTCGTGACGTGGCTTCCTGAATGTATGAAGGACGACGAGGTCGAAAAGCGGCAGCAGAAAGCAGAAGCACAGGCGAACAGCAAGAGAAAAATAACTGGAGCAATCGAATACCACCTGGGTAGTACAGGCTTGCCGAAGAGGGGAGATAAACCTTGCTACCACAAGTACCTGATAGGTAATACCCCTGCCTACGATATCGTCAATCTCTCCGAGGTCGAAGGCCTGGACTGGAAGCACGATCTCGACATCCTTTTCGCAGCTTCGGGAGATTTGAGGAACGTTATGAAGACCGTCGTATCGCTTCCAGATAGTTACCGCAATCGATGCAATGTCCACGTTAATGACCGTGACGAATACGTCGTGTTCCGAGCCATCATGATACTGTTGCTTGTGTTGCTCTACCCAGATGGGAATGCCAGCGAGTTGGTGCTGCACTTGGTAAGTAAAATGGTCTCGAATCTAGGAACAGAACTGATCACTGCGGAGTAGTGGTACTCTGGCCGCCTTCCACAATCAATGTACAAGAGAGGGATCACGGATTGGTTGATTCCAAAGCTCTCAGAAGCCTTTGCCAAATCTCTAAATGAAAAAGCTCCACCTGACAAGGTTTTCGCGCACTCCTTCACCAATGGTACATCTACTGTCACCGTGCGGCTGACATCACGGATGTGGCTGAATATGCTGGTCGTGCTCGAGAGACCCAAGGAAACAGAATTGGGCGAAGAGGTTCGCCTGGAGTGCATGCTCACTGCCGAACCTGAGAAACCATGGGTTCAATATAATATGCATATGAAAGATCCGGCATATCGGCTTGGTGAGCTCCGGTACCGAACGACTGGCTTGCTTCTTCCCTTTGGAGCTAGGGACGAGCATTTTGACACAATGAATCCGTAAGTCACAGAGTCTGTTTCGTGGACAGTCTTTCGCAGCTTCGCTAATCTTTCGAGACAGGACCTTCTTCGATCTCCACTGGAATTATCTGGTGGCAATAGAGCCTCTTCCAGGAGCATCTTTGAATGACCTCAAGCGTTGTCGGACAACACTTGGCCTTCCAGAGTGCGACGTCTATGGTGCATTCTTCTACCATCAGCGCGACTTGATCGAGAAATTCGACAACTCCTTGTCCGATCGTCCAGTCAACATTGTTCTATACAATCAGGATGCAATTGAACTCGCGGGCCAGACAAAGACACAAATGTCCGACAGAGGTTCCGAAGGGCAATTCGATCGAATTGATCTTTCCAACGCTCTAGATTCTGCGTACATCGGTACCAAACAAGCGTTGAAGACATTCATACCTCTTCTGAAGGCAAAGAAAGTGAATCCGAGCGCAACCTTGCTGGGTCATTATATGGCAGTAGTAGACCCACATTTGCCGAAAGTTCTTGCAACACCCAAGCATCTTGAGGATATCAAAGTCCGGCTTTCCGAAGTGCTTCTTCAAGAAGAATGGGATGAGGAGATCGGCACAGGCGCGTTTAAATTCTACAATAGTAGATCTTATGAGATTGAACGTTACTTGTGGAATCCCGAGCCAGCTTTCGCTCAATTCCAGAAAGACGAACATTTTGAGGCGATTGAGGAAGAAGCAAAGGCTCGCATGCCTTCCCAGAATAAGATCATTCCGGAATGGCCTCTGAAACCAGACTTTGGAGGAGATATCGAAAGTATCAAAGCCAATTTTGTGGCAAGATCTGGTCATTACGGGTGGCGTCCGTGGTTCACAAGATTTGGAGAGTGGCAACGGAAGGATATTTGCAAAATGACCTAGATTCTACGGTCAGTGTAGGTTGCTACAGTAAAGCAACTTAGGGAGAGATTGAGGCAGGAAGCGTGGGATAATGAGATACGATGGACTCTATGCGGATTTTAGGAGGCGATATTGCGCCAGGTAGCGACGTACTTCATCGCGGATTCAGGTTCGTTGGTTGGCTTGTGCTTTTTTGAAGGGCTACGTTAGCCATAGCAGAATAATCAATCCCGAATGAATGGATAATGACCCTTTAATACGATTGTCATCACTTGTGAAGACTAACACTGTATTCATTTGGTAGCAGGGGTCTCGGGTGAAGCATGGAGGATTCAGGAGACGTTGGGGTGTACATCAACCATTCCTCATCGGGAAATCATGGTCCGTGCATGTCAGCTTTCAACAACCAAAATTCATATCAGCTTGACCTCAATCCCTCAACATCACCATCAATTGACTTCGAGAAAGAGCTTCAAATCAATTCCAATCACCACGTACCACTCAATTGGCCTCCGGAAAACTCTCATAACCCTAAACTTCTCGAAGCTTCACAATGGCTGTCCTTGGGTTTGCACGGAAGCGTGATCTTGCTTACTTCATCCACTTCTGCATGTCGATTCCCATCATGTTCTGTATGTACTCAATTCTTCGACTTGGCAAACCCCCATGGGCCCATGTCCCTTGCTCTCCTGATCCAGACCAACTGCTTATACGATCACGTGATAGTGATGGACCTCCAAGCCTTGTACCCACCTTCCATGGTCCCCGCATTCATGGCAGATCTGAAAGCCTACTATATCAACACCTACAACGACCAATTCTTCATTGACACCCCTCTTTTCTTCAAGGTTTTCATGTGGAGCGAAATCTTGTTCCAAGCTCCGGTTATTCTCTGGGCCATTCCCGCTCTGCGTCGAAGTATGTTTGCTATCTCCATGATGTTTTTGAGTTCCAACTGACGAGTGAAAGATGACCCCAAGATTCCTGTGATTCTGCTTCCATTCGCTACAGTGATCTTTCTAACGACGCTCACTTGTGTGGTGGAGATGTGGAACTGGGATATCAGTGTGGAACAGAAGATTGAGCTGAGCAAGCTTTATGGGCCTTACCTATTACTGCGTAAGTACATGTATTTCGAATTCTGAAGATGCTCCTGCTCATGTCTGAACTATAGCAACTTACATGGGCATTGATATGTGTCTTCGTCTTTTCGACACCATCAATCGAGCTTCTGCCACTTCAAATGTCGTGAAAGCAAAGAAAGCACAATAATCGGATTGAATGTTGCACACACCGGTTAGAAACGCATCAGAACGAGAAGACGTATGGATATGTACGAGGAGCATGAGACTTGGCTAAGGACAAAAAGAGACCAGGTAGCCGGAGAGTGTGATGAATAAAACTTTCATTTTTGTTTGCTCATGACAGGAATCAGGATCTCTTCCGAAGTTACGTGGATGATTCAATTGCACACCCAGACCATTATTTCCAAGTGTCTAGCAATTGCTGGTAGCTACTGAACATTTCCGACCAATTTGTTTCTCTTCTGCTCGCGATCGTTTTCGGATATCCTCTTCCTCTCCTTCGATTAGATCTTTGCGAGATGGCTGTGTCTTCTTTGGGGCTGTGATTATTGACTTATTTGTAGTCAAGCCGTCATGATGGGAACTGAATGCTGAGGACTTTTCTGGCATGGGGGAATGAAGCTTTGGGTAGGTTCCGGACAGCTGGTGGGGTCCTTTTTTTTTGGAGGGTTCTACTTTTGCCAACCATCTGTCATGGGCGGGATTGAGTAATTATATGTCACTTGACTTCAATAGACTATGAAAAACTTATTCTATTGCCAGTACCGTTTGAGAGCCTGAGAAATGATGAATTCTTCCCTGCCGTGACTTGCACTCATCTAATCTGGTGAGGGTTATTTGGAATTGTTTCCACCTTAATTGGTCTCCAAAAGGTATTTGGAACAAAATCATCAGCCCTGCTGAGAAAATCGAACGATTCTGACGTCCAGACTGCCGTTTCCTTTTGCGATAGACGAACACGCTATACGGGATCACGTGGACGGCGCGTCCTCTCAAAAAATCGCTGTCGGGATGCGAGATACGTTTTCCCTCTCTCAAGCTTATGCACCATTCATCCACTGCGCGACCCTGCGACGATTTTCGCCGTGTAACAATTGCTGCAGGAGTCGTGATTGGAGATGCAGCAGTAAAGCATTCTGTCGACTCCGTCCAGCCGGTACCGACAGCTAAGCTTCTAGGCTCTTGTTTCGACTCACTTCTCCCACACGCGGGCTTGCGCGTTCCGAAATCTCAGCTACCAACAAAGCTCGGTTTGGCGCCTGGATATTGTGGCTTCGGTACCAGGAATCGGGGACGTAAACAATGTCGTCGTCGCCCTCGAAACCGTTGCCTCAGAAGACGCGACGGACGCATACCAAGTCGCGTGGAGGGTGCATGGAATGCAAGCGACGAAAGTTGAAGGTCTACATACTTCCAATTAGTCTTTTCTTGAGATTTTGCGCTAAGGAAATTGATAGTGCAATGAAGCAAAGCCGGTGTGCGGTGGTTGTACGAAACGCGAGATCACCTGCGTGTACCCGAAAGTGGGCTCAAGAACTCCACTTTCGAAGGATGCAGGTCAAGTGTTGAGGCCTAGTACTTCATTATCGGTGGCCAATGCACTAAATGGTCCTGCAACTACAAGCTCGCCCAATGTTGCGGTTCAGGAAGAATCGTCAGATGCAGCGGCACCTGCCAGAGGTATTGGGTACGTGAAAACCACCCTTGTTCTTGAATACAATTTAGGAGCTGAGTTCTCGACTCACTCTTTCGGGAGCTACTCATTAAAGGACATGTGTTTCTACTCCTGGGATGAACTTTTCGACTCTCAGATCTCTGTCAAAAGCGTATACTAATTTTGCTATAGACAATTTGATATGAAGGACATGGGATTATGGCATCAATTCATTTACAGTACTGCCGCTACTCTTTCGAATCCTTGGGGACATGAACTTCCAGGTTTAGCCCTCAATTGCGACTATTTACTGCATGGCATGTTGGCTTTGGGTGCACTCCATCTCGCGTACCTGAATCCAGCAAAACGAGAATCTTATAGTATCTTGGCCAGTCACCATTACGATTTGGCAATTGGGCCCTTCCATCGAGCCACGAAGAGTGTCACACCAGACAATGCGAATCAAATTTTCGCCTTTTCAACCCTACTCGTCGTCATCAACTACGCATCTGATCGTTCGCCTGAGCTTATCTTTCCGTTCGCTGATGGAGAAGCGCACGATGGTCTCTCGAATTGGATGGTGGATCTTCGTGGATGCGGAATCATTTTCGAGACCGCAAGTGCCCATGTTATTGAACAAGGACCTCTAGGCTTCCTCATCACGCAAGGGAAGCGATTGCAGGAGGTGCTCTCGACGGGTGCTCAACCAACACCGGAAGATGATCGCAGTCTCGCACGCATCAAGGACGAAGTTCTAAACCTCACATCAGTGAAAACGTCAACCACTGTTGAGGAAATGGAAGCCTATCATGACGCGATCGAAAGATTGCGCGCCTTGCTCGCAGCCTCCACTCAGCCTCTCGATTCAGTCATCAAACGCGCAGTCTGTTCTATCTGGCCATCAAGAGTATCGGACACCTTTGTTCGATTATTGAGTGAGAAACGACCACCAGCCATGATCATCCTGGCGCATTACTGCTTGCTTCTCAGAGGACTGGAAGAGTGTTGGTATATGGAGCGTCGGGGAGTCAATTTGTTTCAAATAGTCGTGGGCGCTTTAGACAACGAATGGGCGATTTATGTCGACCATCCCCGACGGGAATTTACCTAAATCCTTTAATGGGAGCGTATCGGCCGATAAAATAACCCGAGAACGTGACGCGCACGCTATCTCGTAGTGCGCGAAGCACTGCCACGCTGAGTTTAGGGGCGCGGTAACCCCTGGACTCTCCGCGGAGCGATACCGATACCGAACGAACGAATCCGAAGGATCGAGTTGATGTATAAGAACAGACGAATTTCTTCCTTCATGTATCTTCATCAGCAACAACAACTTTCCACAGTTTCTACAGCCTTACGATCGGAATTCTCTATTCACGCATTCTATCATCGACTACCAAGAATTCTTACCTCGCTTGAGCTCAAAAAGTTTATTTTCTCTCACTCAAAATGGGTTTGATCAAAGCCGGAATGTATATTGGTGCTGCCACCTACATTGTGTAAGTCCCCTGAACAATCCCTACATCCAACGCTCACTAACACTTCCCAGCAAAAAAATCACCGAAGAAAAAGACAAATCGAAAAACAAGAACAACGCTCCCCAAAACAACAACCAATACCCACCCCCAGGATCTTGGCCACAACAACAGCAAGACACTCGCGGCTACCCTCCCCAATACCAACAATACCCTCCTCCGCCCCAACAACAACAGCCCAAGTTCGGCTACTACGATACCCACGGCCCATACGAAGCTCAATACCAAGGAGCTCCTCCTGCGCAATTTGGTCGTGAAGAGCGGGGTACGATGGAGGGTCGTCCTTATCAATATCAGGAGGACTCTAAACGGGAGAGTTTCGCGAAGATTGAGGACTCGCCGTCGCCGAGACAGTGGCCTGAGGCGCAACCGGCGAAGTCGAGCAAGTGGTGATTTGTTTGTTTGAGGGTTGTGCTTGCATTGTTGTGGGGTTGTGGTCATATATGTATATTTATGATGATAGATGGAGTTGGAGTTGAATTGGGAAGGGGCGAAAGGTGTCATTCATTGCTTATACTCTTATTTGATCAGTTTCTTCGCTCTCCATGAAAAGCAGCTCGCGTTCATCTTGTTTCTCACTTGTTCATCCTTGGCGCAAGGTGTTACTGCAGAGTCACTATCGCATAACTGTTCCTCCCTTTCCGCAATCGAAGTTCCTTGCATAGTCTCAGTGACCGAGTGGTCGAGATCAAGAAAGACTAGCTTTTGAAATCCCTTGTGTCATTCGTGTAAATCTGGCAAATTGGATCATGCTTGCAAGCTTGTTTACCTACCAAAGCAAGGAAACCCAGGCCTAATAGACAAGGAAACTTCGTAAGGTTACCTCAATTAGCACTTTATAATCTCAAAATACAATCAAACAATAACGACAATCCCACTCAAACCCCCACAACTCCAAATCACTCCGGCACAATCCCCCCAATCCTTTTCCAAAAATCACACCTCGCACCCCTCCCCGCTTCCCACGCATACGCATCCGCAAACTCAAAATTGTTCTTCAGGCCTGGCTCGACATACCACTGCACGACCTTATTCTCGAACGAGAGATGATCCTCCAGCACCCCTCCCGTCTGATTGATATTAAGCAGAATCGGCCGAGACGGATTATAGCTCGGCCAATGCTCGATGGTCGCCAGGCCTGGAGATGCGTCGGATGCGTTTCCGGCGGCGCCGATGGCGATTGAGAGGGGGATGGAGGGGTTGTTTTTTGTGATGAAATTTCCCCAGATTTCTAGATAAGAGGGAGATTTTGGTTAGTAATGGTACTCAGTTTAGGAGAGAGTTCTTGGGAGGTATGTACTTCGCATCGCTAATTCCAGATCTGGTCCGTGGGATGGGAAGTCGGGTGGAAAGATCGTGAATTCATCTATTGAAGGTCAATCAGTAAGGAATCAGATAATGAGATGGTATGGAGGTGTACCAGTTCCGTGCTCCGCATCCACGACTGAAAATTGTGTCTTCCATGCCGATCTTCCGTGGCCGGAGAACGCTTCAGCGAGCCAGTAGGACGGGCAGACGAACGTCGATTCTCCGTATAAGTTCTGGGGACATTCGTTAGCTTAAGGGGAGAAGATTTGGTGGGCAGAAAATCAAGGGGGTACGTACGTTTATTCTTTGTTGCTGGCCCGTACCGAACACGCTTTCGTTCAAAGCCGAAGGCGGATGTGTGCCCGTGGTAGCAAATTGCGGTATACTAGGATCCACTGGTGCGGTGGTCGACGGATAAATCGAGATCAGTTCTTCGAACTCGTGGTTTTTGAGCAGTGGAAACATGACATGGACATGATTCAGAAATTCCTCTTCTGTTAGGATGTTCTGCGGGCTGTACTGTACTCCCTCATCTGCGGAATGCTGTTCAACTTTAGCAATTTCACTTAGTCTCTGATCGTTGGGTGCTGATTACCGTAGCAAGCATTCTCTTGCCACTGACTTTCTTCTTCCGTAATTGTTCGGACGGGCGTTCGAGTAGGAACTCGCCGTCTGTTACCGGGAGGAAGCCCCAGGTGCCGTATTTTCCGTTTGTAGAGACGAATTCACCTGCTTGGATGAGCGTAGAAGTGTTTTTCGACAGCAGACAATCGAATGTGGTAGTGTTGATGTGATTAATACAACCTGCTTCGGCGGCAAACCTGTAATAAGATTGGCTGGGGATATAATCGGAATAGTGCCATCTGTCAAATCTTTGTTAGATACATAGAAATCAGGCAATATGATCAAGACTTTTCGACGTACTGTTCAGGTAGATACGGACTGGCGGCAAGGATCTAGTGAGTGTTAGGTTTGCGAGGTTCAAGGACTAGGGATGGGACGACTTGCGTTTTCAAACAAGCGGGTCCCTCTCGTTCCACCAAAAGCAAGACTTTGCAGCATCACAGAGCCACCACCCGCAGACAATCCCCCAATGGTCACTTTTGATTTATCTCCACCGAAATCTTCAATGTACTGTTGTACCCATTCGAGAACTAAAGTCTGGTCATAAAGTCCTGCATTGACGGTTCCAAATCGATGGACTTCATCAGAGGCCAAGAATCCAAATGGACCAAGCTAGATGTGCTTGGTTAGACGTCGGTGGAAAATAGTGAGAAGAGGATCTTACTCTATAGTTGATCATCACGGAAACGAACCCATTGTCATTCGCGTTCATGAAATCGGAGGGGTCAGAGGAATTTCCTAATCCTTCTCCGTATCCGCCCCCGTCTTGAGCGGTCGTTAACTTGACGTACTGAGAATCATATTGATATAGAAGACTTACGGATCCAGACCATAACAGGCAAATTCTTGGCGCCTTCGGGTGCGTACAACTCTATCGTATTGTCAACTCAAAGCCTCTATGACTACATCAATGGATACAGATACCTAAAAACAAGCAATCTTCATTACGAAGTGCGGCCTCATCTCCAGTTAGGATATCAGGAAATTTAAATGAGCTAACAATCAGTCTCAAAGTTTGACCCGAGCGTGAACACTATAAACTCACAGAGTTGCATCAAATTCCGGACATTGAGGAGTCGGCCCTTTAGCAGGCAAAATGTGGCTCCTGTTCACTGCTGGGGTCTGAGGTTTCTGCCATCTGAGATCCCCTACTGGTGGGGCTGCAAAGCGAATTCTCGAGCACAGTCAGTGACTTGGAAGAAGGATGTGAAGTTGTATGCATACCCTTTCCAAATATTTAGCTTGCTCGTCTGATTGTGATAGCCTTTGTAGATCTCGTAGCCCAAGTCCACTGTCAAAGGGTTTGATGTAGTAGCTTTGAGAGGAAGGAGATGGTCGTATGGATTTGTGTGGTATTGCTTTTGGAAACGTACGTTCCAAAAGATAGCGGCGAAGCAAAGAACTGCGCCTACCAGGAAATTCATCCTAGTTGTTTTCTTGTTGGTAGCTATTGTAGTAAGCGTATTATTATGTCCCTCATATGGCGAGAGAAACATCTTTAATAGAGATCCTCAGCTGCCCCCAACTTCGTCGCTATCCACCGTCATTGTCACCTGCCTCCGGAAGAGAGAAAATTTGTCAACACCTTGTTTGAATTCATTCAGCTGATTGCGAGTTACTGGTCTTTCTAGCCACTCATACCAGTCCTGCCTTACATTTTGGGACGAGAATGGCATTCGCGAGTTGTTCTTCAAGTCAGCTTATGCTATGAATCGAGAAATAATTGCGCAAAGCGAAGCAGATGATCCTCGGTTGGAGTCGGCCAACGCTTTTACGATGCTTACAATATCCAACCAAGTAAGCCTTCGCCACAGCTGGTGGATCCTTTTCAAGGTCGATAACCAGCTTTTATTTGTCAATCTAGCTCAGCTGCCGGCCTTTGATCACGTGTAATCCCCTTTCCCCCCAGAGACTTCAGAGGGCTGTGAACTCTTATTGCGTGAGATTGTGTATATGTTCCTTTAAAGTGTGTACAGTAAGCGAATAACTAAAACGACTATTAGAAAAGGAAAGTAATGCGAGTTGTGAAGTGCTTTAGATTGTGGAGGTCCGGAAGAGAATAATATTTGATGGTTCAGATGATGCGTGTGCCTTATGCGGTATGCAAGTCGTACTCTCAAAGTCGTTTCGCGGACAGGCGTGCAGACTGAAATCTTATGGGAGCTGACGACACATTAAGATTTGAATTTTGTCAGAGGAGGATGCTCAATGAGAGGAGAACCTCTCCGTAGGATACAAACTCCATTAACTTAACCCTCAAATTTGTGAGCAGACCTGCCTCAACATTTCCTTCGCCAGCCCTCGCAGACAATCACAACTTCCCCTTCCTCCCATCCTCTCCCAACTTCAAAATGGGCCTCAAATTCTCCCTCTGAACCCTCTCCCACAAACTGCCCCTCCCATCCTCTTTCCCCCTCTTGTTTTCCCTCCGAAACCACTCCTCGGCACTCTTAATCCTATTCGGATGAATCTCGTCCAACAATCCATAATCCCTCTCCACCACATCATACTTCCACATATTCCAGAACCCCGTAAAATTATCCTGGAAGCTCATCGTCGACTTATCGTTAATATCAGCATTATACCCCGCTGCACCTGCCGCTACTTTACCCCATTTAGCCCAGTACTCGTCAAGCGAGGTGTCGATGTATTGCGCTGGGTGCCCGGTAACGGTGGAAAATGCTTGAGCGAGCTCAGCATATCCTATGTGCGCAATTGCTACTTCGAGATCCATTCCACTTGCTCGCTCAGGATGATCGAATAGCCAACGGACATAGAACCCGCAATCCTCGAGCGCAACGTGAACCACGTGCCCTTCACCGAGAGGGACTCTCCAAGTGACGACCCCGTCTTCGACGGTGGGCGTCATGATCGTTTGGCTCGAGATGGACATCTCGATATAGGGACCTGTAGTGAAGATGGCGGCGCCCATTCTGTCTTTATTTTTCTGGTTTTGGAAACGGATCCACTCCCCCACCCTACCTTTGCCATCATAATGCCCAGTGCGGAATTTGGGATCATAACCACTTTTCTTGAGAGTGTAGTCCAGGTTGCCGTACACGAAAAACTTGATGCCCGTCTCGATCGCAATTTCGTAGGAGCGGATAGCCCAGTATATCTCTGTCTTTTCACCAGTGTTGAACCCATCTATATTCACGAAAGCGCCGTCACAGCCCGTGAACCCTGCTCGGAGAATATCTTCGTCGCCAAAAGTTCCTTCCATGAGTTCCACGTTACCTAGATCATGGAGTTCTTTCGCACGCTTCGAGGAGGTGTCTCGGGTGAGGACTTTGCAGGAATATTTCTTGTCGGCGACGAGGGCTTGGATTACTGGGATCCCTTGGGCGCCTGTGCCGCCGATGACGAAGATTTTGGAAACGTGTTGGGATGCCATGTTTGTTTTTGAAAATGAAGTAAGAAAAGGATTGAATGGAGAGAAGTGAATACAGAGGGGTTCTTGAATATATATGCTCAAAGAACTCGGAGGTATGAGTAGCAACCACAACTAATGGTTTACTAATCAAGGTTGCTCAGTGAGGAGATGTCGTGCATGATGTGTTCAGTAATCTGGGGTATTTGCAGCACCTGGGCGGATATTTTACTATTCGTCCCGAATGTTCAGTAATCAAAGCTCTTGCCAGACTTGGCTGGCAAGCGACTACTTGCAATGTATATGTTTGAATGAGCAAGAAAAGAAGGGACTTTGACCGTAAGAAATCGCAGACGAGACAAATCCTGCATTTTCATGTCCAAGCCCAAAAACTTCCGATACTCTTGTCCGTCCCTCTTGACCAGTCTGACCTCGTACTCCGAGAATTTAGGATCCAAAAAGTCGAAGAGAATGACGCACAACGAAAGAAGCCGCAAAAGTACCCAAGCATAGTGCTTCTTATCGACGTCATTCTGCCACTAAGTCACTAATCATTTTAGATCGCCATTATAGCACTCTAATGCCTATGGTAGTAGCCTTTGCCTGCAAGCCATTCAGTGGGCATTCTGCTTGCTGGTCCCAAAGCTTGAATCAGAGACTCACGGCCCTCCGTCTCATACAAGCATACTGGAACTTTCTTCACAACACAATTACAAGCCAGCCAATTTTTCTTGTGGCATCCTTCTTGGTACATGAGTTTGCAACAGAAGGTGAACTCCGTCTCGATACGCTTCAGTCTTCGAGTTATCGCCGCGGGCCTCATCAAGTTTCTCACAAGATGCGCCGCTGGACCTGTATCGGTTCCTAGAACTTGAAGGAACTCCTTCTCCTTTGGCGAGAATTCCAGGGCCAAACGAAGCTCTTCTGAGAACTTTTCCGTCACAACATCGAGGAGAGATTGCAATGTAGGATACTTTCCGGACGCATCAAGTTTGGAGATTACAAGCTTGATCCACCATGCATCTATGTCATAACTGGAGATCTAGGGAAGATGTAGGTCAGAAGTTTTTGTCCAGATAGGAAAGCGGTACTTACCTCAAGAAGCCATTTGTTGCGTTCCTCCGCGGGTGTTAGGATTTTGATCGGCCGAGGGGCCTCGTGGGATGGTGCCGGTGATAGAAGCGGTAAATAAGGCCTGCAAGATGGTTAATGTAAATTATCACCCAAATAAGATTTCGAAATAGCATCGTTACTCAGCAGTTTTGTGTTGGGATCTCTTGAGTAACTTCTTGAGCATAATGCTGAAAGGCATGGTAGCTGTTGAGATAGATGCAACAACGAGTTTAAAAGTTTGGCAGAATCCTTAAATCATTATTTGAATTTGAAACAAGTTGAAAGAGAGTGAATACCCCGTGGTTTCTTAAGAGTGCTTTTGATCGCGATTTGAACCAAAGATATCCACTATTTGCGAGCTAATTCGAGACTAACACTTGGGAGCCACAATATAGGTCGGTACCATAAAAACAGAGTACCGCTAATTAAGAATGACACTAACATCTTAGCTGAAAATGAATTGATTTGATACTCATATATTTCATTCTAAGAATTTCCCCCAGATGCGTATCGATATGAGAAGAAATGTGCTCCTGTTCGTTTTCTTTCTCTAGTGTTTCTTGCTAAGAAGTCACAATATAAAACACTACAAGGTCTTGCCTTATCAGATAGACTCATCACCCACTTGCCCTTTTAACTCAAGAGAATGGGTTGAGTGGAAATAAAATATAGCGAAGTTGCTTAAAGATCGAGAAAATACAATAACAACGTGTAGTTCACTGATCCGGGGCCATCACTGAACCAGATGTCGTGCGTAACTTGTTCAGTAATCTGGGGGAAACACTGCCGGACCTAGCGCACATCTTGCCAAAACGGGACTAATCCAACGATAACCTTGAATTTAGAGCCACTTGCCCGAATATATACTATAGCACGCTAGAACTTGGCTTTGAGAGGGGATGTAACCATTTGAAGAACTTGAGTCTTGCATTTGATGCGGGCTTAGCACTCGCCTTTCGGGATCAAGAATCGAATGGTCCCCTTCAGCTGTTGACTTTCTACTTACGGAGTTGGTGAGTTGTGATCAAAGGAACAGGAACATGCCTCGTATAGTTCAGCTCTTTTGAATGCCTGATTGAAGTTTCTGCGCCACGACAAGACAAAAGAGGCTCCCTCTCCAAGCTTGGTGTTAAGCACGGAAGAAGTCTGTCGTTGCGAAATTTGTAGCGTGCAGATGGTAAGGATTCTTGAACATGTTGTTTTCGCGAGTTGAGAAGGAGAACGAGTCATAGCGTCTATTCGTATCTAGCGCGTTCTGCTTTTAATTTTGGAGACCGGGCTAAGAGATTGTAAATTTCTGAATCGCATTATAATCGGAGTCAGGTGGTTTGAAGTAGGAGTGCTTGCCGATGATTCTCTTTGGTCGTTTATTATTGATATCCTCTGTAGCTCTGCACTTCCTTCAACTTGTATCAAGTGGCCCTCTTATTATCACCAGCGTCGAGATGACTACTCTTGTCATAACCACGACTCTCTTTTATGTCAGTTGGCTTGGGATCTGGTATATTCTACCATTCTGGAGAGCAAATTGAATTCTTTCTGCTTCCTAGAGAGAAATAACTTCCGTCTAAGCATTGGTCCCCATGCCACACCTCTTGCCCTTTGATAGTACTGATCTGTTCTTCCATAGCATTCTCCCATTCATTGAAGCGGATGCTTGATGACTATCTTCTCAAAGCCAGCTCCCTGATTGGCAACATGCTGCAACTCCTTCAGTGTCTCTTCTGCTGAATGTTCGATGATACGGACATGAGGTAAAACGAAGCCATTCTCACGCCCGTAGTTCTCCAGGACCCATTGTAGCGCAAGATCCATCCGCTGCTCTTCGGACGGGTTGGGAGCAAGCAGTATCTCATGTCCGATTGGCAATCGAAATTTCACTTCCCGGCTCTTGCAAGCCAACGGCATACCGAATTTTGGGTCCCGGCGAACGATGACCGATAAGAGGTTTGCTTCAGCAGCGACACATTGGCTGAGCAGATCTGCAGACGAAGGCTCGCTCTCAGTGCCGACGGCATCAATGGCATGAAGTACTGGATCGGACCCAAGGGAATCGATCGTTTCTTTGATGTCTCTGGTGACTTCTGGGGACTTATAATCAAAGCACTGTGTCGCACCAAGCGCTTTCAATTCTTCGTGTCTCGATGTAGACGCGGTAACCATGACATGTCTCGCGCCAACTGCACGAGCGAATTGAACACAACAAATGCCAACACTGGAAGATGCTCCCCAGATGAGCACAGGCCCAACGGAACCAGTCGAAGATTTGGGAGGAAGGTTGAACTCCAAGATATTGAAAAGAGCGTCCGCAGCAGTTTTGACCACAGTAGTCAAACACGCTGCATCGGCATGAGGAACATGGTCGGGCACTTTGAAGACCATATCCTCTGGACACGCAAGATAAGTCTGATGTGTGCCATATCTTGACGCTCGGCCGAGGCCAGTTGGAGTATAGCCGGCAATGATATCTCCAGCTTCAAGTTTAGACCCTGATGATGCTTTGATGACTCGGCCGGAGAAGTCGTATCCCATGACTACTGGCCGAATTCCGAGGTGTGTAGCATGTTTTATATCGGCTGGATTGATTCCTGAATATAGCACTTGGACCAAGACTTCGCCGTCTCCAGGAATTGGTAGCTCGTGGTTTCGGCGCACGCTGCATTCGCAGTTCTCGTCCATCCATAATGCTGTGTTTGTGAGTTGGGACATATCTGCGTTTCTTTTGTTATAGTTGTAATGTCAAATCACTAGCTGCTGACTGAATCTTAAAGGACCATGATGAGGCTACAATAAAATGCCGTAACTGTTACCGTCCACGCAGCTTGCACGCATTCCACCTCCGGCGGCTCCGGTCCCACTTCCCCTCTCACTTCCACTGTCCCTCCACTTCGGCTTCTCGTCTCCACTTTCCAAGACCGACTTCTAAAGTCTAATAAACAATGGTTCCTCTTCCCCGCAATTATGATCCTCATGATATGCCGCTGTTACTATCCGGAAGAGAATTACAAGTACCCGGATGAGCTGTGCTTTGTTTTGTGGTGCCCGCTTGCGAATATAATGACTGATGGCACATCCGCTAATGAGCTCGTCGAGGACATCACATCGCAAGTGGATAAAGAGGCACTCAATCCTATTCAATCTGTTTCATTTTGCTTTTCGATAACGAGGAATCGTATCCATGTCTCATTTCAAAGTTGGGTCAGTAGAAGTCCATCAGCGACCAACACAGCGACTCTCAGACCCTCCCAAGGAACCAGAAACACTTGAGCTCTATCAAGGGCACAAACGAGGGCCACAATACCGTTCGCTGCCTTGTGATATCATTCTAGATAGGAACTTCGTCCTCACACTGCGAGATGGGACCAAGATACGAACGGACATTTTCCGTGCTAAGACTGAAGAGAAGAGTCCTGCAATTGTTATGTGGGGTCCATATGGTAAAAGTGGCGATGGGGTACTTAACCTAAAAGTCTTTTCGCATCGAGCAGGAGTTCCACAAGAGTGTTTATCCGGCTACGATAGTTTCGAAGGGTTTGTCCAGCTCCCTATGCTTGAGCTTCTCTTTGGTTGACTCAAGTGTGAGACTCGATCCCGCAGAATGGGTTCCAAAAGGCTTCACTATTGTCAACGTAAACGCTCGAGGAGCTGGAGATTCGGAGGGTGATCTACGCTGGTGGGGAACTGCTGAAGGACGCGATGGGTATGATGCGATTGAGGAGGTTGCCAAACTACCATGGTGTAATGGCAAAGTGGCAATGGCAGGCAACTCCTGGCTTGCGATGGTCCAGTGGTTTGTTGCTGCTGAGCAACCACCTCATCTGGTCTGTATCGCGCCATTAGAAGGATCTGGGGATCCTTATAGAGAAGACTGCTTCAGAGGTGGAGTCCCGAGGTTCGCATTCTCAACCATCGTTGGTGGGATGTTGCAAGGTCAGACATTCCTTGCATAACGATATCCCTCAGATTATGCCAATTGAGAAACCCATGCTAATTACGACCTCGGAATAGGCAGAGGGCAGCAAGAAGACATCACGGCGATGAACAAGCTCAATCCTAACTCAAGTGAATACTGGGAGGACAAACGAGCGGATATGTCAAAGATAAATGTCCCCGCTTATATACTTGGCAGCTTTTCAACGAGCATTCATACACTAGGTTCCATCAGAGGCTTCGAAGAGATTCCCCATCTGGAAAAATGGTATGTTTTTTTGTGAACGTCTGAGTAAAATGTTCCCATGAAGCTAAAACCCCTCTGCATGATAGGTTGACTATTCACGCAACCCAAGAATGGTACGACCTTTACTCCGAAGAGCGCACCACGGACCTCCACAAATTTTTCGACTACTATCTCAAGGGCGCGCAGAATGAATGGCCCACCACACCCAAAGTGCGCTATGCATTACTTAACTACACAGAACCGGCTTACGTGAATCTGCCGTTTCCAGATTTACCATGGAATCTCCCATTGGCTCATTCTCAGAGACTTTACTTGTCTGCTAATCATACTCTCTCGGAAACACCAATGCAAGAATCAGCCGTTCTGAAGTATTCTGCAGACTCTGCGAAGAACGACGGACTCGCTTTCGAGCACACTTTCAATTCGAAGACAATACTTGTGGGACCTTCCTCGCTAGTTATCAGTATTGCCTCACCGTCACATAACGACATGGACATCTACACCCGGATACGAAAAGCCTCTCCCGGTGGCGACTTTCTCTACCACCAGAACATCCCTCTTCCTCAAGGTGCCGAAGTCCCCGAAACAAGCGTGTTCCGGTATCTGGGACCTTCAGGTATGCTACGTGCCTCTCGATGGCACATCTCCAGTGAACTCTCTACGAAGAACTGGAAGGTACTATCTAATAATAATCCGGAGCCTGTGGCACCCGGGCAAACGATTAGACTGGAGATCATGCTCTGGCCTACTGGTATTGTGTTTGAGCCGGGCGAGAAGATGGTGTTAGAGATTACTGGACAAGACTCGGGGTTGACGGATTTCCCAATTCCGCCGGAGATGATTGTGAATGGGAACGTAGGGGAGCATCATGTTAGTGTGGGTAGTGGAGAAGAAAGTTACTTGGAATTTAGTACGATTGCACTAGGTTATGAGAGTTGAATGGGGTCGCCCAAAATTGAGAGGATAATAGCCGGTGTAACGTGTGACAGCAACAGACATCTTGAAAAGAAGATATAGCAATGTTGTATTATCTAATTTTTAGAGACGATGGACTTGTTCTCAATATCAAACCACAATGTATAGAAAGCCAAGATCGTTCCAAAGTCAAAATACCCATGGTTTGGCTCACGACACCCGGGTCGTAAAACCGGGACCCACATTAGACCTCAGAAGTCTCTAATTCGTAAGTGTATGAAGATATAAAACTCCTGTCATGACCACGACTCTCTTAAATATCAGGTGGCTTGAGATCTGGAGTGCACGGAGAGCAAGAGAAATCTGAATTCCGAAATGCCTGTCGGTATAGAGATGCCTACTCCAATCTTGAAAATGTTCCCAGTTGATTTCCGTGCTTGGTATATTCTACCATTCCGGAGAGCAACATACGGCCAAGTGCCTTCGAAAGCTTTCGTACGGATTATCAAGTTCGCTTCCTGCCGTTGGCTCGACTTCTGTTTTTGATTTCTGTGAAGACAAGCGTTACACTTTCGAAATGAAGAAGCCTGACGAAAGTGCAGATTCCAGCAAGTCTTACTGTTCAATGCTTTCGAGATGGGGACCCAGGAGAACTAAATATTGTGTCTTGCTTGTCTCGCTGTTGGGCATGCATTCACTATATCTGACTGCGGAGCTGGATCGCATGCGATTTGAATAGTCCGATATGCGATTTTCCCAATCTCTATAATACCAATACCAACGCGACCTCTGTGATGAAGTTGTGGACTCGGACAAATAGGAAGCGACATGCTTTGAGTCCTTCGGGTCCGAATTCGTGGTCGTTGTGAGGTTGTGTGTTGATTTCTGATTGTTGAATGTTACATGGCAGCCGCCCAAGTTTGCTACCACTCCGATTGGTATACGAAGTGGCCTCAGAGTCACCAGCGTGGAGGTGTAGGGTCGGAATTTGACTCCAAGAACGATGATGAGTGGTAAGTAGTATGGCCACTACCTACCCCGAAAGACCCGGGGAGCACTCGAGCTGTGCAGGGCTAACGCTAACCTCCGACATTTTATGGCTGTCGCTCGTCCGAAGGCCGCTTTCACCCGTCATTTCAGCACAGCTCAAGTGCTCTGGTCAATCTCTCACCGGTTTAGGATCGTAGAGCCGGGTCCGCCTCCGACTCGAGGCACCATCGAGACAAATGATGCTGTGACCTGCCTCACTTGGGTAGTTGACTCTTCTTTTAGAGAAAGTACAGACGTTATGCCAACCGACATAGTCCGTCAAATAGAAGCTGAGAGAAACAATTGAATTGTCGGTAATGCAATGGGACATGGAGATCGATATAAAGGCAGATTTCAAGGGCCTAATCTAAAGAATTTCCAAGGTCAGAGTTTGGCATTGTCACCGACATCGTGTTTCGACAGAGGAAATTGCTGCTGAATTTACAACATTTGAATCCGTCCGTCAAAGTTTCCTTCGCCAGCATCCAATTCGTTTCTAGATATTAATATTAAGTAATAGACCAGACCAAAAGCAGTACATTCACAATTTCGCATGTCGGGTTCTTCATCAGTGCGCCAAAGCTCTTTCTAAATATGTTCCACAATCAGTTGGAACTCGCAGAAAAAGTGACTCAGCAATAAAGCATAGCTCAGTGTGGCTTAATGCAATGATTTGGCACATCTAATACAATTGTAACAAAGCATGGCGTCCAAGTAGCCGAAATTCTCAGAGGTGTAGTGCAGCCCTCCCAAAGACTTCCATTCGCCAAAGGAGTGAGGCTGGGACATTGTGATTCATTCTGATTCGGCCTCGTATCGGGACATATGGAGTACCCAACAGATCTAGCCCGATACAAGACGCCTAGATGCGACAGGGCAAAGCCTTGACTCTCAACTGGTCGAAGACACCACACCCTTTCGACTTAGACTTCATGACAGCAATCTTGAAACTGCCTACCTTAGCTTAAGGCGTGATAGATTCATCGTTCAAATTGCTTGGCTCCCTACACCGGATCATGGCAACTTATCAATACCAAAATCTCACAGAGCGTGATGCGATCCGCCTCATCCTTCTGCAGCCTTCCACAGATATAAAGGACACGTTGCACTGTAGCCTCCTCCTAACAACATTGAAAAAATGTCACAATAATTTGATCGATAAATATACAGCTCTATTTTACGTCTTGGGCGACCCTACTCGTTCAGAACTCAGTAAAATCGACGACGAGGCTATGTACATTACCGTGTCACTGGACTCTGCTCTGCGCCATCTTAGGGATCAACATAAGCCTCGTTTGGTCTGGGCAGATGCTATCTGCACATAAGTCGATTGATACCGAACAGAACACCTTGGAAACTTGAGGTTTTGACTTCTATTTTCTGAGGGGTTTGGTTTCGCGTCAATCGGATCAACTATCTTCCGCCTGAGCCTCGCCTTACCTAAATATCTCTACTTTGTTCATGAAGAAGCACGATAAGAAGAGCGGCTTCATTAAATCAGAATTGTTGACTTCAAACTCCAAGGTTATCTCCTACACACCATGAATATACGAGACCCGATGATGCTTGGATACGACCCAGGCAAGCAAGGGTCGTTCGAGAGTTTCGACTATATTACAAGTGCATATGACTCCAGCGTCTGTGAGCAACTTATTGAGTCGACTTGGGCGTCTGAGCAAACTGAAGATGCCAGCGACACCACCAGTTTAAACCAGAAGAATACCGCCGCGGCAGAGAAAATATACTCGCCACTGCCACCGGAGGCATTGAGACTGCTGAAGCTTCACCGGGGTACAGGGAAGATTCACTGCTCAATCCTGGTATCGCTAGAAGACCGTGCTCCGAAATATGAGGCACTGTCTTATGTTTGGGGTCCGACAAACGACTTACAGGCTATTGTGTTGGATTGTTTCGAGTACCTAGTCACTCCCAGCCTGTTTGAAGTGTTACTGAGGCTGCGCAAATTGGACGAAGATCGCCTACTCTGGGTTGACGCTCTGGTTATCAACCAGTCAGACCTTGCTGAGCGCAGCAGAGAAGTCACCAAGATGCTCGATCGGTACTCCAGGGCAGCGAAGACGATCATTTGGCTGGGCAAACCCTTAGAGAATGCTTCCTATGGCCGCCTTGACATTATGTCAGCTATGAAATTTCTCTCGCAACCAGAGTTGGTAACCCCGAAGGATCACGACAGTGGAGAATGGGTTCCAATCAAACAAGCGGTAGAAGCAATCTTTTGCTCAAAGTACTGGACCAGATCATGGACTGTGCAGGAAATCATGTACAGTGACCACGCAACACTACACTATGGCTCGATGACATTGGACCTGGCTGACTTCTTGCGCTTCGTCGACGTCAACTCCCATGTTGCCGAAGCGTCAATATTTCGAAGTATCGTCATTGGGGACAGGCGGGTGGCATTGCGTCCTGGATACGGCCGCCAGAAACGGTATCTGCGGATTCCATCCTGGTTGGGCTGCTATCTCCGCCATCGAGACTGTTCAAATCCAAGAGATTGCGTCTTTGCTTATTACAGCTGCTTTCCGCCGGAAGCCAGAAGGCACATTGTGCCAGACTACGAGAGGTCGCCGTTCAGAATGGCTCTGGATATCACTTTTGCTTGGATTGCGTCAGAGAAGAATCTTGACTTCTTGCTCGAGATTGGCTGCCGGAACTCCTACTGGCTGCGACCTGATAACCCAGATGAACAGTGTATTCCGACCTGGATGCCGAGCTACTTCGGAAAACAGACGAATTATAGCGGCAGGGTGGTAGCCGGGCCCGATGTACCCCAAGCTCCTCCACCCCTGAGCAATCCCATTGTCCGGTTTGATGGCAAGAGCAACGCAATGTACGTCAAAGGTGTGTTGCTGGGAATAATCGAGAGCATGGGAACGCCGCACTACCAGCCGATCCTCAACTTCAAACCCTTCGAGTCCTTCCTGCAACATCATCTTCTACGAGCGAAGGGCAAAATTAGTGAATTGGATCGGGGGCTGAAAGAGGCGATTCGAATTCATTACCCGCGGCCTGAACTGCTTAAGGCCATGAAACAGAGTTCTGAGATTATTCAAACAATAGAAGAAGAGTTGAACTCGAAAGGAGAGTCCTTGAATGAAGCAAACGAAATACAACTCAGGATAGCAGAGGGTCTGTGTTCATCGAGGACTGCGTTTTCTTATAGGCAATGCCCACCATCACGGGTAATCCAGACCAGCAAGGTGGATGTGCCATTCGGACTAGGAACTGAAGGTCTCAAGATTGGAGATCAAGTCTTTGTTGTTGTGGGATGTAGCACACCTTTGATATTGAGGCCTGTAGGAGACTTTCATATGGTCATTGGAAACGCCAAGATGTTTCTGTTTGCGGACGGCATTTTCTTGCAGGACAACCTAGCGAGGTTTCCACCGGGTATCTTTGTAGATATCACTCTGCGATAATTTTACACTATGACAAAGACAACGTTGAACTGCCATTCTTTGACGGAACTTGTGCTCGGCGATACTATTGTATTTACGGATGTGGGACGATACCCTATTGTCGATGTGTGGAATGATAGAATCAAACTGAAATCTGCATCTCAATTACCATTATGCTGGCTCAAGATAATTTCATTGGGTGGCGCGTTATGAGCAAGAGAGGCTGTTAATCATACACTGATACAAAATAAGTTCAGACAAAGTTACTAATTGTGCTAATCTGCCAATGGAGGACTGTGTTTTCTCCAATGTCCATCAGCTTACAAGCCTGGTCAGATAAGTCTGAGTTTATAGGGAATTTCCAGGCTATTTTTAACCGAAGAATATGACAGTCGATTGCATCACCTTTAATTTAGTCAAAAACGACAAATAATCACTCTTTTAATATTGTAAATTCAATATCAAAAGAAGCTAGTATTAGTTCTAAAAACTTTGGAAATCGATTCGAAATTATTGTCAAAATCTGCAATTCGGCTTCAGTATATTAAACTTTTAAAAACTCAGACTTATTTTACTAAATTTATAAAGAATTATTAATTAATTACTTTTCAATAATATTATATTTACTATTATTATCAGCAAAAAGTACCTAGGTACATGTTCAAAACAGTCTCTGCTATTACAACAGTGAAGGATCTTAATTACACAATCCTACTAAACAAAACTACAAAACTCAAAAGCATCTCACTAAATATCGAGCTTTAATATATAGCAAAACAGACTTGAGCTCAGATTTACTATAAGCCTGTAATTAAAAATAACTAATAACGCTAAACTACCAAAGTTTACGAGTATCCCATGAATCTTTTGCCAATTTACTACAATGAAAAGTTTGGAATCGATATTGGCCATGTACCGACGATGTAGGGACATTGACGGCAGTATCGTTCATTTTCGGTCGCGGCGACGAAATAGGAGGATCAAGTAGAGCTCAATAAATGAGGACGTGGACAGAGTTGTAGAAATGAGATAGCGGAGTGGGAGGAAAGCACTAGCTCTATCGAACTACGGCCGGGAAAAACAAATCACGAAATACACAGAGGCCGATATCTCTCGCAGCAAAAGCAGCAAAAGCGATTTAAAAACTCAAACAATTTTACTATTCATATCCATCATCTATCGCGAACCCGTCACAATGCCATTCATTCACATCTTCCCCAGCAACCCCGACTTCTGCTTGAAAGCCTTGATCAAGCCACCAGTACTGCTGTCATGGCTCTCCGGAACACCCTCAGTGTCCAATTCCGCCTGGATCTTCTTCGCAAGCACCTTTCCAAGCTCAACACCCCACTGATCAAACGAGTTGATATCCCAGATGGCGCCCTCGGTGAAGGTCAGGTGCTCGTAGTAGACGATCAGAGCACCAAGGGTGCCTGGTGTGATCTTCTGAGCAAGGATCGATGTCGTGGGTCTGTTGCCTAAGAAAGTCTTGTGCTTTAGGAGCTCGGTTGGGGTATTTTCTTCCTTTAATTGGGCTTCGTTCTTGCCAACCATTAAGGCTTCAGCTTGAGCGAAGAAGTTAGATGCTAGCATCTTTTGGTGCTTGTTGTTATCAATTGGGTTGTGGGATTCGGCTGCAAGGATGAAGTCCGTGGGAATGAGCTTTGTGCCTTGGTGGAGGAGTTGGTAAAAAGAGTGCTGAGCGTTAGTTGCTGGTTCACCAAAGAGGATGGGGCCGGTGGTGTATTTAATGAATTCGTTTGTTGAGCGGGATACGGCTTTTCCATTGGACTCCATGGAGAGTTGTTGAAGGTATGCCGGAAAGCGGTGAAGGTATTGGTCAAATCTACACAAATCAGCCCTTACGTTTATTTAGCTTCACAGGATGTACTTACGGAGAGACCAAATGCGTCTGAGCACCATAAAAGTCAGAGTACCAAACGCTGAGGAGACCAGCAATGACTGGAATATTCTTTTCCAAAGGAGTCTCTCGGAAATGCTTATCCATAGCATGAGCACCGGACAAGAATTCATGGAAGTTCTTGAATCCAATGTAGATAGCCACACTGAGACCAATAGCGGACCAAACACTGTATCGTCCACCAACCCAGCTCTCGAATCCGAACATGTTCTTGGAGTCGATACCGAACTTGGTAACTTCGCTCTCATTTGTGGAAAGGGCAACGAAGTGCTTGGCAATGTCTCCCTTTCCTTCTGTCTTCTCCAAGAACCATTCCTTAGCACTGTTGGCGTTCGTGGTTGTCTCAGCCGTAGTGAAAGTCTTTGAAGCGACCAAAAAGAGGGTAGTCTCTGGGTCTGAGTCGCGAAGAGCCTCAGCCATATGTGTACCGTCGATGTTTGAGACGAAATGGAGAGTCATCTTGCGGTCGCCATAATACTTGAGAGCCTCGGTGACCATAACTGGTCCGCTAAAGATCATCAGTACTGATCGTCGCAAGCCACTTGCAATACTTACAGATCAGATCCGCCAATACCAATATTGATAATAGTAGTCAATGGCTTGCCAGTGTATCCCTTCCACTCACCACTTCTGACTGCCTCACTGAACTCCTCCATATGCTTCAACTCCTTATTGACACCCGGCGTAACATTAACACCATCAACCATAATTTCCTCATTGCTGACATTTCTCAGCGCGGCATGCAAAACAGCTCTGCCTTCCGTCTTGTTGATCTTCTCGCCCTTGAACATCGCATCTCTCAACTCCTCCAACTTAGCCTCCTTAGCCACCTGGACGAGGAGCTTCAAGGTCTCTTCCGTGAGGAAGTTCTTGCTGAAGTCGAAGAGGATCTCGGATCCATCTGCGGTGTTGGGGAACGAGAAGGAGAATTTCTCGAATCGGGTGGGGTCCTTCTTGAACTCATCCTTGAGGACGAATGATTTTCCGACCCTGGTGTGATGGTCCTGAAGCTTGCTCCAGGAGGGCAATGTATCTGCTGGTGCCATGTTGACGGGGTTACTGTGTTGTGATGTCGAGAGGTTCGCGTTGGGTTCTTGTAGTTGTAAGAAGAAAGGGCGGAGATAGGTTTGAACGTGTTTTTGCTTTTTATCGTACCTGCGTCTCCGGGAACTTGGTATTTCCTTAGAATTTGGTTTCGAGATGGGATTGCAGCCTTATAATCCTACTATTGAGAATCACCTGTTAGTAAAATTATTCCTGTTGCGGTCCGATTGCAGCTCTTCTTCGCATTTCCTTCAGGTCGCAGCAAGCTCAAAGCGGGGCAATCAACAATCATCCCACCAGCTTGCACAGCAGCGAGTACGATAGCAGAGGGAGCATCGATGGCACATACTTTTCAATTGGAGCAGCTTCAATCGGCGGATCACTTCGCAGAAGTAGTTGAGAAGGTGAGTATTCTTCGTTGCGGGAAGAAGAGAAGATCAGATGTTGACGGTGAAATTGGTGTATGACGTTTGGGAGGGAAATCCCACCATTTCCACCCCTCCACTAGCGTCTTTCACACCCAACCTTGAATTCAGCCCGAAACACCCGCACCTGCTGAAGAACATCCAGACCAGTGTGTGATGACTGAGCATTGTACATCCACCTTTCTCCAAGGAGATATATGATCCACAAAAAGAGCAAATCATGTCTCCAACCTACGACACAGATGCAGATATTAAGCTGGAAGCGTCTTTAGTCAACCTTCGTCTCAACATGCAGGAATCCGAAATGCGGTACCACTGCGGAGCGGAGCGGAGATGGGACGGAATACTAAGATTCAAGTCTGGAATGGATGTCTGGAATGAAGTGAGGAGTGTCTGAAAATGCACTTCTATTTGATTTTTGCCTTCTGCAGCAGAGACACCGTGAAAAAGCATCCTGTCCATCGCCGCAGAACTGTATGAACTCAAACAATTCCTTCAACGCCACTCTGACAACCAACCATGATCAATCATCATGATGAAAATAGCTCGCTCCACTCCAGTTGCTGCCTGAAACACCTCTGCCACATCCGACTTCCTCGTCTATGCAGATCCGACATCTCCTAGGCCAAGATGAAGCAGTTTCACCCCCACCTCACTCCACGTGATATGAAGAAGAACGAGAAAGTTCAAATCATCCCTTCGTCAAGCGTCACATGTTTACCTGGCATCTTGAACACTGCCAAATGCATTGGGATCCCTGATCGAACCACCTGCATCTCCGAGGCCAGCTACAGGCCGATTGTAACTAAAATTAGGGAGTCAGTCATGTTCTGCTGGGCAATTTGGAGCTGAATTATCACTTACGACCAACCTGTAAACTGGTTCTGCATGGTCTCAGAAAGGACAGGTCCATCAACATAGGAGTCAGCCGGAGTTTCTCCTGTAAACTCAATGTCGAAATGTTGGGTGTCAGTAGCATCGGTCTACGAATAATTAGCAGAGCCTCGCTTTTTGGGAGTTTAAACACATACCACATGAGGCTTGAATGTAGGCTCATACTTTCGCTGGAGTAGCTTGCGCCAGTCGATGCTGTGGAAGAAGGGGTGAGCCTTAATCTCAGATGCACCATTAGCACCAAGTCTCTGGTCAGGCTTGCGGTTGAGAAGCTTTGTGAGGAGGTCCTTGGCGGAGGGAGGAACGATATCTTGTGAAGGGAAGTGAAGAGGCTCTGACAAGATCTTGCGGTACATCTCGTTGGTATTCTCGTCGTAGAATGGAGGCAGTCCCGTCAACATCTCGTAGAGAAGGACGCCAAGAGTCCACCAATCAACAGTCTTGGTATAACCTTGTCCTAACAACAACTCTGGAGCGAGATACTCAGGGGTACCGCAGAAAGTGTTGGTGCGATCCTCGTCCTTCATATCCAGCTTGCAGAGTCCAAAATCACAAAGAGCAATGTGACCTGAGTAATCCAGGAGAATATTCTCGGGCTTCAGATCACGGTAGATGACATTGAAGCCATGAAGACACTCCAAAGCACACAGAAGCTCTGCAGTATAGAATCTCGACCGATTGATATCAAATCTTTGCTCTTTTTGAAGGTGGTGGAAGAGCTCTCCGCCATTGACGAATGCCAGAACGAAGTATAGCTTCTCTGGTGACTGGAAGGTGAATTTGAGAGGTACGATGAAGGGGTTGTTTATTTGCGAGAGGACCGATCGTTCTGCCAGGGTATGTGCGACTTCTGATCGGGAGATGATGTGTGCCTTTCGGATGGTCTTCAAGGCGTAAATCCGCTGGGTATCCTTCTTCTTGACTTGCATCACTTTTCCAAAACTTCCCTTTCCAACCACCTTTAACAGATCAAAATCCTCAATCTTTAATGATCGTGTTCGATTCTCGATATAGTCCACGCCAATTCGGATCTTGCCAGTTCCAAATTGGATATCAACCCATTGTGCTCCTGAGTGACCGAGAGCTTGCTCTTGCTTTTGCCATTCTGCTTGAGCTTTCTCCTTGTCCTTCTTCCCCAATTTCGGATCCTCGACATACTCATGCTTCTCTTCAAAACGAGGATTGATGCGCGCAACACCAAGGAAGATATCTTGTGTACGTCCAGCACCCTGAGGAGCATTTGGGTTTCGGAGGTAAAGATGCAGAGCCAATTCTGTCACTCTTGATACATCAAACTTGTATTGTGTATTGTCTCCAGCCCAGAGTGGGTTCTCAGGTGTACCTGAGACCGCATTGACGAATACTTGCAGCTTATCGAAATCGAGAAGAGCATAGGGGAGGTATTTGGATGAAATTCGGCCATGATTTGTGGGTACCCCAGCAAAGCCACCACCAGAGGTCTGAGGTCGTGAACTGCTGACATATGAACCTGCAACACTGCCTTGTTGTTGTGAAGAGCCAGGTCGGACAGATCCAGCTACACCGAATCCATTTCCTTGTGAGAGGGAGTTTTGGTGGTTCGGATTGTTGAATATTTGCTTGTATTGTTCGGGAAGAGAGAAACCAACTCCTTCGTGCAACGTGACAATAAGGATTCCGGGTCGTGGAGGAGCAGGAGGTTGGGTTGCGATGAGCTCAGAGGCAGCTAGATAGATCAGTCTGGAGGTTGTGGCAAGACTGCTGGTTTCACGTACCTATGCCATTGTCGTTGAGAGTCGTAGAACTGCCATTTGTGCTAGCCTTCTCCTCCTTGGGGTCGGGAGTGATGGTAGAGGTCGAGGTAGATCGGGAGAAGGTATTCGCAAGGGGCGCAAGATGCGTCTCCTTGAGTTCTGTTTACCGGCGCGTTAGCAATCGTGTTTCCAACATCTCCAACGAATGCAGTCTGCAAAGTGCGTTCGATTGTCTCAAGCAGCAGTGTGCAACGGCGGGTGGCTGAAATGCCTCAAGAAGGTATTGCCCGATTGACAAGAAGCTGAACTTACTCTTGGTCAGGAAACGAGACATAGTGATGTTGTTGTAGAATGCTCGTCGGACTCAAGAGAGTATGGGCGGGGGAGTGATAAGGTGTTGGTGGTAAAGTCGAGCGGTTCCTCAGTGCGGTGAACCCGGTTTCCAAGAGTTCGGCGTGGGCGTGCCCCGCCAAAAGGATGCGAGCTGGCTGTTTACCCGCTGACAGCACCAGACCAATACTGCAACTGGAGGATGCAGAATTGGGATGCGTAAGGGATCTGGGAAATGGATGACGAGGATATGTGATGGCTTGTAAGATCAAGGATGGATGGAAGGAGGAATGGGGGGATTTATTGGGTGGATTGAACTGATTACGAAAGGAGGCGAAAGGAAAGGGGAATTGCTGTCTGTTTTTATTGCGGTTCAGGTTCTGCCCTCACAGGTGGCAGCAGGAGAAAGAGAGTGGCTCAGCTGCATCGAAAGGACCCTGGAAATCTCTCGGCCAAAGCGGCCGGAATTAACATTGAGGTCACGTGGTATGGCTTGAAAGCAATACGAAGACCAAGACGAAGTGATATTAGGGGTCAAGAGCTAGGTGATTCCATCAATCGTTGACATGTTATTCAGAGCACCAAATGCAGCTATGAATAGTGGTGTTGGTTCTTAGGAATCATCCAATATCAAAGGACCAACATGGTCAAAAGCGAGACGCTGAACCACCCTCAGACATGCAGATACGTGTTTGGAGGAGATCTATCTTGAAGATCACGTAGACTTATTTCAAGGTAGGACTTTACTTGCAAGTCTTGTTTTGTTCTATTTATCTTGGACTTTGTTCTTGTCTACATTTTAATATTTTCTCACCTGTTTTACTCGAGTAGCTGTACATTTTAGAGTACTGGAAAGAGGAATTTGTACTCATAAGGTTTGTCCTAAAATACTTTGTTGTCATCGAGGTCATCAACTCATGGCCTACCCCAATACCGAATCCGACCCTTGTAATTCCAGACAATCCCTTGACATCCTCGTCTCCATAAAGTTTGAAGTCATCCCGAACATTGGGAATTCTTAGATCGTCCCAAAATGTACTAGCGCGCTTCTCCACGAACTCAGCCACTTGAATCGGTAATCAAGATCTCAGGGGACCGACGACAACAGATCAGCCACGCCATACCGTCATCAACAACTGGTTCGCAGGTCTGCTAGACGGAGTACGAGGCCCTTCCGATCTGGCCGTGAGTGTCCTGCGTTTATCGGGACATCTTGACATCTGCGAAGTGTCCTTTGCCGACGCAACGATACCGAGGGCGGAGGCGTCAAGATGGGCGTCATCCGCAAGAAGACCGCGACTCGTGGCGGCGAGGGTGGAGTCAAATACGTTTGCGATGTTTGCTCTGCGGATATCACGTCTACCGTAAGTTATATTCACTCTGCGGTGCAAGTTCAATATCTGGCACGGCGACTAACATTGGCTGGCTAGGTCCGCATACGGTGTGCGCATAGTACCTGCAACGAATATGACCTCTGCGTAGACTGTTTCTCTAAGGGTGAATCTTCACACAATCATCAACCGGCTACACATCCTTTCCGAGTAATTGAACAAAATTCCGTGCCCATCTATGACAAGAACTGGGGCGCAGATGAGGAGCTCTTACTGCTCGAGGGCGCCGAGATATATGGTCTCGGGTCGTGGGCAGATATAGCAGACCACATCGGCGGTTATCGGAATAAAGATGAAGTGCGGGCCCATTACCAAAAGATATATTTGGACAGTCCGAACTTCCCGTTACCTATAAGAGCGAGTCCAAAAGATACAGCTCTCCTTGATGAAATACCTCGAGAAGAATTCCAAGCACGGAAGAAGAGGAGAATCGAGGATAGGAAGGAGGCTGCAAAGAATGCACCCCCTGCTACTCCAAAGAAGAAGCCTACAGCCAGTGTACCAGCATGTCACGAAGTTCAAGGATATATGCCAGGTAGATTGGAGTTCGAGACCGAGCATGCGAATGAGGCAGAAGAGGCAGTTCAGCACATGCAATTCGATCCTGGAGATGGCCTTAATCCACGCACAGGCGAATTGGAGCCAGAGATGGAGTTAAAGATGACTGTAATGGACATCTACAACGCACGTCTCACACAGCGAGCGGAGAGAAAGAAGGTCATATTCGAGCATAACCTTCTCGACTACCGGAAGAACGCTGCAGCTGACAAGAAGCGTACCAAGGAAGAGCGAGATCTGCTGAACAAAGCCAAACCCTTTGCTCGAATGATGAACCACGACGATTACCAGGAATTCTGCAATGGGCTCATCGAGGAACACAATCTTCGCCAAGCTGTGGCACAATTACAAGATTGGCGACATATGAAGATTGGAGATCTGGAAAGCGGGCAGAAGTACGAGCAAGACCGACTTGCACGACAACAAAAGGCCCAACCCATGGGTTCGCTCGATCGAGAACGATTTGCGAGCTCACAGCGTACCAAAGCTCCTCCTGTCATCGAGACACCTTCTGGAGCTGCCGCCTTCGTGGCACCAGACTTCGAAACTCGCACAAGTACCAATACTGTGGGTGGGTCGCCGCCTCGAGACAAGAATGTTCCAGAAAAGGTTCTCACAAATGGGCACACAAATGGGACTGCTACACCTGCCAAGCAGAAATACCAGATCCCCGCGCTCAGTGGAGTCTCGCCGATATCTCTTGCACAAGAGAACGTGGCAGATCTCCATCTGCTGACCCTGGAAGAAATCGAACTTTGCGAGAAGACTCGACTCCATCCCAAGCCGTACCTGGTGATCAAGGAAGCCGTCATGAAGGAGGCATTGAAAGTAAATGGGCAGATGAAGAAGAAACAAGTGAAAGAGCTCACTAAATTAGAGAATCAGAAGGGAGGTAGAATATTCGATTTCTTCGTCGCGCATGGCTGGCTTGGTAAAGCATAGGGAGGCGTTCGTGTTAATATCATGTAGGAGTCTTGTATTGGTATGGTGGGGGCAAACTGGTCTGGTCCGCGAGGTGGGCTGACTGAATATATTTGCGTTGTGTTTCCTTGCTTTGCGCCTTGTTAAGTGTTGGTGTTCTCGCACATATGGGATTCGGATCGAAGATGGCGTTTTATTCATTCATACAGCAGCGCTCTCTGCCAGTCATCCGCACTCAAAGGGTTTAGACCAACATCAAATCACAAAGACATTCGAGAGAATCTGAGACGAGACAGTGACAGCTCGGATGACTTCTTCGGTTCGGTATTGGTTTGGTTTCGCGGTCGAGTCTCGCTAGGGCGCTTGACTGTTCCAGATTTAAGGTTGTTTCTTGCGGACACCAATAATCATCTGAGCGATGCGCACTCAAGCTTTCTGCAACCGGAGATCCATGCCGATCTGTAGTGAAACCATAGTGGGAGACTCGAAACTATCGCCATCTTTCTTTTGCTTGTGTCCTTCTCTTTCTGCAAGTGCAAATAATTCCGTTATTTTCTCATGTTCTGCTCTGCATCCTTCCCAGTCCCATTGATTGGGCTTTCGTCTGATCTTTGAACTTATTGTTGAGATATACTTTACTTTATTTTAATTATGCCTCGTTTATTGCAACAGCGAGATGATGAGAAGGAGCATTTTGTCCATTCAAATGACTCCACAGACTCTTCGTCAATACGATCTTTTGCTTCTTCATCATCTTCCACAATAGCAAATTGTCCCATTTCGTCTGAGGACATGGACGATGAAAAAAGCTTCAATCTTCTCTCCCAAGAAGAAATATACTCCTTCACACCAATACTTCCTCACCGTCACCGCCGCTCATGGCGGAAAACTCCTCTCACCACTCGAGGCCTCTTTACCCTGCTCCTCAAACCTCTCCTCCCATCCTTTATCTTTACCTCTCCACCAGTACCCCTCCACTCAACATCTTACCTCGACGGCCTCCGCGGCATCGCCGCCCTCATCGTGTACATGGACCACTTCGTCCTAAACTGGTTCTACCCCCTCCGAAACGGCTACCTCTCCTCCCCCACCGACACATCCATCCTCCAACTCCCCATCATCCGCCTCCTCTTCGCCGGCCGCGCCTCCGTCGGCGTCTTCTTCGTCATCTCCGGCTTCGTCCTCTCCCACAAACCCCTCTCCCAACTCCGCTCCGGCAACAGATCCGCCGTCCTGCAAACCCTCTCCTCCTCCGTCTTCCGCCGCAGCATGCGGCTCTTCCTCCCCATCCTCTTTGGGACGTTCATCTCTATGAACCTCGCTTATAACGGGTACTTCACCCCGGTCCCATCGAGAGGCGAACTCATACCGCCGATTTTACCGAGCTATAAGGCGCAGGTGAAGCATTGGTGGTTCTATTTTCTGGAGATAGCGTTCCCGTTTTGGGATCGGGGCGTGGATCCGAATAGAGCGTACGGATCGCCGTATAATGGCCATCTGTGGACGATCCCGATTGAGTTTTACGGAAGCATGGTTGTGTTTCTCACGGTGGTGGCGGGGAGCGGGGCAAGGGGCGAGAAGACGAGGATGGCTGGTACAATGGGGCTCGCGGGCTGGAGTTTAAGGAGGGGACGTTGGGATGTGTTTAGTTTCCTCGGAGGCATGGTTTTGGCGGAGTGGAGTCTGATTCGTGCTGGTGAGGGAGAGAGGGAGAGGTTACTTTCTCACCACGAAGACGCGGATATGAATCTACAACCCAGAGTCAAGGTCTTGCTTAAAGTACTTAACGGCCTGCTGTTGCTCTTGGCGCTTTTCCTGCTCTCGTACGCAGGAGAGTCGCCTTCTCCGGGCTTTTATCATGCCTTCTTAATTCCATGCACTCCCGCGCTCTGGGAACCTATTTTCCTGGGCCGCGAACACTACTGGTTAACTCTAGGCTCCCTCCTCCTGGTCTTCACCCTGACCAACTCACCCACCCTACAACGGCCCTTCACAACCTCTTTCGCGCAATACCTCGGCCGGATCTCATATTCACTCTACATCATCCACGGAATGGTGCTGTTCACAATAGGTACGTATATGCAGGAACGGTACACGGGCCAGGTGGGCGAGGATAAGTGGGTGGATAACGGCTTTGGGGAGCTGGTTGAGGCGGTTGTGCGGGTGGAGAAGGTGGGGTTTGAGCCGGGGAGTTGGGGGTTCGTGAGGGCGTGGGCGGCGGCCGGGATTGTGTGTACGGTGGTTGTGTTCTGGGCGACGGATTTGTTTTGGAGGGGTGTGGATAGGGGGTGTGTTGCGGGGGCGAGGTGGGTTGAGGGGGTTTTTGTGGGGAGGGGGAGGAGTTGATGAATGGATGGATTTTGGGATATATTTTAGATGTAAAGAATGATTGATGAACTCTCAGGGATATCACATCCTAGTCTGCATATCCTGCTCATACAATATTTATATCAGTCTTCAACGCCGATGGAAGCCACAAACGACAACATGAAAGACGTTCTCTTTCTCCTTTCACATAGATACATATTCACGAATCGACATCCCCAATGCTTTCTATGCCTCAGAGTCTGACCATTATCACAATTCACGAATTGACAAGTTCTTCATTTGCTTTAGAAATGGAACCAATATCATCATTCACGCATTGACAGTTCCGTCATTTGCTTTAAAAATCGAACCATTATCACAATTCGCGCTAACACTTCCCTGACTTCGTGAGCGCCTGGACGCCTTAGGCGCGAATGAAGAATGCATAAAAGAACTTCTTTTCAGTCCGTAGACACTCACAGAATGTGTGTTCATTACATGGATCCACAGGTAACTAACCACGTGCTGCGTCAGGGACTTGTAGGTCCGGCGATTGAATTCATCTACGATGTATCGTTATCAAATGGAGTATTGGGGTATAGTAGTCAAGTTGACAACGGTGATGCTTTAAATTGACGATAGTGATGATGTTGACAACGGTCGCAATCAACCTGACAATGGTAGTCCTCTGAACTCGAATTCTCAATATAACCACGGAATAAGTGATTTTTATTAAGTATTAGTCAATATTGTGAAGTCGACCTTGTGATCTGGCGTCTATCCGGAAAATTCTGCATCAGCGATGATCATCCTAGACACTCGAAAGTAAGACCCATTGGAATGGTCTATTTTGATTCAAGCGATCATAAGATGTCTTCGGAACAAAGTTTTATGCTTTCAGCTGAAATGAAATAATATTCAGAGGTGAGCGAGGGAGGTGGAAAAGACCACACTTGGGAACACACTTGGGACTAAAGCGTGTAAAATGTTTAATATGCTTGATTCTTGACTTTATATATATTGTAGAGAACTAGAAGCATAGTTGTAGGAAAAGGAATTGTCGATGTGGGGTGGACTTAGAGGAAGTCATCTAATTGGTAGACAGTCTGCATTCAGTGTCCGGTAGTGTGTGCAAAGTAAACTAGAAAAGGGCACTATCAGGAAGTATGCCAATCAAGAGGACTGGAAATATGATAAATGTCATTTAATGTTGCATGCAGAGTATGTTTTGGCGATGACCTTCGAGCCAAAATCGTGAGTTAAAGTCGAGTTGAGTGTTGAAGTAGAAGCAAGCGAGCACGCATGTTAGTTGATGAGTTACGTCAAACTTGAATGCTGCTATCTTGAATGCTGCTTGTAGAGTATGCATTGATCAACAATGTTGATCCTCAATCACAAGCCAATGGACTGAGTATTGTGCTGTAGGAATTGTGCAGGTGATCGTGGCGAGGGTGGGGTGAGGACTTTCGTCCCACACTGGCAGCATTTGAGTTATCGGCCTCGATAATAATGGATTTAAGGTATACTTATCAAGTATTTATGTATCCTAGTCGTGATTTTATGACGTACTTTGTCTAGTTAGAACTTGCAAAGTTGTCCGCTCAATATTGGTAAGAAGAGGATGGATTTTGAATATTGCCGGCAATGCATCATCGCCTGTTGACTGATCTGAATCTATGCTTTTGATATAAACAGTTGAGATTAAAGCTTAGCAAAAGAACGAGCCCCAGCGTTGGATTCCAGAAAGGAGTAGAGCTGGATAAAAGCGAAGTAGAACGTGAACTTCTTGGACGTGTCGATGACTTCAACGAAACCACAGCCCAACACTGAATTTAACATAATAGAATAATACATAGGCGGCATATGCAATCATGAGACTGGAGATCAGACTTAATGTTGTGAATTCAATGGAGATCAAGGCGTTGCTTCCCAATTGGGATAACACGTGATGGAGAAACTAACTCGACCAACAACTATAATTTATATCAACCATTCCGACAAGATAATCCTAAACATCATGAAGCAATTACAAAACAGTGCAACGAAAGCTCCTGCAGGAGATAACTATCATTCAAAGACTCGCACCGTTCGTTGGACCTACCAATATCGTGATGATCGACTCTGGACTTTATCACTGCAGCTTTCGCCTCCTCACGACAATCGCCTACAAGTCCTTCAAATGCATACCTGCAACCAAAATGGAAGATTCTTCAGAAATCCTAAAAGACGTGTCAGGAGCCTACTTGCCGGAGAAGAAGCTCCTTTTCCGCCACTTTCACAATTCGCCACCGAGATGGTAAGTTTCAATGACTCTGTTCTTGCTTTTCTTTCTCCAGCTCTCCAATGATACGCACCTCTATATCTCGGAGTGTTGCTCCACTGGGATATCATTGACTGTTCGATGGCTTGTCTAGCCCTGCAAGGACAGAAGGTCTTCAGTACTGGGATGAGCTACTGACGTGTTGTTAGTCCTCGTGAGCTGCAGATCTTGCAGCAGCTTCTGAGGCGATGGTTCTGACAGTCTATTTGTAGCGTCGGGGCCGTTGATCTCGTTGGGGAACTCCAAGCTTCTGCAATGGAAACCTCCAAGAACCATCAATCCACTTTTACTTATCCACGGTCAAGGAGAATCACCTCTTCTTTCTTCGACAGTCTGACCTGTTTGCGAGGAAGACTCGATGGGACTTATGCTTCGCTGCTCTGTACACAAAGACCTCAAAATCAAGACGAAGGCGTCGACGAAAGGCATGTCTATCCTGTATTTTGGGTGAGCAGTCTGCGACAAATTACCCTGTACTTGGCATTAAGCACATGCGGAGGTCGCAAATGCCAATACAATGATGACAAGCCCAGCATGGAACCCCTCGGTTCACCTATGGCTGGAATCGCAGAGAACATCGCTCTGTGGACTTTCTTGACATTATGTATCGTTCGAGGTGCTCTTTACGCTTGTGCATCGTTGATCAGTCGACCTGCAACCTCAATAAGCACTGCACAGTTGAAGGCTCGAGTTTCAAATCACATGTTGCGAAGCCCTCAATGCAACCAACATTGGGATGGCTTGGGCTACGTTCGACGAGAGATTGCGGTGACGATAAAGCCTCACCTTTGGTCTTCTCAACTTCTCATCAGTGTCTCTCTACTGCGTTGTGGTTGCTGCACGGGAAAGAAAAGGCCTTTACGGAACATTCGACATTGCATCGAAAGGACAAAGAGACTCTCTTGTCCCTCTACAGAGCGCAAGGTAACTTACAGCTATTGAACGAGCCAATAAGTGAGCAGGTTTCCAGATACAAGTGGGGCAGCGTCTTTGATTATGTCGGAGCTTCTTCCGCCACCCCGACCTAGAGAAGAGCATCTCCCTTCATACTTCTTCAAAACTCGAGGGCGACCTTGCAGATTGAACCACCAAACCATCCAATGCACTCCTGATGTCCTGCCCCATGACCCTTGAATTCCTCGGCCTCCTAAATTCAGATTTGTCGAATGGTTGCCACAATCCTGAGAGGGTCGCATTGCTTCGTTCAAGCGAAGGGCAGACACAGAAAAGTCGAAATGCAATGCGCACCAGGACACAAAGCAGGAAAAGAGGCAAAAAAGGGAGCAAGTCGCAGGGGAGTCGAGCATGGCGAGGAGGACCGAGATGGGACAAGGCAGCTTCGTTCGCTCCCGCAAGGTGCGTGCATGGCATCGGGAAAACGCTGTGCGATCACAGACACGACCGGAGGTTCCTCCGTAAACTCTCGAATCAATGCGACAGGCAGGTCCAGAAGCCCTACGACTTCACCCATTCGGCTCCGCAAATCTCACGAGGATACGACTTCAGCATACGTCATGCGATTCAGAATAGACAGCACCGGGATTATGGATATATGTGGTCGACGAAATAATGTCAAGTTATCGCTGGTTGAAGTGCACGCCTTCGCGCGTGGAGGCATAAAGAGAGGCAGACTGGCGTATCATTGGAATACAAGATGTAGAAGAGTCAAGCAATTGACCGGAGTGTAAATGTTTGTCCCTCTGTGTGGTCTGGTTTATGGGTACAGCGCCGTCACGATCAGTGGGGGGGACAAGAACGTCCAAGAGAGAAGAATCATCTTCCATTTTTCCAAAAACCACCGCTAAAGATGTTGACCCAGACTCGAACTGCAGAGAGACTGCGATGGAAAGGACAACGTCAATGCCCCGAGATGCGGAACGTTTTTCGAATACTCAACACCGGTGAGGGACGATCGGCCAATATAAGGGCGAACACGGGAATCGCCAGTCGATCAGAGGCCGGATCAACTGGTATTAAGCAAGTTGCGAATCTGCATCAGATGTTGTGCGCCTCTTTCCTCTGCTGATTGAACGCGAAGACTGCGCCCAGAGCTTGCCTCAAGAAAACCCCCAGAGGCTCCCTGAATAGCCCAATCTGCAGAAAACGACGCCATGTACCTTGGAATAAGTTCATCGAATGGTTGTGTGAAGGTTGGCCTAGTACAGGCATCGATAAAGTCGTCAATCCGGTACACCTGCTGTGGAGCTGTCTTTGGCGCAATCAAGTCCAAGGTCCTGGGCAGTCGAATGGAACATTTCTTTGCCTCTCTTCGCAGCATCTCCTGCAACGGATTTGCAACAGGAAACCCAGCCGCGGATTGCATTAGAACCTCCAACCCAAATTGTATTGCTTCTGGCCCATCTTTGCTTCGACCTTCGACCCCGCCAGGAAAGAATCGTGCAATCGTATCGCTCAGGTGGAGGACAGCAAACATCTGCATGACCGGCTGGTATCGACAGCTAAATTTGGTTCGATATTGTTCGTCAAGCAAGAAAAGTCCCTGTTGTGCGTGGTTCCAAATCGTTTCTTCCACCATCGGTGAGTGGAAGGATTCCAACACCAGCAGAGGACGAAAGAGCTGAACGACGGAACTATTGTATAAAATTCTGTCCAATCAGCAAGAGTCAAAAATATTGCATCAAGGGACATACAAAAGGGATAACACATGCGGTAACGCATGGCCGGCGTGGCTCTCGAGGTTGCTAATGTCGCCTGAGAGGTCCTCCCGCCACGCCACCAATCTTCTATACTGATGGAGAATGTCTCGTGCCGAAATCAACGGGCCTGCAGGCGTATACATGATTGTAATCACATCTTGTATGATGGCAGTCAGTTTGGCCTTCTCACGATTCGTGGTTGCTAGAAGTCCAGGCCAAGAAGGGACTTCGTCGTGAATAGAGCGATAAAAGTACCACGAAGCATCATCGAGCACATCGTCGGACTCTTCGAAGGCGTCGTGTATCGCAGAACTCAGGACTGAAGGTGGCTGAAATGTGATCTGGGACCATTCACTACTCTTGTTAACGAGCAGCAAGATTTGAGGGTATTCCACACTGACATATTCAAATTGCGCACTCCGCGAACAGTATTCTTCCAAACATCCGCAAAACCATCAGTATCTTGATGAATAACACCTCGCAGATTAGTCGTGGCCACCTTCAGGTAGGACGAAGCTCGTAAGCCATTGGCACGGGCACAGTCGACCAGAAACATCACGGCGAATGCCTGGATCATGGTAATACGCTTGCCAATAGGATCGATCTCTATGCGTACAGCATCAATGAACTCCATTCCGAGCTGCTCAAAGTCGATTTCTTCCCCTTCCACCATTGGGTGTAGGTGGCATGCCATGGCACATATCGAGTTGACAAGAACAGACGAGCAGTAGTCGTCTAGCTGTCGTTTGTAGCAGTCAACAAAGTGCCCTTCGTCGAACAACGTATGCACTGGATGTACCCAGGCAAAATACAGCTGCAAAAGGTGGTCCATAACAGCTTGGTTGGCTGTTACTGTTGTCCATGTTGTCGTGCCGGGCACTCCACCCATTTCGTGATCAGATGCATCAAATGTAGAATGTTGAGACTCTCTTGGGGACAGCGTCTCTAAGTCGTCGACAGGAGATCGACCAAGCCACTCGACAATGCTCTCGTATGTCTCGCCTTTCTTGAGCCGCTCAAGAATATCGGAGACCTTCTCGTCCGTGGAGAGGGCTTGCAGGATCTGTTCACTGAGATGGTCTTTAGCCTTCAGCTCTTTGATCTGTTTCACAAGCTCTTCCTTCGCATGCTTGATGTGGATTTCGTAAATGCAATCGGAGGTCTCCAGGCGCGTCGCACATCTCTTGCATGGTTTCTTACCATCGCACTGGAAGTTGTCAGTCAAGAGCCTCAAAGGAGATTGTTTCCTGAAGAGGCGGCCGCATTTCGCACAAATCACGAATGTGTATGAAGCAAGCGCATGGATAGAACGACTAACCTTTGCCCGAGCCTTCTTACAGTTCAAGCAGGCATTTCGTGTTACCGATTCTGGGACCCTTCTACGTTTAGAAGCAGAGTTGCTGTTTTCCGCAATTTCTTTCTCGCCGCGAGCTCGACGCGGATCAGACCCCGTACTGGAGCTCTCGGGTGTAGCTTGACTTGGACTGCTGGTCGATGCACTGCTCTCCCCAAATGAGGGGCGAATTTTGCGAAAAGACATTTTTCAATACGGAATTGGCATCACCATGCCAAAGGTGCTAAAAGAAGAACATGCAAGATATATGAGACAAGTACCAGTTTGTTGCTGCTCATATGATGTTTCGCGATATGACGCGGAGAAAGATGGGATCGGATTTGTTGGCAGACTGGCACAAAGATAGGAACGCCATGAACCCGTCTGAACGTGACTCTGATATTGAGAGAAATTCAGCCTGGCATTAAAATGGACGCAAAGTCAATGGTACCGCTAATGGCATCGGAGGCCTTTCCTTCGTTGTCCCAATTCACAAAGCTTCTGGTTGGCGAGGTGTTCTGGATCACTGGCGGCGAGATGCTCTAGTCCTCACGATGTACTTGTGGATGAGGCAAAATCATGACCAATATCATAGGTCATTTACTAGGATCGGAGCATCTCGTACATGGCCGATGGAAGCCTCAATGTTGGGTGGCGAACATGAAAGTTATCTTTGCAGGCATGTCGAATGCTTAAGGCAAAGCTAGATTCAACGACAGCTTTCAGATTCAGTCATTGAACATGAGGTCTGGGGAGTGCATCATCTATCAAAGAGATAATGATGGTATCAGCTGGCTGGTGCTGAGAAGGCGACGAATCGACGATGGCCCTGCCAATGCGGTCTGCTTCGAAAATCGGACTTGAAGGCTGCTCCAATGCATAACCTGTTCCCCACAACATCTCAAGCATTCTTAACAGTCGGACAACTCCATTTGATTCGTCATGTTGCTACGAAGCCAATGAATGGAGACTCTTGTCAGATTCTGTCGATGCACGGCGGTCTGAACGATGCATGGAAACTTAGTAGTTGACAACCTTTTGCCAGGCTATGCCAGGTATGGTACCTCGGGCTTGGTGGCACTACGCTGGACCCCTCGACTTGGGGTTCCAGGGAACTTTTAGTCTGCGAAAGCACCCCTGTCCCGCTGGCGTTTGAGTTTGGTGTTGCCCTCGATATTGACAGCCGCGCGTTTACACTCTTCTTTCTCGTTATTAAGCAGACTGGGTTGAAGAACTAGATTTGTACTGTCTCTGTACACGAACACATGTTCGTGCTTTGCTTGAAGTCAAGTTGCGGTACAAGATGATCTTTGGTGGAGCTTTCACTCCTCCTCACCGATGGCGCTTCGCCGAATGGACAAGCAAAATTGGGCCAAGATACGTGCCAGCATGTGTCTGTTGCTTTCACAGTTCCAGAGGTAATAACATCGCAACACCCTCACGTCACAGAAGCTTGCTTCAGCCCCCTCGCGGAGGCAAAAGCGTTGAGTGTGGCCATCGAAAATTTAGGATACCCGCCTCACCAGACGAATAGGAATGTAGAGATGCTCGACATGACTGCCGATTGACAGAAGCACCTACCTGGGACAATCGTCAGTCGACAAGTCCGGGAATAGTGTGGCCAGGCTTTCGACAGTTTTTGGAGGTGCGCAGGCTTTTTTGTGAGGATAATAACATCGAGATTCGGAGGGGACTCCGCCTCCGAGATGAAGTGCATGCTTCAAAATTTAGGGGTCTGTTTCTAGACACCAACAGGTTATTCTAGCGGCAATGAGATTGGTCCTCTAGACTCGAGAAGGCGGCATTCAACTTCATCCGCTTTCTTCTCAGACCCCTAAAAGCAACTCTGCCCGAATATCCCAACATTGTTGGGCGTCTCTTTTGTCCGAGAATCACGTGTCAACAGTTGGGCCTCTTTACGCTCCTTGTTCTCGATCCTGCCAGTGCTTCTTGCACAATTGATGCGGGCTTTCAAAATTGCACCAAATTCAGTGCCGTACTCCCGAGAAGTTCAACGATGTTAGTTGGTTGCAACTGGATCCGTACTACCGTGACTACATCATTATATGCACGTCTCCGGAACTGTTCCAACCATTCAAGTATCAAAGCCTATTATTCCTGATATCACGGAATTCCCTTTTCTGGATGCTCACATACGAGTATCATGAGATAGAAAGGCAGCTGATATGATGCCATGTAAGATTATCAGATTGCGGAGTCGCTGAAAGAGACCCGATCGAAGCGAAATCCTTAGGGGCCTTGTGTGCAATTTGTGGTGGCTTCATGGATCGAGATTCTTAGCCCGCATGGATTTGCGCTTAACCGTCAATTAAACGCGCCGATTCTGGCTCTTTGCCTCCGATCGTTCAGAGGCTCTTCCCGTCCTGCCGATCCAAAAATTGAGGGTTCGTCGTGGTCCAGCGAAGAGAGAAAGACATGACTATGCTCTTTAAGAGTCCGCTAATGATGGTGGTCTGATCTAGTAGGTTTGTTCCGAGATGATAGCTTGTGCCAAGACCACTCCACGGACTGTTTCTTATTTCGTAGTAGGATGCTGTCAGTGACAGGGCTGCTGGGATCTCGATGGCAAAAGCGATCTATAAGCGGATCGACATTGCCGGATCTTAGTCCGCCGACCGGAGACATCCCCTCAAGTCCTTCGATCACACTGATTTGATACAGCCATCTGAGATTATCTCTGCCAATTCCTAATAATTAAGTGGTCAGTGATTAGGAGCCGGTGAGACCTCCGCAGCGAACACATATGGCTCTATGCGCCAGCTCCGAAGGACTCATTCTTGCAATAACTAATCAGCAGGAAATACAATTGACCAACGGCCTTAAAGTCGGTGTGTTTAGTAGCAAAAGAGTGTCAGAACAGAGTTCTAGATTCCGTAGGCCCTATTCTAAATTAGGAAGCATAACTGTAGGTGGAAAAGTAATCAAATTCATGTGCATGCGAAATCATTAAGTAGCAATATCAAATAAATACTAAGTAAGCCTGCGGCACTTATCGCAACTGCGAAAAGACTGGTGCATAGAGAGTTCTGTTTCGCTAGGCACTGAGTACAGTAGAATGCTGCACCGATGTTCCAACTTCGATGGGAGAAACCTGGACGGTGTGGGAAATGAGCGCACGTGATTGTGGTGGCTTCAACGTCAAGCTCAATGAACTGCGGCCAGTTCAAACTATTTTCCATTGAAATCCGAGGGAGAAGAATTGGGTTTGCAATGACATAGTTTGTGTCAAGAACCAATTTTCTTTTCGGGTTGATCAACGATATTCGAAAATCGGATAGATGTATTTGTCCAAGCCAAAAGGCAGGCTGGCAGAACGAGGATAGCATAATGGAGACTGTTGCAAATTCGCAACGCAAGCTGACTTGGGATTCGTTACCCAGATAGAGAATGCGGAAGAAGCACCAAATTCGAACCCTCGAGATTCAACGGACGTACTTTGTCCTATAATACACGGATCTTCTGTTAAATACACAGATCATCTCTTGTAGACACAGCTCCCATCACACATCTACCACCCCTGATTCTTCAGTTGTTTCACTCTCACCACAGTAGCTTTGAAACCCTCCATAAACTTCCTCCTCCACCTCTCCCTCCTCAACCTCTTCCTCTTCAGTCCTCCTCTCTCGTGAAACCGCTGCTTATTCGCATCAGCCCTCACCTTATTCCTCGCACAAGACTGCTCCAACAACCTAAAGCCCCTCCCAACATCAAGCCCCGCACCCATCGTGACACTCCGCCCCGTACTAGGCCCCAATTTTATCGGCACCCGCTTGCTCCTGTGAACCATCGTCTCTTCCGCGGTATCGAACGTCATTTGCTTGGCCAAGTTGTCGGGGTCCAGCATCGAGCCTGGGTCCAGCATGCGATCAACTTGGACGCCGCCAGCGCGCTGCTGTTTCCGGTTGATGATGCCGGATAACAGATCAGAGGCGGAGGAGCCGCCGTTGAGAGTCTTTTCGAAGGAGCCTCCGGCTCGAGGGATGGGGAACGATGAGCGGGATTTGTTGCCTGATATCCAGCCTAAAGAATCATTCAGGCCGCCAAAGGGGCTCTTGGGTGCCGGAGCATTGGTTGATGAGGAGTTGGTGGTGGATGTCGTGGTTTGGGGCAGAGGAGCGGATGTTGTGGTCGGGACGTTCTTTAAAGCGTATCTTCGAGATGAGGTAGCTAGGCATCTAGATGCTGGGCGATTCGGACAGCTGCTATAGTCTAATTGAGCTTTGTTTGTCCATCGTACGGCTGTTCGAGGATTAAGGGCCGTGGCGAGAGGAGAGGTTTGGGAGCGCAGCAGCACGTCTGCTGCTCTGCGGAATTCCATCGTGCTTTGAAAACGTTAGAAACTTTTACTTTTAATCTGCGAGCCCATACACACTCACTTTGATGGAATTGGCGAACAACGGGGGTTTGATGTCGTTGATGATCTGAATTTCAGAGGTCGAACTTTTGAGAGCTTTCGCGCTAGTGGATGTGGTCTGTGCCCGCCATTGAATTTTGGAACTCCAGAGCTTCAAGGTTCGCAACTCTTCTTGCGCCAACACGGATATCTTTTCTGCCATCTGTTGTGTGAGCTCGACTACGTTTGCATTGACCTCTTTATCTTCGCAGCTGTTCACTTGATCCTGCTTTGACGTTCAAGATGGCGTACAATCCCTACGGAGGTTTGTTGTCTCCCTGCGTTTAAGCCCTCTCTTGTCTCTTGCTGATCGTGAATAGCATCGCCATACGGGCGCCCTCCAGGCTTTGGAGGTTTCCCAGGCCAGACTGGTACTCCACCTGGTATGGGACCTCCACCGGGAATGGGCAAGTACACCCTATGATCTTCAACCATCCATGCTAATGTACTTCAGGTCCCCCACCAGGCATGTCTGCGCCAGGTACGGCTCCTCCTCCAGGCATACAACAAGCCAACAATGCACAGGCTAGTCGACCCAGTGGCTTGCCAGCCAGTTTTCAAGGCCCGGCCAATATGCCAAACATCAACTTCTCCGCCCCCGTTATTCGATTAGGCACTGGTCCATCGAAACCAAGCACACCTTTGACGGCTGGGCCAGGCAGGAGAGAGAGTCAAGATCCGATGTCTGCGGGTGGTAGAGCTGGTCTAGGATCATTGTCTGTTATGGATGCACAACGGCAGGCGCTGAGAGAGAGTATGATGTCCCTGGTCCCACCTACAAAAGAGGAAATCGTCCGCACGATATTCGTTGGTGGCATTACGGAGGGCGCTGGTGGAGATACCGGTATCGAGCGTATACTCAGCTGCGCGGGGCGGTTACGAAGATGGGATAGAGCTATTGATGCAGAAGGCAAAGCATGCAGCTTTGGGTTCGCGCAGTTCGAGGATCCAGAGAGTTTGTCTACGGCCGTCGAGGTTTTGAAAGACATCGAGATTCCGACCAAAAAGCAGAAGCCGAGTGATGGGGTCAAGAAGGAAGAAACTGAAGATGGAGAGATTGAGAAGAGCAAACTTCTGGTTTTCGTGGACGACAACTCACTCAATTATCTTGAGAATTGGCAATCGAATCGAGCAGATGATTCTGCTGGCGAGCAGGCGAGATTGGATGCTGCGAAGATGGGTCTGAAAGCTGCTATCTACGAATTATTCCATCCACCTATGTTTGTCCAAGTCGAACAAGGAAGCGAGGACATTACCATGCAAGACGCCGGTCAAGGTGATAACGTGGAAGTTGTCAACATCCCGTTGGCGGTGGATGATGAGCTTGCAGACATCCCAGCCGAAATGCGAGAGACTGTTGCACAAGAAATCGCCGCTTTCAGAGATCGAAGCACAAGGAGAGATATGGAACGCCTGAAGCGTGAGGAAGAAATGGAGGCTGCGGAACGACAGAGGAATGGTGCTCCCAGACCGTCGAGACTGGACGCTCCAGCAACATCGATACCCAATGGACCTGCAGCAGGCACGAACAATATCCCTCTCGGACCACGTGGCGTCCCTAATGCACCTTCTGGACCAAAGATGCAAGGTTCCCAGATGCCTCGTGATTATCAGAAGAATGTTGCATTTGTTAATGGCAGTGGTATCAATGGCAATGCAAACGGTGACGTTTGGATCGATCGCGACGAGGAAAATGACTCAGCTAGTGACGAGGAACTTGAGCGACGACGTACGGCAAACAAGGAAGCTGAGCAAGAAAAGCAATATCTTGATCAGGAGCGTCGCTGGTTGAATCGAGAACGGTCACGCACTGCGGCAGTAGAGCGCGAAAAGGAACGAGAAGATGAAGACGATTCGAAGGCGGGTGCTGCGAGAGAGAAGATGGCTCAACGATACCGTGATTGGGACGATGACCTCGAAGCCAGCAAGAAGGTCGAAGAATACTACGCGGATCGAAGCCAATGGATTCGAAATCGTGCACTTTTCAGAGCTCGAGAATCCGCTGCCGATGAGCGTGACCGTCTTGCGGAACAGAAAGAAAAACAACGCGACATGGCTGACAAGGAATCTGCTCGAGGCATGGCCGACTCGTTTCTTGATCGTCAAGCAGAAGAACTTGAAGCAAGAAATGCTCCTGGTCGTGCTCAACAGCCATTCAAGCTCTCACTTGGTGCTGCCGCTCAGAAGATCCAGAAGGAGAAGGCTGCTGCTCCCAGAAGAACCATCGCAGACGTTGAAGGCTTGCTCGATGACGAGGAAGAAGCTGATAAGTCTACGAAGCGTACACTCATTCCCATCAAATTTGATCCTTCGACAGCAGGCTCTGCTTCCTTGACAGACGAAGAAAAGGACCAAGCTGTTAAGCAACTAGCTAGTGCGATTCCCAACGACAAGGAAGGTTTGTGGGAATGGGATGTGAAGTGGGAATTTATGGACGAGGCCATCATTGTGGATAGGCTGAGACCCTTTATTGAGAAGAAGATCGTCGAGTATCTCGGTGTGCAGGAGCAGATGCTGGTTGAGGTTGTTGAGGAGCACATCAGAACTAGAGGCAAACCTCAGGAATTGATAGAGCAGTTGGAAGGAGTAAGTATTCTTCTCGTTCCCAATGAATTTTCTACTAACGTTTCCAGGCTTTGGAGGAAGAGGCTGAAGTGCTGGTCAGAAAGCTATGGCGGATGGTGATTTTCTTTTCGGAAAGTGCGAAGAGAGACCTTCTCTAGAGGCCGGGCAATTGAGATATCTTTGCATGAGAGCAGGAATGGTTCATTTTCGATGCGAAAAGATGTCGAGCCGATAACACAGGCGGGCTCGTAACAACATGCCACGAGTGTGGAGGAAACATGGATTCACTATCGCAAAATATCAAGCGAGGTAGAACACTGTATATTAGACGGGGACCATGTGTCCTCCAGGATGCGAATGCAACATTTACTGAATTCCCTAGCGGGATGGGATGAGTGATGCAGATTCCTTTCTTGCTACCATTTCTTGATCAATCAGCGAGGCATGTCCTTGGCAAGTTTCCGGCACTCCAGAATTCTTTATCTAGAATTTTCTAGACTCGCGAGCACCTTTCCCGTTCTTTCGGTGTCTTTTTCGTTCATAAGCCTTCCATCATGCCGTAGGATATCACCGCAGTTGCATTTTCTTGACATGGACGTTGAGATTTCATTGATTATATTAGTGGAGCGAAATGCCCAAGATAAATGGTCAGAGAAGTCTGATAGTCCGGCTCTCGAGAAAAGTTTCAGGGTTGCGTATGCATAGAGGCAAGAGGTTGAGAGATCCTTTCAATTAAGGTGTCTAGAGATCTAGATGCATGACACAAACACGCTTAACGTTGCACTTCTCCATTTTTCCATGTTAATACCAATTACCAGTCAACCTACTCCTCCTCCCCGAAAGCGCCCGCGAATTGCGGAGCAGTCGTCCCATCACAAGAGTATTGTACCAAATAAGGCGATCCAGCCGAGTCCGAATCCAAGATAACATCATTGTTGGGGTCGGTAACAGATACCTGAAAAACAGCATAGCCCTGCGCCTGACCAAAAATCATACGGAATGGCAAGTACTCGCCCTGGGTCAAATCTACAGAGTAGCTGCCATCACTAGCAGTTTCGGTAACAGTGAGAGCAGTGTTGTCCCTGGTCCATCCAGACTGCGCTGTCGTGCCGGTCCATAGGAAGAAGATATCGTCCACGCCAGACACGGAGAAAGTGTATGTCCCCGTCTCGGCCGCGAACAGGTACCCGCGATGGTCGAGCGTGAAGAATTGGCACCCAAATTCGGTGCTGTCGCCGTACACGGTGATATCGGCGCTGGTGCAATGGTTGTCGATGCCGCCCGCCGTGGTGGTGACAGCGGAATAGTACAAATTAGCGGTTCCTTGGCCACCGACGCTCGTGGACTTTAGGTATGTGGGGTCGAACGTCGAATAGGAATCATCGGCGTTGTTACCTTCAGGGTTATAGAAGGCGGCGTACTGTAGGCCTTGGTTATCACATGATGTTGGTGTAGGGCAGTATTGGACTGTGGAGGTCGATGTGGAGATGACGGTGGTCGTGGATGCTGAGGGAGTTGTGACGGCTAGGGTTGAGAGAGTCAACGTCGTTGTAGGGCTGCTGGTGACAGTAAATGTCAAAGTCGTACTGGGTGTCGGAATTGCGAGGCAGCTACAAGCGGTTGAGATCTCTGCGCTCGCAAATTGAGCGACGCAAGATGGGAGGGCGGTTGCAACTGATAAGGATGTGGTGGTGGGAGTTGGAGCCTTCCTCTTTGCCTTCTTGGTTGTCGCGGCTGCCGGAATACAAGTTGTGACTGTCTGAACACTGTCTTGATCGTCAGTCTTCGATCACTTACCAATTATTAGATCTTACAGTGTCGAGGTGCTCGTACTGACAGGCAGAATGTCCGAACTTGTCGAGGTTGTCGTGATCAGGGTTGCTGTAACGACTGGGAGGGTTGTAGTAATCGTCGTCGAGATGGTAGAGGTCTTGATCCCGATGAATGAAGAGCAGAAGGGGGTAGCTGAGGAATAGGCATGAAGTGAGTTCACAGCAACGTTCACCAAGAGACACTCTGCGCTGAGCACGGCATTAGCGATCGCACTATTAACCGGCGCGACAGGAGAAGCGTTGACGACGTGGGTAGCTGCAAGCAGCGCTATCGACGAGAGGAGTGATTTGCAGAGCATGGTGTATGGAGATGCGCGTACTGGAAGTTGAAAGCTAGAGCTGTGTTGCATTCATTCAGACGATCTCACTCTTTATATACTCATCTTGGGCTCTATCATTTCACTTTTAGCCCGCCATCTTTGTTCGAGACTTCATAATCGAGTAATTGTTTTCTCATTGAAGTCAAGCTGTTGACCAGACGGCATCAGTGAAGTTGGGCTAATAGAAGCTGACTTGAGAACTATTTCGTGTCTAGACTGCGATGTTGGTAGTCAGAAGGACTCGTCAAGTGGGGTTCATCTGCCCCATTGGGAAGAGACGCGCAATGTACAGCAGCGTGAAAAGAAGCCAAAATCAGAAGACTTGTATTTAAGGAAGTGTCTCCGGACGGCGAAATGCCGGCGCGGGCCGGTAGTCCTTTTCCCCTTAATTTACCGAGATCTAGGTCTGGAAATAAAGTAAACGAACCATAAGGAGCTTCGCTTCCCGCCACTGTGGAGAAACGATGCCAACTATTGATACTGACAGCCAGCCACAAATGCTTCGCTCCTCAGCCAGCCGCAAAGTTGGAAGCACATCACGGCTACGGCGTATACCAAAAGCTTGTCTGTATTCACACCCCTGACTGAGAAAAGTTCTTCAAAATAAGGGTCCCTGATCGACGCGCCACTGGTGCTTCGCGGGGCGTCCGGGGTCGTGCTACGTCCCGATCGGGGAAATACAAATACGAACTAGGAAAGCTTAGGATTCCAAGTACAATTCATGACACAGGACGAGCTATCGAAACACAGAGCGGCGAAGCTATGCAAGGGCCTATGCTCTTCGATCATGATTTTAATCTTCAGCTAGAATAACGGGGCAACAGATCAACTATTTCTCCTAAACACAGGTTTCTCCACCAGAGATTTTTGCGGTGCTGAACACCAAACTTGGCAAGAGAGCCTCTCTTGTCCGGCCGTGGGACAGAAGATTGATTCAAGAATGCAAAGGATCTGAAGTATACGAGGCATGCTCCTGTCCTTTGACAGGAGTAGGCCGTTTTTGACCAAGGCCAATGTTCGTCTGAAATAAGAACTCGAGTGACTTATGATTGCTATGCTTTGAGAGCCTCTCAGTCAAAGCTTGCTTCTTCGCAATCACTTTCACTAATGCTGAACCTCACGAAGAAAATGTCGAGCGCTGGGTCCACTTATTTTAGCATGACTATCTCGAAGCATATACGCTTTTCAAAGCCATAGGATCCTTTCGAAGAGCTCGAACACATAGCACAGGAAACGATCGCTTCCACTAATGCCGAGCCCTACGAAAAAAACGTCGAGCGATAAGTCTATTAAAATGTATTTATCTCGAAACATATGCGCTTCTTAAAGCCATGCCCTTTAAAGAGCTGGAACGCATAGCATAAAAAGCGACCGCTTCCATTGATGCCGAATCTGACGAAGAAAGTGTCGAGCGATAAGTCTATTGAAGTATATCTATCTCGAAGCATATGCGCTTCTTAAAGCACAGCGATCAGAGGTCACTCGGAAACCGCAGAAGAACACTGGACATTGGCAAAGGCGGTCGCGAAGCGACAGGCTTCAAACGAACACTAGGTCTTGGTCAAAGACGGTCGTGAAGCGGCAAGCTTCGACCGAGAGGCCCTCAAAGAATAGCGATCAGAGGTTACTCAAGAGCTAATTTCGGACGAACACTGGGCCTTGATCAAAGACGGTCGCGTCCTGTGCCAGGCGTTCGAGCTCTTTGGTGTCTATGGTGGTAGCCTTTGCAACTTGATACCAGACTTGGCGCACTTTCTGATAACAAGATGTCTGCTTCCATCATGACCGCGAATGTCTTCGGATAGCATAAAGACCAGTGTCAAGTGGCCCTTTCTAATTCTCGATCTCTTGATAGAAGAACAAAGAATATCAAAGATGGACGACCAAAGAGAATTATCGACAGGCACTCCCACTTCAGGCCCCCTGACTTTAGTCACAATGCCATTCGGAAAGTTACAATCTCTCAGCGCGGTCTCCAGAATTAGGAGCAGAATACAGCAAATATGAATGGACGATGTGACTCGTTCTCCTTCTCAACCTGCGAAAACAACACGTTCAAGAATCCTTACCGCTGCACGCTCGCAGCCGATCGTATCAAGAGACAGAGCAAACCAGTCTCGAAATCTGTTCGGGAAACTGAAGCGCGCGCTGCATCCGCCTCTGTGTTTCTACGGTACAGTAGCAGTATTCCGGTAGCGCCACCTTAGATTATGATTCGTCAATTCCACTCATCGTCATAATTTCACACAACAGCCCAAATAAACGCTCGAAACTTCTGACCCAAAACCATTCTTTTGTCTGTTCAAGAACTCCAACTCGTCCGCCCAACATTCATTGCCTTAGCGAACAGGCTCTGTCTACAAAGAAGTTCTTGCTAGCCAGCAAATTTCGCGGATAAACCGTTTCTTGTTTGATATATACTCCGTACAGCTTGATTGTTCGACATGTCTTCGGCAATCAGCTCTGTTCATGCGCCTATTAGAGATTCCCTCGATGAAGAGCTAAGGCTCGAGGTCAAGTCTGAACTGGAAGCGTACTGGAATTTCCATCGGTGGGATCTCGTGTTCAGGAAAACAATCAAGGATACTTGGATAATCACTGACCACATGCCAACTCTAGATGGCTGTCTCAGGTGGAAGTCAAGCCATGTCAGAAGATTCTGCAACAAACTTACAAGAATCTACGCAATGCCGCCGTCCATGCTACAAAACAACTAATTTCCTTTTAGGAATTTTGGCTGCATTTGGAAAGAATGGTTTCGCCTTCACAACGATGAACCTGACATGGAGTTCAACCATTTCTTTGCAGATCCGGCTATAATCACTCCCAACGGTCCGCAATCAGTGTCGAAGATCGTTGCATGTCACAGATTCTTCTGCGATAAAGCGTCCCATGGCCTCGAGACTTTGCAACGAGATGAGCGCTCTAAGCGTTACTATACTGCAGGAACTCGCATGCTCCCACTCCACAGAGCAATCATTCCAATCCTCGAGGACTACCAAGGGGACATCGAGGATGATGAGGATGGGTTTTTCAATCTTGACAAGATCTCCCAACTGCAAAGTGTGTTGATGGTCAGCACAGGAGATGATTCGCAATTGAGTGCTCCGATAACCTTTGAATCAATCAGAGAGAGGATTCTTCAACCCAGAAGAAACGATTGCCCATTGAAGGGCATTGAAGCCGTCCGAGTCTCCCTTGCCACAGCCGTTGAATTTATCACAAACTTACAAAGAAGAGAAGATGCAGCATCGCCGAGCATTGAGCCTCGCATCTTGGACACCTCTCTCAATCCGGACGATCATGATGCACCGAGCGCAGAACTGTGGGCAGACCATGTTTTGAAGCATGCTGATGATGTTAAGAACCGATATACAGTCGAGGCAGCTCTGGATAGAGTCTTGAGGGCAAGGGTAGGAGATCATTCTAGGAAGCTTGCAGCCCATCCTTTCAACAGAACGTGGAAATAGAGTGCAATCAGACTGTTTCTGGATCTGAGCAATCTCCTCAGTCTATCATCTTAATCATCGCATATCACTCACAGCGGTGCGGGAGACCTTGGTCAAAGATAATCGCGAAGCTAGAGGCTCAATGCACCACCAAGCAAGGGATAACGCACGGAACAACGCGCTAACTGGTCAAGAAGCGTACACTCTTCTCAAAGCATAGCTATCAGCCGTCATTGGTGGAGACTTCGAAAGAATAGTACTGGTGTAGGGTGAGACAATTGAAGATGTCTTCGTTATGGACTCAAGAATTGGAGACGCGGGTGATGGGAACGAGTATCGGGCGAAAGCTATAGTTGACTTCAATCAATATTCCATGTCTTTGTAACCTCTGTCCACCAACTTTTTGATAGCATACTGAACTTCTTCCAGCCATGCACTTTCCATCGTTTTAAATTGTTAGTAGTGTCACCGTCGGAAGCAGATTCCGTGGATCTGAGGACAAGTATACACTTCGAAGAAGTCGTACCCGATGCCTTCATCGTTTGAAAGTAATTGAATTCAAGGTCGGCCAAACCACGCACTTGACTGTTCCGTCACTTGATGTATGAGGCAAGACCAAGCTTCTGATTGACTTTCATCCAGATAATTAATCAAGAATCTAAGAAAGTCGGCGTAAAACTGTCAAAAGAATATTATCAACAGTGTCCGTATTTTTTTGGGTGCAGCCTCACCATCAACATTCTTCTCCGCTCAATCTTTTTCTCACAAGAATAATAGCAAAAGGTATAGGTGCGACGATTTCACTTGTAGAGAGTCTACTTCTGCAACAGTATAAATATCATTATATGCTTTCTATCATCCAAGTCTATTGCTTCATGACTTTACCAGTTATTCTCGACTTGACTCTCGCTTAATTAAGGGGCAAGTGCACAGATCACACAGGCTCAGACCCTTACACATCTTGATCTTATTTCAAGTCATTGTCTACCCCACTTTCGCCAAAAAGAGTCTCTGTGTAGCTCAGACCCATGCAAAGATCATTTGGCCAGTTACTATCGACATCAGTACTTTCGAGATTCCTCTGATGGTTCCCACATCTATTGTAACAGGCCTGCAACTCATCGAGGAAAGATCTTGCCGAGATAGGACTGAAGAGCTTCGACAGACCCAAGGGTACCAAGATGTGCCGTACATCTGCTTTGGAATCCTCAAACAACAGTCTCCTGCTCTTTATTCTCCTTCGGAGATCTGACATCGATCTTGATCTCCCGGAAAATCCCTCTATAATCCCCAATCTCAGTCGCCTCTCTCTTTCTGATTCTGAAGCTACTCTGTCTAAACTCCACAAACCACACACAAACCCAATAAGAGGTTGCCAGACTTTGGAACACGAATCCAAGCCAGATCAAGGCGATGAATGTTGCGCCACTCGTGGCATATAGTCCGACCGAGTTGCCAAATTTGTTGGTCAGCCAGCTCAGTATGACGCTGATCAAGGTCGCAAGTACAGCATCGAGACTTCGGGTGAAAATGCCGATCGTTGCAAGAGACAGATTTCCCGTTATTACTATCCTATTTTGAGCCAAGAATATGCCAAGGAATGACAGTATTATGGCCGCTGCTGAGTTGATGAGAGATAGAATCATGAGAGCGAGCAAGAATTTCTCGAGCGAGTCGGCAGTCGGCCCTAGGGTTGAGACGGCGCCTGTGAGTTCATTGAGAGCAGGCGATGAGACGTTCGTTCCTACTACCGCCAAGGAACTTGGAATCTTGGAGCTGATTTTGCTTATTTCTACCCAGTGTCAGAAACAGGAAGGCGGCTTGGAATGGAAAGAAAGGACTTACTGTTTGCAGCTGAAGAAAAGGGCGAGCAGCTCGAGATATTGGATGGAGATTCCCCCTTGCAAGTTGTCAAGACACGTAAAGTATAGAAGTCATCGATCCCAGCGTCGGATATGAAGCCATTTATCAACTCAAATGCTAGTCTATTGAGATCATCATCGATAGCTTGAGTGAGACCAGAGGAGCCAAGGCCTGCTGCCAGTCCGGACAGAAGAGACCCGAGCCCTCCTGAGAGCAGGCTTCCCAAAGCCCCTAGGAGTCCAGATGACGAAGAGGTACCATTGCCTGAAAGTAAACCCGATGGGCTTGGGAGTCCTGGCAGAGAGATGCTCGGTAGTGGAAACTCGGACGTGAGTCCGCTGCCACCAGAAGATATGACACTTGAAGCTACGGAAACCCTGGACGCCACTAGTGATGAGAATTCAGATCCCAAGCCTAGAGGATCCAGAGGATTGAAGTCTCTTCCTCTAATTTCTGATGGGAGCGTTGCGGTGATAAGCGTGGTGACTGTTGCTGTTGGCAATGTCTGCCTTTTATTGAGGCCTGATGAAGTGGAGGTTGCAGATGCGGTTGGGGAGGTTGCCGTCGGTGCGAACGAGATGATTCCTGTTCCTAAATCAGTGGTATTGAACCACACGTCAAGTAATTAGCAGGTATCTACACTTCAAGTCTATCCAGCAGTAAATAGGGATGGGAGTCTGTATAGCTTACAGCAATTAGGTGCACGTCTGTCATATATCCAGCCTTTGTGCCAGCTAGGATGAGCGCAAGAGAACAACCAAAACCTGCTGCAGATGATATGAAAGGAAAAATAGCGCTTAGTCGGAATTGCTTCGTATTTGGAGTTGGTGCTATTGTTTGCGGACTGGTAACTTCAGGTATGTTTCTAGACGACCTTCGTGAGCTCTTTGCTCTAGCTGCCTGGCTTCCTCTGCTTGTCTTCCTACTATGTAACCCTGGACGACGGCCGTCGACTCCACTGACAACCGACATCACTCGAGGATACTGTTCTTCGTGTACTATTGGGCTAAGAAACTCTCTAGATAGTCTTCGTGCTGAGCTCATGAGATGTTCGGGCCATTCATTCGATCTTTCAAGCATGAATGTCTGGTCCGTAGGAGAAGTGGCATCGTCTGTGGTGTTAACGGGTTTTCTCTCTATTCGTCCCCTCTGTACACCTCTAGCTGACATGCTTGCAACGTATGTGGCCAATATTTCAAAGAGATATATGGTGTGTAGATAGCAGTAGGACTCCAAGAGGTCTGAAAAGCCAGGACATCAGGTACAAAAAGTGACAACCTTCAATCCCGCTGCCAATTACGTAGTCAATACCCTTCGCATGGATTTGAAGTCGAGAGCACTTTGACAGCGCAGACACATGACATTGATTGGATGCAAGGAAGGCCTTGTTTCAAGTCCAATGCTCCACTTGGGAATTGTGAAAAAGCACGCGGGGCCGTCCGATGCATGGGACGTTCCAAGTGGTTAGCGATGCGAAGGCCAAAGATAGACTTCCAACAATCACGGGAAGTCTGACGTTAGAGTCTGAACTACATCTTTTCGTCTCCATAGAGCCTATCTTGATGCGAAGATGATCTCAAGTGATTGTTGCGTTGCGATGCCAAGCGCAAAAGTAAATGCAGCTCTGAGATGAGACTATCTTGGGCTTGATGTCAGCATGTCGCTGTGACCTGACAAAAGGATTTCATCAAGAGTCAACTCAACTCAAGAGATCTTCCACATCAAAGCGCCATCTATTGATAAGTACCTATAACCCCACCATGATTCAATTCAATCTCTTTCCTCGAGCTTTTCATCTCCTTCTCTGCCCCATGATTGAACGATGAACAATATGCTTCACTCAACCAATTATCGGCTTTTAGACCCTGTGTTTACATTTCAAATGATAATAATAATAATATTGCGAATAGCATGAGGGAACAGTTACTCTGCATTGGCTGTGACCCCTGAGCAGTGATTGGTTTACAAGCGAGCTGTATCCGGGGAGTACTTTAGCGGCTTGGTTTCGAAAACGCGTTGCGTTCTCACTGCAACGACTTAACTCCATCAACCCTCTCAGGCATTCAGAGGTATGATTGTCTTAATTTTTACCATGATCTATGCTAATAATCTCCAGCAGTTGTAGAGTCCATTGGCTTTGACCTCCCTCGATACTGATACCTACATACCACGACGCGTCTTGCTCGATCAATATGCAGCTTCGCAATCGTCTCGTTGGAGCCGGACAAGCGTTCCACCAATTCAAACGTCTGCCAACCGAAATCCGATGCATGATTTGGAAGTTTAGTCTACAGCCTCGTGTCGTGGAGATTGCGACCGACATTCAGGTGGTTGAGGATACACCATATCCCGGGGACGTCTATGAAGGGACGTACTATTACTCCAAGGCCAGGCTTCCCGCCATTCTCGATGTCTGTCATGAATCTCGCAGTGCTACACTGCCATTGTACCCTCTCTGTTTCAGATACTCTGGTCCTGGAATTCGGTTCAACGTCTCCTTCGACATCCTCTACATCAACCATGATGTGGAGGACATTCGCAATCTGCTTGACTTCCTAAAAAATACTTCGAAGAGGAAGTCCGACTAGAGAATATTGCCATCTCTGCAATATTAGGCCCCCTTGGAAGCGAGGCAACTAAGTGGGCCTATTGGAAATTGTTAGCAGAACGCCTAGAATCGGGTTTATGCTTTGAAGAGTATACTCACTGTTCATGATATTAGCAAAGATCTACAAACTTAAGCTATTTTGTGGCCCGATCGAGCGGAAGTTATGAAGGAGCACATGAGCGAGTACCGCTGGTATAAAGAATACCCCGACAGACGCATGGAGCTCTTCGATCATTTCCCCGCCGCGCTGATTACACTTTTTCGTCTTATGGGCGAGGATATACCAAAAGCAGGAGAGCTTGTGCACCACATAGACGCTCTTATGGAGGAAGGGAGTTGGACTAGCACGAGGACACGACATGTTTATGGCTGGCGGCGTTAGGCGTAGAGGTTTTCAACGAGAGAATGGAAGACAATTACGGTCCGTCTTGGCGGTTTGTGGCACGAGCTTCAGTTGAAGAACTGGTGCTTATGTAGAGCAAGTGCCATATGGCTCTGGCTCTCTCACCTGGCAGCGCAGGGCCTGATTGGTGGACTTGGGTCTCGAATGTTTCTTTCACGGGGTAGAGCTTTTGATGTGATCCTCGGGAATTCGTTTCTCCAGGAATTGTTTCATGTTGTTTGTGGATCTTTAATATTGATGAAACAAGCGAGTGCGAAACGAGATAGGCCTCCTATACTCCTGACTCTCAATCCCCATAATTCGTCCTTTTCAATGTCGAAATCAGATGTTGACGACGACACACATGTGGCCATGACTTTAAAAGTCATCGAATGCCCCAGCAAGTTATTACTACAAACCATCTTCTTTTTTCCTTCCTACACATCCAATTCTTAGGCGGAGCCTGCTGTTAACATTCTGCACACTCATTTCTCTTTTTGATTTTTTGTCTCAGGCAACATGTATCGCTTTGCATCCTTTGCTGGCCTGGTGCTATCTGCATCCACAGCTTCATCAATGTTTACGAAGCGCGATTCCTGGGGTCCTGCATTCAGCTTAGGTCCTGCAAAGCAGGACATTATCAGCACCACAACGACCATCTATCCTGGCGAGATGCCATCCGACCAAGCTGGCTATCTTTTCGTCTGGCTCGGTATATCCAATGGAACTGGAGACCTCATCCAGAGCATCATCGGCTCGTACCCGTCCGGCCAAAGCGAATGCAGCGGCACTGACGCTGACACCACCTGGTGCATCTCATCTGAAGTATACGGTCTTGCTTCTAACGGGCTACCCAATCAATGGGTTGGATCCCTCACCACTGCTGATGTCAATTACGCAAATGGCATTAAACTCAACTATACCCTGATCGACAAGGAGAGCTACCTCTGGCTTCAAACCATGGAGGACGCTGTAACAGGCCAACTCCTCTCAACCTTCAATAAAACTTCAGGACCGATGCTTGGATGGGGAACGGCCATCGAATGCGATGACTATAATGGTGTCAGCTGCACAGGCACAATCTCAGAGCAATACTACGTCAACTCAACCATCATCCTAGAGAGTGCGGACGATACCTTCATTGACACTCTAGGGGTGTCTTCTGGTGCGACTTATACGGAGATGGTAACAGCAGATGACGGGAAGACGTGGACCATTTCTAACATCACCATTCCTGCTATGCAGAACTCGTCTTCGACGGATACTGAGGTTGTTGCTTCTTCTTCATCGTTGACAGCTATTGAGACCGAAGCTCCAGTTCCTAGCTCATCCACGCCTTTGATCGCCTCGACATCTGTTGCAATCAAGTCCCTCAGCGCTGAGGCGTCATCTGTTGCAAGCACTGCCACTCCATCTGCTGGATTCGGCGGCTTTGGAGGTTTCGGTGGCACGCAGCCAACCGGATATTTTGGTGGGAACTCAGGACATCGTGGTCATGGATCTGGAAAATGGGGTGGATTCTCAGAACGTCGTGGAAGACGCTTGTAAGACTGGTCAGTGTTGGCTAGTGAGAAATTTGCTGGATTTTGATAATTCTTTTCTTGTACATATTTTTTTTCTCATTGCAGAACTAGGTCTTTTGCGATCAACACACTTGCTTTGGCACTCTGGCAATGTTCTTGAAGTCATTCCTAGCAAGACAGATTGGGAGAAGAACGCTGAAGATGAGACGAGTTTTCCGAGAAAAAACAAGAGAGAGAAAAAAATACGAACATGGTTGGGGCCCCCATCACGGATAGTCAACTAGCAGGATCGGAAAACGAAGTTACGAATGTACAGTACATAGTCTAGTCGGACAATCGAAAAGTTGGCAGGTCTCAAGGAGAACCCATGCTACCGTTTCAATAAACCTTCAAGCACAGTCGCAATACCCAGGACCTTCTCTTCTTCCATTCGACGCCCAACGATCTGTACTGTTATGGGCAGCCCTTTGTAAACCTCCGGATCATAGATACTTCTTATGTATCCATCCAATTCCCCAGTAATTCCTGGAATTTTCTTTCCTTCGGCGTCCTCGGTATCTCCACTGTCAGCCGGATGCAGTTCCGGGTCCACAAAACCGATCGGTATTGTACACGCTGAGAAGTCCAGCACGTTCACAGTACCCGTGTAGCCCAGGTATCGTCCTCTTGCATAATGACCATGCTTTGGAGCGACAGCAGGGTTCACTGGCGTGATATAAACGTCCATCGTGTCAGCCAAGCTACCTGTTTTGGACGTTTCTCTCCATTGTTCCAGTACAGCAGATTGGAAGGCCAATTTCTCGCAGGCAAGGTCCCAAGATTCAAGTATAGTCAAGGGCGATACACTGGGCGTGCTGTTCGTGATGACTTGCTGGGGCGGCTCGCCCGACAATGCTCGAGACCGGTCGATGTCCCCGCTCGCGTCAGATGAGAAAACTCGGAGTAGAATGGACAGAGCAGCTTTTTGATCGATTCGCCAGGAGATGATTTCATGTCCTGCGGCTCGCAATTTGGTTTCTAGTTTCTTCATGGCCCAGCGAATTGGAGGTTGGGGTAAGATGTTTCCGTCCCACTCCATGATCCCGATTTTGAGCTTGCGACTAGATGTTACTGATTGAAAGATTTCATCTCGCCATGGTATTGGCTGACACTTTGGATCGGTGAGCCAAGGCTGAGATATTACCACAATCTTTGTGAACAGGGTCAAAGCCGATGGGGAGTGAGACATTGGACCAACTACAGAAGGAATCGTTTCTTGTCCTTCCATGGAGTTGAGAATGTTGTGGTACGGAATCCGCCCTGATGAAGGCCTCAAGCCCCACAAGCCTTGATAAGCCGATGGACTGTAATGTTCCGTTAGCATTTGTTCATCAAATAAGAACGACACTGGCACAGAAGCCAGGTTGAATAGATCTCAACTGACCTCCTGATAGACCCACCCAGATCTGATCCAATCCCTAATGGACTGCCATGAAAACCAATCAGTGCTCCCTCTCCACCGCTTGACCCTCCACAAGAGAATGAACGATTGAACGGATTACTCGTTGTCCCAATAATGCTACAATGAGACGTTAGTCCCCTCTCCTCTTACAGACATTCCAAATCACTAACTTATTAATCGTTTCACCCCACATACAACCCATACTCAAGCTCGTCTTAACAAACACCACTGCCCCAGCATCCTGCAAGATCTCCACCAGCAAACTATCTCTCGTATCCTTCTTCCCCAAATTAGCCACAAACCCACACGTCGTCTCCGTGCCAACCACCCGACATTGGTCCTTGACTGAAATCGGAAGCCCATGCAGAGGTCCGATCGTCTTTCCGCCGCTGGACTTGAAGTACTCGTCAAGTTTGGCGGCTCGAGCTAGTGCAGAAGCGTAGGGGAACTCGAGACAGCAGTTTAGGAGCTGGTGTGCTATTGCGGCGCGGTGGGTGAAGGCTTTTAGGACTTGGATGCTGGTGTATTTTCCGCTGGCGATGGATTCGATCAGTGGGAGGACATCAAGCGAGGTGATTTCGAGTTCTGAGGCGGAGAGAAGGCTGATTGGGATATCTAAGACGGGCGTGGTGTCGGTTGTTGAGTGTGATAAGTGCGAGTGCAGATATTCTTTTGGAAGTTGTGAGAGAATGCTTTCTTGCTTTGCACGCACTCTCGACTCCCACGACGGCGAGGACGCGGTTGTTGACATCCTTTCTGATGATTCCGAGCTTCAATCTTTGTCTTGAGCAAGTTGCACTTTATTTTTGATTCCACACGCATTCATAAACTCAATGAAAGACAAGACTCACCGTATGAGTAGTATGAGTAGTATCGAGCTACAGAATGAGACCACGAAGGGCTCAGACGTTGATTGGCGAATTACGATACAGCCGTCAATGCAATATTCAGGCTTGAAGATGGGATAGTTGGACGAAGTCGGAAAGATAGCATCAGGCAATACCCCATTCTTGAGTGATAAGCATGGAAATCTTTTGGCAGTCCGCCTTGGCATCAGGAACTGGATGATTTCAAGTAGACATAAGTGGGATGCGCCCAACAGTCTGAAGTCTAATGAGCGCTGCAACGAGAACGGTTCGTCCCACATGTTGTGATTGTTCCACCTCTTGTGTTTGTCTAGGAGTATACATTTTGCAAGACAAGTTACGACCTGGAGCTGTTTGCATGGAGGTGTGAAACGTTGAGGTCTCTGTGGACGTGCGTCAAGTTTGAAAGAGTAGCAGAGAACTGATGACGATCTCTACCAGATAATTCTGATAGAGTCAGACCGAGGGGTGTTTTTCTGAAGTTGTGTTGTTGAGGTGGACAGACTCAGGAATAGAATTGAAAGAAGAAACTCCAAACCTACCTTCTCACAAAACTGGAAACAACTCTGGCCGCTAAGCCGAATGCAGTAGAATTGTATAGCAATGTCTGTCCAATGTCTGGAGTACTAAACTTACGCAATCTTGCATTCAGTACAGCACATTGCCTGTGAACTTTTACATAGGGTATACTGCCGCATTATATGCGTTGACGCAATGACACCTTTGTTCTTAATTGAGCACTCAATAGAAAAATCCGCTTGAATTTGCCCATGTTACGTGCTATTCCAACTTTAAACTACCGGGAGTTGGATGAGAAGTTGTATTCGTGACAAGACGACAGGTGATGTTTGGCAAGACTTGGCAGTTCACCAGGTTGATGTGTAAGGTTTTCAGGGCAGATTAGGGATTGGAGCGCATCAAAAAGGGCCGAGAGAACCCCGCCATTGGTACCATGACATGCCTATTCTGTCCTACTATTTCTTGTTGGTCCTTTCTCTCTCTCTTACAAAACTTTATGTACATAATCAATTCATTTCTTTATTGCTATCGCTCTCTCTTTCTTTTCATCTACTACAAAAATGCCAGAAGCAATCCTCAACGACATCTCGCATCGCCGCTACAATCCATTGCGGGGTAGCTGGTTGCTTGTCTCCCCACATCGAACGAAGAGACCGTGGCAGTAAGAGCCTCCGCCCAAGTCTGCATATACCTTCTAAACATTCTCCAGAGGCCAGCAAGAATCTCCATCCAAAATTACCTTACCAGAATACGATCCAGCGGTATGCGACACAAATCTTTACTCTCGATATTTCTCCTGATCATACCCAGTGCTACCTCTGTCCTGGAAACAAACGCGCCCAAGGCGATACCAATCCCAAATATGTCGAGCCATTCGTATTCGTCAATGACTACAGCGCTGTGAAAGAATCACAAGCAGAATACAAGCCAGAAGCCTCGAAAGGTAGCTCCCCCGTCGTCTTCTCTCGTAAAGTAAACACTAACAGACCACAGACCTCTCAAGCCTCCTCCTCCGCGCCGACCCGGTAACTGGCAGATGCTACGTAATAACCTTCTCGCCCTCCCATAACCTCACGCTCGCGGACCTCACTCCTGCTCAAATCCTCCCGGTAGTACAAATGTGGACGCAAATCTACGCCGCGCACCTCTCGCCTTCGAATCCCCTCTCGAAAATCGAAGTCAAGGAAACACAAAAGTTACCCTTAAGTCCACCAAGTTCGCAACTGAGATGGATGCAGATATTCGAAAACAAGGGCGCGGCGATGGGATGCTCGAATCCGCACCCTCACGGCCAGATCTGGACCACTACTGGCTTGCCAGAAGAACCTGCAGAGGAACTTATCCAGTTGCAGAAATACCGGAAGGAGAATGGGCGGAGTTTGCTAGCTGATTATGTCAAAGTGGAGATGGAGAAGGAAGAAAGGATCGTGTTCCAGAATAAAGGGTTTCTTGTCGTTGTTCCGTGGTGGGCTACTTGGCCGTTTGAGGTTATGATTATCAGTAAAGAGCATAGGAGGGCTTTGGTGGATTTTAGTGAGGAGGAGAAATTGGGGTTTGCGGAGGCGGTGGCGGAGGTTACGAGGCGGTATGATAATTTGTTTGAGACGAGCTTTCCTTATAGTGGGTTTCCCCACTCCCTTTTCTTGTTGTTGTATGGTGTGTTGATATAGGCAGGTTCTGGTATTCATCAGGCGCCACTTGAGGGCACGGAGGAGGAGATTGAGAGTTCGCATTTTCATATGCATTTCTATCCTCCTCTGCTGCGTAGTGCTACCGTTAGGAAGTTCTTGGTTGGATACGAGCTTATGGCCGAGCCGCAACGAGATATAACCCCCGAGCAAGCGGCGAAGAGACTTAGGGATGATTGTGGAGGTGAGTTGTATAGGAAGCATTTGCAGTGAGGCGTCCTTGGAAAGCATCGGAGGTCGTTTGGGTTTTGGCATTAGACATTAGAGAATATCTACATCTATCCAGCTCTCTCCTTCTGCTAGATAGTCGTTTGTACATCTTTTCCGACATATACACCCTTCAAGCAGGAACATAATATCCCCACTGCATCCACATCCACGCCAAACTCCCCGTCGCAACCACCACCGGCCCCGCCAATCCCCTTCCCCACCTCGCCGTCCCAAACACCCACCACTCGCTCATGAAATGTAGCCAGGCAACCACGTACGTGAGCACCGCCATCTGGTATATCTGCGGATTGTCGATGTTGTACGCAGCGTACATGCGCACGATGGATTGGATCAGCGTCCATGTCCCGAAGGTCCGCGAGGAGAGCGGTGTCGCGGGGCTGGTGGTGGAGGAGGGCGTTTGGCCGGGATGGGAAGACCAGCCAGCGTAGACTTGCGAGGTGAATTCTAGGGTAGAGTAGGCTTGGATGGAGTTTCCGACTGAGATTATGGAGACCTGGTGGGTGTTAGTAGGGGAGCTTGGAGAGGTGAGGGAGGGACGGACCAGGAGGAGCCATTGTGGGAGGAGGCCGGGGTGTTGGGGGAGGTAGGAGGTGAATTGGGTGAGGAAGGATGCCATTGTTGCTTGTGATTAGGCTGTTGTGTTGGTTTAGATGGCGCTTCAGATGTATTTGTGGTCTGAGTGCTGGATGGTGATGCGCAAGAGAATTGCTTCCCGAAACGGGAGATTGACAATTATGTAGATGTTGGCAGTTATCTAAGCTAACTGAAGCTTCAATTGATATCTTAGTAATGATCTCACTCCTCTGTGAAGTTGTAGGCGCAAGATATTATTCTTGAACAGAGAGAGAGAGTTATGGTTTGACGTGATCGATCAGCAAATCGCGTCGCGTCAAAAAAAAGAGAAAGAGCCAGCGGGTCGCATTGATAGCTTAAAAAAGCCCCAAGCTCAACCGAATACTCAACAACCTCGACCCTCACTTCACGAACATCACAAATCTCAAAACAGCACAATGGATGTCCTGGATAAAATTCCGAAGCCGCTGCTAGGCGCCTCTGCCGGAATTGGTGCCGTGTTCTTGGGCATCAAGATATTCAATTACATCCGTTTGCTGCTCAGCTTGTTTGTTCTAAGTGGGAAGAACGTAAGGATTCTCACCCTCTCAATACACAGACAAAAGCTGATTGAAATAGTTACGCACTTACGGCAATAAAGGAACTTGGGCAGTAATCACCGGAGCCTCCGACGGCCTTGGAAAAGAATACGCGATCCAACTCGCACAGAAAGGTTTCAACCTCGTCCTCATCTCCCGCACCGAATCCAAACTCCAAACTCTCTCCACGGAAATCACGCAGAAATATGCGGGCTCCAATATCCAGGTCAAGATCCTGGCCATGGACTTCTCGAAGAATGACGAGGGCGATTATGCGAAGCTGAAGGCGCTGGTTGATGGGCTGGATGTGGGTATTTTGGTTAATAATGTCGGACAGAGTCATTCTATTCCTGTGCCGTTCATTATTACGCCCAAGGATGAGATGAGGGATATCATTGCTATTAATTGTATAGCTACGTTGAGGGTTACGCAGATTGTGGCGCCGGGCATGGTACAAAGGAAGAGGGGCTTGATCCTTACCATGGGCTCTTTTGGTGGGCTTCTACCTACCCCTCTACTGGCGACTTATTCTGGGTCTAAGGCATTCTTGCAACATTGGTCAACGGCTCTAGCGGGAGAACTGAAGGGCTCGGGAGTTGATGTGGAGTTGGTTCTCAGCTATCTGGTTACAACGGCCATGAGCAAGATCAGGAAGACGAGTGCTTTTATTCCCAACCCAAGGAATTTCGTCAAGAGTGTTTTGAGCAAGGTGGGGAGGAGTGGTGGTGCACAGCAAATGGCATTCACGAGTACGCCGTTCTGGGGCCATGCTTTGATGCAATGGTGGATTGAGAATACGGTTGGTCTCGGGAGTGAGTTTGCGGTTATCCAAAATAGAAAGATGCATGAGGATATTAGGAAGCGGGCGTTGAGGAAGGCGGAGAGAGATGCAAAGAAGGCGTGAGCAGTGTCAGAGAAACTGGCTCGAATTGAGCTGGGAGGGGATAGGGTGGCAATGCAGAAAGAAGCGCACATGGGAGAAAGATTTGGCTTCGGTGTTGGTGGAAGGTTCTGAGAGCAGGTTCAAAGGAATTCCGGGTGCCATGGAATTGGGGATGCAGGAGAGCTACAAGCCTTCGAATATTGGCTTCCCTGTGATAGTGTCCATATAAACGATCATTTTTATACGTTATGACCAGACTGTTCTATCCTTTTTCCATTGCAATTTCGGTGCATATCGAATACCGCTGGCTTTTCAGCGGCTAGCGTAGAGAAATTGGAGCAAAAATTTATTTATGTCAGTATCTTCGGCGCAATAAAGTTGTAATCATCTAATGCTCTTTGTAGAAATATTCTTCCCAATTTCCTCCAAGTCCCAGACATTCACTTGTTTTCATCACCTCGCCTTCCTATTGTGCTTCTCTTCCTTATTGTTCTTGACAAGCACGTGACTCGTAATTTTTTAACGACGAGCCTCAACGCGTCTTCGAGGCGTATCTCGAAAGTGCCTGTTGACAAGCTTCCATTACCACGACTGCGCTCAGTCTCCTCCTGGTACAACAATTTCCTGTCCTCTAGCTACCATAGCTTTTTCATGTCGACTTTCTAATAATTAATTTACTGCAGCAGCTGGTCAGCCATCCTCTCAACTTTGTCTGGCATCGCGACAGCTCCTGCAGCTGCTCTCAAGCAATCATGTCGTTCGCAGCAACTCCTCAGCGTCCTCTGCCAGGCGCATACTTTGCTACGCCAGCTCCTTCGAGATTTGCTCAAGGCGCACCAATCCGCCAGCCCTCATTCACAGGTCAGCCTCGACCACCACCAGGGCCAGATCCAAATGATGGACAACCAAATCCTCAATCGCGCCAACCTCCGGCTCCACAAGCTCTACAACCAGTCCAAAGAGCTGCTCGAACCATCAATGAGGTTCTCCAGCGTGAAGCAAGCTTCCCCGACCTTGATAGCTATGTGAGACGTAAGTAGGCCTCGAGACTGGGAGAACAAAGCTAACACCATGCGCAGAGGGCATCTCCTCCGACTATGATCTCCCAAACCCGACTACGGAGGCTGCTTGGTCGCCCTTCCATCGAACGAAGATGTACGATATCCCTGACCGAATTTTCGAGCAATACAACCAAGCTGAGGTCTCGACCATGATGGGCCTATTTGCTGAACTGAACCATGCTTGGGTTACGATCGATAATGCGCTGTATCTGTGGGACTATACGAATCCAAATCCTGAGCTCATTGGGTTTGAGGAGCAGTCGAATAGCATTACGGCTGTAAAAATGGTGAAGCCAAGAGCTGGAGTCTTTGTTAAGGATATTACACACTTGCTGGTAGTTGCTACTACGGCAGAAATGATTTTACTGGGCGTTGCGGCTGGTACGACTGCTGCTGGAGTGAAGACCGTTGCGTTGTATCAGACGAAGATGTCACTTTCAATCCGAGGCATCAATGTTCAGGTCATCGAAGGTTCTGCGGTTACTGGACGCATATTCTTTGCTGGAAAGGCAGATAACGAGGTCTACGAACTCACATATCAACAGGAGGAGAAGTGGTTCGCCAGCAGATGTAGTCGGATCAACCATACGAGCCCTGGCTACACATCTCTGGTACCTGCGATTTGGGCTGGGAATTCACAGGAGCATGTTGTAATGATGGTGGTGGATGATAGCAGACGACTACTGTATACCCTTTCATCCGAGTCGTCTATTCGGACATTTCATATGGACAGCCCCACGACACTCACCCAAGCCATCGAAAAGAAGAGACAGGAGTTTCTTCGAGATATTAGTCACATGATCTCACAATCGACACTCCTCACAAACACCATGAAGATTTGCTCCATCAGCCCTATCTCCGCTAAGGAAGGCTCGAAGCTACATCTCATGGCTACTACTAGTACCGGCTGCAGACTTTTCTTGAGTGCAACTCGAGGCTATGCATACGGTACATCACAAGGCGCTCCTCAAAGTATGCAGGTACAGCACATCAAGTTTCCACCTCGCATCGATTCGAAACCTGCTGGCCAAAGCCAGTCAGTTTCTTCATATGGTGCTTCTGAACCAGCCACTGACACTTCATCTCTCGCACTCTCATTTACACAGACGGGTCTACGCTTCCCACCTGGACTCTTCTTCGCTTTCGTTCGCAAGAGTGAAAACCAAGGTCGGGATTCTCTCTTCCTTTCTGGTCCTGATACAGGTCGGATAGCCTTCCAGTCTCGAGATATCAGTGTTCAAGCTTCCAAGTACTTTGAACAGGCTTGCTGGCTCAATTTGAACAGCCATGCTGAGGATGTCGGCCTTGTCACCAAACCATTCGCTGCTGCATCACAGCCCATCGGCTTTGGTAACGAGCTCGCTGTGCAGTACGATGAAGCCCCACAGGAGGTTGCTATTCTCACCAATACTGGCATCCATATCATTCGACGAAGACGATTGGTTGACATCTTTGCATCTGCGATCCGAAATCAAGGTGGCGAGGAAGCGCTTGAGAATGAGATTAAGAAGTTCATCCGCAATTACGGTCGAGCTGAGACGACTGCTACTGCTCTAGCCGTAGCGTGTGGTCAAGGCAGCGATATCACACCGGGTGACCCAAGACTTGCTCGAGTCAACAACCCTGAAACATTGGAATTGGCACGCAAGTGTTTTGTCGAGTTTGGTGGACGACCTTCGGTTGACCAGAATATGGTTTCTGAGCCATCGCAAGCCATTGACAACGTCCGACCATCATCTCGCCACGAAGGTTTAGCTCTGTACATGGGCAGGCTTGTTCGTTCCGTCTGGAAGTCATCTGTCATCACTCAAATCGTCCCAAAGACGCCAAGCGCGCCTACACAAATCAACACAACTGTTCCATTGGCCAAGCTTATCGCGATCCAGGAGGATTTGACGAAGTTGGCAACCTTCTTAGACAAGAATAAATCATTCATTGAAGGTCTCGCTGGCCCCGAGAGTCTGCAGCGAACTGCCAGCCAACAAGAAGCAATTGCTCTTCAGGGCGAGCATCAAGCTCTCTACTCTCTTCAAAAATTGAACTCGAGCATCATTGAAGGTATATCATTCGTTCAGATGCTGTTTGATGAGCGAGTTGACCAGATTTGGAGTACTCTTGATGATGGGGTCAAGCAACGACTACGAGATCTTACCTACGAAATCCTCTTTTCCTCGGATCAGGGCAAAGAACTCGCAAAGGTCCTTGTCAAGGCCATCGTCAATCGGAATATCGCCAATGGCTCGAATGTGGATACAGTTGCTGAGGCACTTCGACGCCGATGTGGTAGCTTCTGCAGCGCTGACGACGTAATCATCTTCAAAGCTCAAGAGCAATTGAAGAAGGCTTCTGAAGTCGGTGCAAACAGCGATATGGGTCGCAAGCTACTCAACGAGAGCTTGAAGCTTTTCCAACAAGTTGCTGGTGCTCTGTCGTTTGACAATCTGGAAACTGCTGCTGATCAATTTACGCAACTTCAGTTTTATGCTGGTGCCATTAGCCTAGCACTTCTAGTTGCTCACGAATCTGATCGCGGCAATCGTGCATTATCATGGGTCAATGAAAATAAACCTGTTGACGATGCTCGTGCTCCTCTCTACGCATTCAGGAGCAGATGTTACGATCTTATTCATCGCATTCTACTTGTTGTCGATGCCTCTACCAGTGCAGAACCGGAGATGCTGGACGGTCGACTTACTTTGACTGCCACAAAGCGTAACGAGGCACATGCTGTTGTCAACGAATCGGACGATGAGTTGTTCCAATACAACTTATATGAGTGGTATCTCAGTCAGGGCTGGGTCGACATGTTACTGTCTGTGGAATCTGCTTTCATTGTCCAGTTCCTCACGAAGTCAGCAAGTCAAAGGTTTGATCGAGCCGACTTACTCTGGAAATTCCACGTTCACCGCAATCAATTTTACGAAGCTGCTGCTGTGCAATTGGAATTGGCCAAGAGTACTTTCATCATCCCCCTCGCTCAGCGCATTGAGTATCTCAGCAGAGCTAAGGCGAATGCTTTGGCCCAAAGTCTTGGTATTGGCAGGCAAGCACGACATGCTTTGCAGTACGAAGTCTCGGAGTTGCTCGATGTGGCCATGATTCAAGATGAGCTTCTGCAGAGATTAAGACACGATCAGAGAATTCAAGTGCAGAGACGTGATGAGATTGTCGCTGAGCTTAATGGTCCCATTATTCCCCTATCAGATGTAAGTTTTCCTCGACTATTGCACTGTGCTGTTCCTAACCTGCTACAGCTGTTCAATGCATACGCGGATCAAGCATCCTACCATGATATCTGCCTCAGCATCTACGAAGCTGCCGATCATCGCAACGAAGCCGATATAAACGCAACGTGGCAAGCTCTCGTCGACCAAACCCACAACAAAGTCGTTGAAGCCGGTGATAACGCGAATCAGCAACCATATGAAGCCATCATCACTATGGTCCGCGCCATGCATCAACGTCTTGGCTCATCCGAAATTTGCTTTTCTCCGCAATTCCTCATATCTCTTCTGGAGCGATATGCCATCGAGAATCAAAATGGAGTTGGGCCCGAGTTCTGGCTTCCGGATCTCTTCATGGAAGTCGAGTTTGCTTTCGAAACAATTGTGCAAATCTTGCAGTCGATGTGGTATAGCAACATCACCCCTTTCACCGGTCGCCGGAAGCAGATCCTTGCCTCACATCTTTTGTATGTTCTTGAGCAGTGGTTCTTGGACTGCGAACGCAACAACAATCGTCTGTTTGGGAGCGAAGAGAATGCGCAAGACATTTCACAGTTGCTTGAGGTCTTGGGCGCTGGTGGAGATGCGTTGAGACAACAGGATGTGGAGAAGTGCGCAGAGCTGAGGAGAAAGATCTTGAGGTCTTTCAGATGAGTCCATTAATCTGATGAGCACCAGTTATATTATTGGAAAGGGAGGAAAAGCGAGAATGGGATATGATGTGATATGGAACTCTTCGGGCATTTTTGCAGGCGTTCAACAGGTATGGGGTATTACCTAGCATGCAGGCGGCTTTTCGTTCTCATTCCTACTACCACTGCTAGACGGGAGAGGAAAGGAACGAGTTTTTGAGGTTATGAGAAGAAAGGAATTTTTGTGGTCAGAAGGATGAAAAGCATAGCAAGCGGAGCAAAGTAAATCAGGTTCTTGCACATATGCATTGTACTTTAGAGTTGCGCGAGCTTTTTGATACCAAATTTGATTGTACGGTGGTAGAGTATTCATGGATTTTGGGTCTTGGCTCTGCGGGTTGTGAGTGTGAATTTTGTGGTTCGGAGATAGGGGACGTGAGTGCCAAGTGGCTTGCTCTGTTCCAAACTTGTGATCTTGCATTTCGTTCTTCACGTTTTATTGCGTTTGTTTCATTCCAATTCCTTCTCGTGTTTCTGAATAATGCAATGACAAATATGTGTCCCAAAGTCTCCGATTCGTGGAAGAAATGAAGCGAACCTAAAGCATGTTTCATGGTACCTGAAATGAATCTTCAATTGATTGGCAAGCGAAATTTACATCCTTCAGGATGTTCCGTTCCGATGGTTAATCTGGAGTGTGGGGTGAAGATCTTTTATCCCCGCAGTTGCTAATTAGCTTACTCTAATTGATCATGGAAAAGTACCAGGACTGTCGTATCTTCATATCATGTAAAGGCGGGAGCAGGAGTTTACCTTTGTGTTTTTTTTCACAGACTTCATGCAATTGATCATTTTGGTCGTTCCTCCAGAAACAACTCAATCATGCGGCTCAACAACTTCCTCCCCCTGGTCCTTTATCCCATCTTCATCACGGCCAAGAGGTGCATAATGCCCAAAAACTCCACCCTAAACGGAGATGACACACCCGCCATCCTCTCAGCCTCCTCATCCTGCCTCACAAACTCAACTATCGTCTTTTCAGCCGGTCAAACATACAACCTTCTCACGCCTCTCTCGTTCACGAATTTGAATAATGTGGATTTATTGTTTGAGGGGAATGTTAGTTTGCCGAGTGATGTAAGTGTGGTTGAAGCTGTGGTAGGGAATCCGAAAATTTATAGCGGGCGTTGGATTACGGTCAAGGGGAAGGATGTTAGGTTTGCAGGGAGTGGAAAGGAGGATGGGGGATGGTTCGAAGGTGAGTGAATTTCGTAATGATTTGGAGAAGGTTGGATTTTGACCTGTGTTTTCAGGGCATGGAGAGCAATGGTGGTCGATGGCGGGTAATGATAATAATACTTATCGGCCTCATTTCTTCAGCTTCTCGGTCACGTAAGTCACCTGCTGAACGAACTCACTCTGGGGAACAGTCGCTAAATTCGGACAGGAATTTGAAGATTGAGAATATCAAAGTTTTGAAGCCGGTGGCGTGGGTGTTTTCTATTGGGGGAAGCAATGTGGAGATGAGGAATACGTTCATAGATGCGAGGTCTAGTGATGGGTTTCCTTTCAATACGGGTAAGTGTTTTGTCAAGGTTGATGATCTGAAATGTAGGACCAGTGAAGCTGATGAATATCGCAGACGGGATTGATCTCTCCGCATCAAACGTTCTCATCGACACCTTCGAAATCCACAACGGCGACGACATGATCAACGTCTCTCCATCAGCCTCCAACGTCACAGTCCGCAACATCATCGCGTCCGGAACCCACGGCGTCTCCGCATCCTGTTCCTCTGGCTCGGGAGGCAACTACTTGTTCGAAAACGCCTTGATCTATGATTCATTAATGGGCGCCAGATTCAAAGGCGTCTTGGGTACAACGTGTAACATGACGAATGTCACTTGGAGAAATTTTGAGATGAGGAATGTTAGCTATCCGATTCATTTTACGGAAACGTATCAGGATCAGGAGAAGCCGGTTACGGGGGCAGCGACTAGGATTGCAGCTTTTACGAAGGGGTTTACTTGGGAGAATATCACGGGGACGACGGCTGATGTTATTGGTGATGGGAGTTGTGTGACAGATCCTTGTTGGTATGCTAGTCTTGGTAGGTATCATCCTCTCATGGAAACGGAGGAGTGAAAGGCTGACAATTAGGCGAAGATCAAAATCCGGACAAGGGATTGTATTTGCTGTGTCAAGATCATGCTCATTGTCAGGATTTTCACTTCTCGGGAATCGACTTGAGAACGTCGGTAGGTTAATAACGATCATCCTCTTGTGATTTTGTGATAGCTAATCGTGCGTCATAGAGTGGAAAGCCAGCTTCGGAGGAATGTACTGGATTGAATGGAATCACTGGAATGGGTATTACTTGTACGAACAGCACAATTACTCGAGACTAGGACTCATAGAAAGAACGGGCTAAGATCTCCGAACTCTCTTCTACTTCGCTGTCATCTATGCTGAGACTTTCAGCCAACAAGTGCGTTGGTCCCTCTGTTACTTTTAATGTTATGCTCTTGACCACGGTTGGTCATTGTCACAAAGCAGTCCCAAAGTCTTGAGCCTCGCGGAGATTCACCTTTCTTGAGAGAACCAAGTTTCTAGTTCTTTTCTGTGCGTCGTGATGAAGATCCTACTTGGAGATAGTTGTCTCTGCTGAGGCGCGAAAGGAATTAGTGCTCTGTAACATGTGAATTTCCCTCTGTGTACTATCCCTAACGTTTTCCATGGGTATCACGAACGATTTTGTGGCTGTGCTGACTCCTCGGATCTTGGGCCTCGAAGTAGGACAAGGTACGAGCGACACGGCTTCCGAGCAATAGGTGCTGAAACAACTCCAATCCCCATGTAGCTGTTTGAAAGCTATGCCGGTCGTCGTATGTTCCGACAGGAGAATTATAAGCTAAAGATACATGTCGTATACCACAAGCATGATCTCATCAACGAGTAGAATCCCGGGTACCATAAGTCCGAGTCTACCTTTGGTCTCTGTTAGTACATAACTCAATATTGTTATGTAGTAAGTACTACCCGGAACATGAAAAATGGCGCTCGGTCAAATTATCTCTGGGTCTTGCGGCATGATTGTTACCAAAAGTCTTCCTCGGACAATTGCACGAGGGCTACTGTCCGGAAACTCTTCTTTCCGCACTTCTTAGCCACAGTCACAAACGGGAACTTGGACGGAGGAAGAATGGTTCTTTAATGAATGGGTGCACGAACCAGATTATCATTTACTGAAAGTTCTTTTAGCGGACTTCGGACCCATCTCAATCGACGATTTCGATCGAGATTTTCGATCTTTGAAGGAATCTGCGAGAATAGTGCCCTTGAAAAATGATCCATCAAGAGGGCAAATCCGAAAGCGGGGAAAACTGGGTATGTAAGGGCTCCTCCTCCAGATCGAAATTCACTTGCCCATCATTCGATTCCCACAATTGCCAAGACTCTTACGTTGTTCAAAATGAAGTTAGAATACGTTCTAGAATCGTTGTCTATATTTCTATGCTCTGCTGCGACAGTGTATGTGGAAAGGTGTCCAAACTTTCGACACACACCAACTAACCACAACTAGGCATGCTTCGAATACATTTTCAAGGGACGAAACAGCGACAAAGTCCATCAATTCCTCTAACTCAGAACAGACAGAGGTCTACGACTACATCGTTGTTGGCTCCGGTCCTGGTGGAGGCCCTCTTGCTTCAAGACTTGCCATCGCTGGGTTCAAAGTCCTCCTAATCGACGCCGGAAATGATCAAGGCACCAGCTACCAAGAGGAAGTACCTACGTTATGGCCACTATCAACACAATATGCTCCAATGCAATGGAACTACTTCATCAATCACTTCCCAACCATAGATCGACAAGAGCAAGACAGCAAATTCACATGGCAAACACCTTCTGGTGACTACTTCTCTGGTCCCGATCCGCCTGTGGGGTCAAAACCTTTGGGAGTTCTGTATCCAAGGGCTGGAACGCTTGGGGGCTGTGCTACACACAACGCAATGGTGTCCCTCTATGCCCATGATAGTGATTGGGATTACATAGCCAACCTCACAGGCGATTCATCTTGGGCGCCAGACAACATGCGGATATACTTCGAGAAGCTTGAGAGGAACGAGTACTTACCTCATCATGCTTCTGGACACGGACGGAATGGATGGTTAGGTACCAGTGTCTTGGATGAATCCATCCTAGTCAAGGACTCGAAGATAATGTGCCACGCTGCCGCTGCTGCTCGAGTCATCAACAACCACACCGTCGGTGCTACGCCAAGCACTGTCAAAGAGCTGCAGAAGATCATGCTGCCTGATTCGAACAAACCTGGGCAGACCGACAAGCAAGGATTTTATGAACTACCTCTAGCCGTCTCGGATGGCAAGCGAAGTAGTCCACGAGATTTCGTTCTGAGTACTGCAAATGCTGTCAACGCCGATGGATCTCGAAAATATCATCTGGATGTTCGTCTCAACACTTTTGTGACGAAAATCAATTTCGATCAGGGCATAAGTCCTCCTCGCGCTACTGGAGTCGAGTATCTCGATGGTGTTGGTCTTTACTCAACAACGCCCAAATCAGTCGCCGGAACATCGACCGGATCTGGTTGTTTTGAAGCAAGTCGCGAAGTCATCATATCTGCGGGAAGTTTTAACACACCGCAATTGCTCAAGCTCAGTGGTGTCGGTTCAAGAGCTGAACTAGAGTCCTTCGGTATTCCAGTTGTTGCCGATCTTCCTGGAGTTGGATCAAATCTTCAAGATCGATACGAAACGACTGTTGTTACCAAGACCGATTCCACTTTCGAAATATTGGATGGATGCTCCTTACTCACCGAGGACCCCGATCTTTGTCTTGAGAAGTGGGAGAACGGTACTACACCAGCACAAAAGGGATTCTACGCTGGAAACGCCTTTCCACTAGCAGTAATAAAGAAGTCATCCGTTGCAGTTCTGGACCCTGATGTGTTTCTGTTCGGAGGTCCAGTCTTCTTCCGAGGTTTCTATCCTGGCTGGGCCAATGTTACCGAACTTCTCCCATCCACCGCGAAAGGATGGTGGACCTGGTTCATTCTCAAAGCTCATGGCCGAAATCATGCTGGGACAGTGACTCTCCGATCAACCAATCCCTTGGACACACCTATCATCAACTTCAACTCATTCGATACTGGAACCACAACAGATGGCGCTGATGAGAAAGATCTGCAAGCTTTCTACGAGGGAGTGCAATTTGCTCGGCAAGTCAACAACGAGCTCAACTGTGACGGCTGTGCTTTTGAAGAAGTTTTTCCTGGCCCAAACTTTACGACTGAGGCCGATGCGAAGAATTTCATCAAACATGAAGCTTTTGGCCATCATGCTAGCTGCACAGCTGCAATCGGGAGTGACGACGACCCGAATGCGGTTCTGGATTCGAGCTTCAGAGTTAGGAATGTGACTGGATTGAGGGTTGTGGATGCAAGCTCTTTTCCGTTGACTCCTGGGATGTTCATCGCTGTGCCGATATATATGATCAGTGAGAAGGCGGCTGATGTGATCATTAAGGATGCGTCTCAATGATTTATTGTGGGCACTTGTTCTTACTGTAGTGGTAATGGAAGAGGAAGGGATCATTTTGTATGAAAAGCAACTTGCCCTAGTTCTTCCAGTATGCGGACTGGAATGGATTTATGTATGTTATCTTTGTCAACAGGTTCCGTTGCTTGCGAAATTGCTGTTGAAGCCCCCTGAGCCATACCCCCCTAAGCGAGCCTGAAAGCAGCCCGTAAGCTTAGCGAGAACACTCCTTTACGGATATCATATGAAAAGAAATTGTTGAGTACGAACATATGAAATTGTAGCCAGTATATAACACATAACCGCGCTTGAAAAAGAATAAGAAACCTACTCTTCATTGCCGTACAGGGTAAAGAGTTGCAAATCCAGTTCGGGGTTAGCAAGTGGGTTATCTCCGACAGCCACAAATCTCGTCAGATTTCACAGCATTGCGCTACGCGGAGCTTACAAATTCTCGTCATCTCACATCATGAACTTTTTAAGTGGCATATTTCCAATTGAACTCCTTAGCTTTCCAAAGCATCTCTCCGGTCTACATCGACATGGCTAACCAGGCAGCTTGGATCAAAACGCCTGGCACATCCCTCGAAGTTGACTCTGCTCCTGAAGCGAAGCTAGGTCCAGGTCAAGTAGTCATCAAGAATGCTTACGTTGCAATCAATCCGGTCGACTGGAAGATCCAATCATATAGCCATGCATCCCAGCCCTACCCCAACATCTTGGGAAGGGATATTGCTGGCGAAATTGTGGAAGTAGGAGCAGATGTCACTCGTCTCCGAGTTGGCCAGCGGGTGATAGCGTAAGTTGCGAGTCATAAATTAGAGAAGCACTGTTGACGAATCATTGGAAAGACATGCACTTGGTCGTATAACCAACGAACCGAAATACGGCGGATTTCAACTCTATACTGTAGCGTATGAGATCACCGTTTCTCCAATCCCAGACTCCATTCCCTATGAACAGGCTGTAGTCCTTCCCTTGGCAATCTCAACTGCAGCAGCTGGGCTTTACCAAAAAGGTTACCTCGAAGTGCCATATCCAACCCTCAATCCAAAGCCCTCTGGGCAAACAATTCTCGTTTGGGGTGGCAGCTCTTCAGTCGGCAGCACAACCATCCAGTTTGCAGTGGCTTCAGGATTGGAAGTTGTTTCAACTGCCTCGAAAAAGAACTTGGATTTTCTAAAGTCATTGGGCGCGAAGCATGTTTTTGACCATTCTTCGCCAACGGTAGTTGAAGATATCATCGCAGTGCTTAAAGGAAGCCAGTTCGTTGGTGCATACGATGCCATATCGCTCCCGGAAACGATGAAAGCAGCTGCTGAAATCGTTCATCAGCTAGGAGGAGGAAAAGTTGTGACTGTGCTTGGTGCACCAAGTGAAGGCTTACCGAGCAATGTGCAAGCAATTGGAGGTGAGAAACCAATGCATCTCCTTTAACTTCTTGTTGGTGCTAATACTATACCTTGTAGCTTCATCTATAGATATTGCAACAAAGCAGCCAGAAGTTGGTGATGCGGTGTGGAGAAAGTATGTCCCTGAAGCTTTGAAAGAGGGCAAATTATTGCCAAAGCCTGATCCGATCGTGATCAAAGGAGGTCTAGATCATATTCAGGAGGGTCTCGATACTCTCAAGAAGGGTGTATCTGCTGCTAAGGTGGTCGTTGAATTGTAATATGGATCTGTCTTCTCGTCACAAATTACAGCCAATACATCATGTACTATTGAACTCCCAGTTTTGGACTTCCTGTACTTCCACGACCTGGAATTGTGGTGATATGATGGCTTAGCGAGGCGCAGCCGTCAGAGCTGTGCCGGGTTTACGGACGTATTGAAGAAGCCCCCGCATGCCGAGTTTTCTCCTCGTGTAACTGGAAGGATAGAATGCGTTCGCTGATTACTGAACAGCAAGATTGCTCCCAGGTTTTCAGGGGTATAAGCGAGGATTATTCCACCATCTGCAGCCATGTGGTGTGTATCTGGCAACTCCTTTGAGTGCATTCCCCTCGGCTCGACAATTATGCAAGATCTTACTCAACATCTTCACGCAGTAACTCGGACCTAGGAAAATGACCTTGGATGAAATGCTTTCGCGCGTTGGGACTCGGTGACGTATTCTGCAGTCAAACCTTTATACAATTATGGCTATGAAGCGCAATATAAAACGCTGTTGGTCTGCCTTCAAGTGATTCATCTTACATCCTCATCACACAAACAATAGTTACATTAAATTAAACTTCAAATATTTCTCGCTCCAAGCTTCTTTACAGTTTTAACAATGCAAGCAATCGGTGTCTCCCAGTACGGACCTGCCTCGAACTTCGAGACTCGTCAGATCCCCCTTCCAAGTCCGCCCAAAGGCCGCGATCTCCTCATCCAGTACGCAGTCTCATCTGTTTCCGGTTTCCTGCTAACATTTGTTCCAGAGTTAAAGCACTCTCCGTCAATCCAATCGATACCAAAATTCGTGCTGGCAAATACGATGATGCGCCAGACTATTACAACCACGTCCCTCACCCCTTCCATGTTATTGCTCCCGAAGCCGCCGGAATTGTGGCTTCCGTTGGCCCTGACGTGGAATACTTCCAACCTGGAGACGAGGTAGTCTATGTCTCAGCACCAACACGACAAGGCGCTGCTAGTGAATATCACCTTGTGGATGAACGCACTGTAGGACACAAACCCAAGTCTCTCGACTTTGTGGAGGCAGCTGTCATGCCTCTCACTTATGGCACCGCATTTGAGATGGCTGAGAGGCTGAACATTCATGAAGGGGAGCAGGCAGGTATCCTGATCATCAATGGTGCTGGTGGAGTCGGGTCCGTGGCAACACAGCTTGCGCGCTATGTACTACGCCTGCCAGTCGTGGTAGCTACGGCTTCGAGACCTGACACCAAGGAGTGGGTGAAGAAAAATGGAGCCACGCATGTCATCGACCATCGGGGGGACTTAAAGGCTCAGATCGACGCATTGGGCTTGGAAGTCCCGATTAAGTAAGCTTGACAATTGCAAGTACAAGTTCAGGACAAGAGCTAACAGAGTCTAGGTATATATTCATCCTGGCATCAACGGAACAGTATCTCTCAGTAGCATCCGACATCTGCGCGCCACTTGGAAAGATCTGCTCTATTGTACAATCTTCGGTCAACTTTTATGGGACACAGTTCCTGTCTAAATCATTGACTTTTGCTTGGTGTTGGTTGGGAACTAGAGGCTATCATGACTATGACAGAGAGGCCCAGCATGTCATGATGGAAAATCTTGCCAAGTATATCGACGAGGGAAAAATCCACAGCACCTTAACGAAGAAGATGAGATTGACTGCTGAAGGGTTGAAAACAGCGCATGAATTGATCGAATCGAAGAGGACGATTGGGAAAATTGCTTTGGGCGTTGATGAAGAGGGAGAAGGAGAGGCTTTTGCTTGAACGATGGTAGTGTGTAAACATTAATCAGAGGTGTAAAAGTTTCAATATCGTATGCTCTTTGAATCCTGAGTATAATTGATTTTGATCTTTGTTGTCCTTTATGACTGTTACAGCTTTGTCCTTACTCCTACATCTCAAGTGGACGCTCTATTTGCATTATAAACTTTTGCAAGGGATCCCGCTCATAGCGCAAATAGCGCTAAACGCGCAGTTTGCCCTGCAAGCGTGATCCGGGCCTCATCGTTGTAGACGAGAACGGTAACACAATTTTCATCTCCCAGCCCGTCTCCAAAATTTGAAAAATTTCTATCTATATTATATCATTACGCCGAACTTAATGATCCACCTCTATTAAATATCTAAGCATCATGAAGCAGTCTCCCACGCCTTCGTGTAAGTCTTAGAAGCAACATCGACCACAATCTTCCCTCTCGCTCTTCCAGTCTTCAGCTTTTCGAATGCTTTCGGGGCTTCCTCAAACGAGAATGTATGATCAATAACAGCCTTGACCTTTCCCTCCTTCATCCACTCTGCAATCTGATCCAGGTCTTCCGCCTTCGGTTTTGGCCAAAATCCCTCCACCTTCCCTTTCACACCACCAAGAGCACCAGGCACAACTTTTCTCTTGAATCCATCGATCATCCCATGCAAAGACAAGTCGCCCGAAACTTTGATGAATACGACTCCGGGATTCAAGAAGTCTCCACACTTCCAAACAAGCTCCTCGTTGCTACCAACGTTATCCACCACATGGTCGAATTTCCATCCTTTTTCTCTGAAAAATTGGACTATACTTCCCTTGGTATAGTCCACTACCTCATCAGCCCCAAGACTCTTACACAAATCTACATTCCTCGTCGAGCAAGTAGTCGTCACATGACACCCCACAACCTTCGCAATCTGAATCCCAAAAGCACCCACTCCGCCCGATCCACCGTTTATGAACACCCTACCCCCTTTCTTAACTCGAGGAACAATACTCTGGTAAGCCGTCAAGCCCGCTACTCCCACACCGCAAGCATGCAGCGGATCCACACCCTCGGGAACCGCAACAACATTTCCCAATCCCGCAACATTGAATTCCCTTAACGCACCACCAGACAACGGCGACGAGCCCGAGACTCCAAAAACCAATTGTCCGGGCTTGAAATCTGAGCCGGAAGCAGGCGTCACGATACAGCCTGCGAAGTCGACGCAAGGGGTCGCTGGTTTTGAGACGAGGAATCGAGTGACGAGAGGCAGTTCGCAGAGCTTGTAGTCAACAGGATTTAGCGCTACCCCAATGATTTGAATTAAATGCTGATTGGGAGTAGGTGTTGGGAGGGGTGTCGAAGGGTTGAGTTTGAGATTCTTTTCCAGGCCACCCTTGGTCGTGGTGTATTGCCATGCTTTCATGGTTGATACTGATGGGGAGAAGGTTTTGGCCATTTTGGTGTTTTTGTAGTCGAGGGTAGGAGGAATGGGAGAGAGCAAAGAAAAGCCGCATGGGCAAGACCATTCTTTTATGATTGAGTTGAGACACGGATTCGGCACTTTTGTGATTGCGGAGGGAGGTGATTGTGGCGTGGCGGGACAATCGCATTCCTCGATTAAGCGAATGCGAGAGATATGGCTAGTGTTGATCAGTCCACCCCCCTTTTTGGCGTCACTTGCCTGATGAAATTAAGCGATTTATTTCACATGGATACATCGCACTCGCTAGAGGAACTCTCAGAAATCGATACCTTCATCTTTTCTCTGGACATACTTGATTGTTCAGTCATTCTAAAAGAAAAAAAAATTGAAAGTCATGACATCATTATTTCCAATATAATCTCAGACGACAAGTGAGCCCACAAAATGCCACTTCCGTCGTTGAACAATCCTAGTAGTAGCTTCAAAGACCGAATCACCTAACCTTTCCTACAACCGGCGCTTCTTCTTTTCAGGAGCCACTGTTTCTTCTTCGGGTGCTGTTAGATGAACATCGGGTCCTAGCACCTTCAGAATGTTCTGCCGTATTTCCTCGACTAGAGTCGTATCAATTACTGCATTAGACTCGTGATGGAATGTCAAATCTTCGGAATCATTTTTCTGGCGCGTCACTTTCTCGAATTGTGAAATCAACAGCTCCATATAATCAGTATCTATTAAGCCGAGGGGCCTAGCAGGTATCTTGTGAGAGATTTCGTACACACGACCAAAATGCATGCGCGCCGAGAGTGGTAGAAAGGTCGACGGATGGTGAGCGCTCATTCGAATCGGTAATAATTTGACATTTGCTTCGTTTCCGCCCAGTTTTGGAGGAACTTTACTGGAATGGACTACGGAAAAAAGTTCTTGGTCTGGTTGGTCTTTGCAACCCTGGCCCGCATAACTAGTGTAAAGTCAGCACATTTATCTTCTAGTCCGGATCAGATGGACTGTTAAATTTAGGATATTCACTTACGTATGTATTCCCAGGCAAAGGCATGACTCTGGTCCTTCTTTGATGACTACGAAGCGACGTATCATCGTTGGCCCATCACAATGCCACCAGGAATTTTGACTCCCGCCAGCCACACGGTCTTCAATGTCCGCGTCCGACCCGATAGCATACCACGAGGTAATTCCTTCAAGTTTAAGCCAGCTTTCTGGTGAAAAGGTGTCTCTACTTGACTTTCTTGAAATACTAAGTGGAGATGCGTGTGAATCTTTGCTATCAGAGCCCGGTATCTTCCTTGGAAGCCTTTCTCTATCCATTATCATAGGATAGAAGTATTTCCAGTGCTGCCATCTGAAATGTTCACTTGCCCAGTAATCTTTCGACATCCAATGCTCTGAGTCAGTTGCAGGAGCGACGCGTGTACATAGGCGGCACCATACCATGGTCTGGTCAAATTGACTCTCTTCAGAGTATTGAACCATGTCCACAAGAGGGAGTGAAAGAATTTGAGCCAAACGTAGTTTCTTGGCCTTTTCCTGGAGGGCTGTGACATGTTCTGGCGACTGAGCTACGTCCACAAGGGTTTGGCTACCTTTCTCGAAAGAAATGTCAGATGTAATTTGGATGGAGAATACCTGACCGCATCTAAAGAATTTACCGACATCTCGCGAAAGCTGAAAATCGGAATATAGTTGTTGAGAGGCTATGTCTGTCCTTGAAGAACTGTTGTCTCGTTTTCTATCATAAAAAAGGGTGGCCTTGAGCCGGATGCCAGGGTAGTCAGGCAAAGGCGGCAATGATTCCCCCATCGATTCTGGTACGAAAACTTCCTCTACACTGGCTCGATGCAAGTGCGACTAGTACAGTCGAGCGACATCAGCAGAAGTTAGGGTGCGAAAAGATGCTCTTGACTTACGTGCATAGGCAGGTCAGCGTAACCAGGCAGTTGACTGAAGCAAGCATTGTCGTAAGGGTATTTCTGAGTCTTTCAATCATTAATCAAAGTTAGCCTCGAACTTGGTAGTCTACTATTGTCATCAAATACGCGTCCTTCGTTATTTTAGAGCAAAAGGAACAAGAATCACCTGGTTCGGCATTTGGACGGACCATTTCCCTTTCATCCAGCCATCTTTCCAGATATTTCCAGAGCCTCCAGGTCTTAAGCTGTCCTTGTACGCTTTGCACCTGATCATGAAGTCCTCCATTGCCTCGTTGGTGGTGTTGACGGTAAAAAGCAGCGCATTTAAGGTTTCCTTTCTCAATTGGTTCGATTCCCTCAGTTGCTCGACTTGGAGGAGCACTTTATGAACCGTATCAAGCTCCTTAATGAGCTTTGAATACTCTCGTGCAGAACCTTTCGCAGCTGACAATGATTTGCACAGGTTGTAGGCCAAGTTCGCCCCTCCCAGGATATCGCCTACTGAAAATCCGAATGACATAATCTTAGGTGTGGATCAAGAAAGCAGTAATCTTAAGTTGAAAAGTACTACCATTTCATAGATCTTCGATGTCGAGCTTTTCCAAGTGAGATCTGAGGTAAATTATGGGCGGATCGTGAGGCTGAGCGATGTTCGCTGTTCGATCCCCACTAGCTTGCTGTAAGAAACCCTGCAGCTACTCGGCGAGCCACCTGCTGGGCCGATTGGGCCGGCGCCACGCAAGGCATACTCAAGTCCTTCAACTCTCAAAGATTAAGGCAAAATGGGTTATCTGGGTATTGGCATTGCAGGACGTACAGCAAATCCTAAGCCCAACTTTAGAACCCTTAGAGCATTATTGTTTTTATACCACCCAATAGAAGCAATAATCGATGTCAAAATCTACACAACATCAGCGCTGGATCTTCCCACAACTTCTGTTCGACGGAACCGAATAATAAGAAAATTATGACTAGTCACTAGAAGGGAGAGCAAAACCGTGACTGAGCAGCCTAAGCAGAGGATGAGGCCAGGGTGAGTAGCGCCTGAGCAGAGCGGCGACGATAGCTAACAGAAGCCAATTTAAGGGAACTGTCGTCTGAGATTATCTAAATCATAAATATCTGAGGCAGCAACAGTCTGCTGAGCGTTGCCATGAAGATGCGCAAACCAATTACCATTTTCGGGTTGAGCAACATTGAAATCGAGATCCAGACAGACATACCAAACATCTCAGTCTTTTCTAACTCCTAACTCCAAGCAAATCGTCTCTTTCAAACTCCCTAAGGCCGTAGGATACACCGTATCCCCATCTCCATTACCCAACTCATTCGGAACGCCACTCTCGTCACATCCTAAAACACAGGACCTTGCTCCGGAACCAGGATCACCTGCAAAGAAAAGCTCCCTCATGACAGCCTCCAACTTTCTCCTCGTACCTCTCTGCAATTTCCTCATCCCACCCATCACTCTTGCCACTGCAAACACGATTGGCCAATCTGGAAACCTCTCTCCTTCAAACAGTGAACCTTTCTTCGGCTGTCCTTTGTATACTCCTCCGCCACACAAAAGACATGGCCCCGTCAGACAGGGACAAGAAACACGGAACAGGTCAATACCGCGAATCAGATATGTGAGGACAGTCTCTAAGTCGTAAGGGTACCAGTCAAAGTCGATTTCGTGCAGCGCCTTCTCCATTGCTAGGAAGAGATGCGACAGAGTCGGAACCAAGAGGTGTTCATTGGGTCCTGCTGCTTTGTCCTTGATCGACAATAGGATGAAGAGGATGAAGACTAGAATAGCAGGGCGAGGCGATTGCATATTGCGAAGGACATACGTATGTGGTGGAATTTCCTGAGCATTTCTTCTCCGTCCAGCACAAAGCGCGAGGTCGAACTCAGAGCCTCTGAGATTGTCACAATACTTTGCATCATCGTTTCGCATTGCGAGACAGAGACGTCCGTTCGTGGAACATAATGCAGCGTGCAGAAGCGTTTTCGAGGACAGAGCAGAGACGATTGTTGGCTGAGTGAGGTATTGGTGTGTGGATGGCTCTTGGAGACGAGAGATGAAGGCGATGAGCTCTTCAGCGCATATTTGTGTGTCGTGAGTGTCGATGCGGTCTGCGGCACAGATTGGTGGCATGTAGTCCCAGGTTATGTCTTGATCGAAACCTAGAGCCATGTAGTTCCTACAGGGTGAGCATCGAATGTGATATTGGGGTCGCTATCAGGACCTACCACACGATAGAGTAAATGAGAGGAACGTGATGAATGAGATTACCAAGGCCACCCTTGGCGATAACCATATCACGTAGCCCTTGCCAATGAACTTTCGCAGCGGCAACATTTCCATTTCTCAGCTGTTGAAAGTAAATCGCTGTGCCATCATCAAGAAGCGAGCACTTACCTCTCCATTCGAGAGATCCAAAGCTCCATACATCATACCCTCGTCTACATCTTTCCCCTCAAGCTGATGGTCTCTTAATCTCCCTGCGATAATATTCATGCACTTGCCTTTAAAGCGCATACTGTGTAGCATCGTTGTCCAATCCCCTGTCAATTGGGCTCGCCTTCCAAGCCAGCTTAGCATGGCGTAGAAACTGCATTCATCGTTCAGACTGGCTCTAAATCTAGCTCGGCGATAGTTGAAAGCCATCGAGGGTCGCTTTCCCAGGCCATAGTCATACGGAGGGCCGAGATCTAGAGTTCTATTAGCGAAGGTTTGTACGTTGATGTTTGAAACATACATGCAGCGACAAATTCGTCGATTATGGGAGTGCGGGCTACGGGCAAGGTTGCAAAATGGTCGACGAGCCCAGCTGGAATTATCGTGCGAGGTTGGAAAGAAGAATGGCTTGAGATTCCGGCTAGAAGTTCTTCATCGGAGCAAGTGAAATCCGAGAAAGTCTCAGATAATGGAGAGCCTGAAGCCGAAAAGGTAAGTTCTGGTGTCGAGGCATCCGAGACAGCCATTGGATTTAACGGAACAGTGGGCGGACCATTGCTATGCACCTCAAAGGTCCAGGTCTTCGGTACCAGAGTCTTGTTTCTCTTTCCCTTGTTGTTCGCTAGCAGTTTCTTCTTTTCTCGATATGCATTGGTCATTACATGAGACCTCGTGGCCCTCGTCGAATAGGTATTGTTCAAGCCATCTACAAAAGCGAATGTGCTACCTGCTAGCTCAAGGGACGACTGGTCTAGAATAGCCATGGGTGCTCACGCTTGAGGCTCAACGAAAGTTGCGAGTACCAGTGGTACGTGGGGGCGACAGGGTTCTGTTCTTGGGTTCGCCAAAAGAAGCTCTTCTCTCATTTATTAGGTCGCAGTGTGGTCTGATAGCAGCAACGTGAGACCTCGTAAGCGGACGCAAAAGAATCTTATATGGCTGCAGGCCCCTCATAGTTGATGAGGTGAAAGTATATATGATATGACAGATACAGGGAACAGTGATTAAGGATCCTCTGATATGCTTGCTGACAGAAATTGGGCAGGCAGGCGACGCTAATGCAGGTCAAAAAGAGACGGACCTCTTTGAGCCTAGCGCAGAACGGCACCTGTACCCAATGATGTACAAAGTCGACTCTCTTATCAACAAAGCAAACTCCCTGTGAATGCAGAGTTCGGTTTATTTCTGCTCTTTACTTGAAACACTGCATCTTTGGAGCTTATTCCAGGGACCCTTACTTAGAATTTTACAGGCCTTTCACGTGACCGTGCGATATTGGTTGTACTCTCGATATACTATAAATAGGAAGTCTAAGCACTAGGGCAATTACTTTGTAGATATTGCAGCTCAACGCCGGTGTAATTCAAGAGCTATGTCTCACCGGAAACACTCAAAATGCATGACTAAGTGGAGCATAAATCCAGGCAAATCAGCGACTTCAAGTCCAATTGAATGAATGAAGTTGAAGTTGAAGAATTTCTCGAGCGTTGCCAAGCTCTTATATCTCGTATTGAAAGCTCCAATGCTGGCCCTGTCGACCGCAATGATGAGCAAGCTTGGGCTGCATCGACTCCTGCCGTCCTACCGTCTTTGTTTAGCTTAAGAATGATATTCCAAGCATGCACTCTATTCTTGCGCTCCCCTGTTCCAAGAAAGAGATGGATAGTAAAGCTTACAATGGCGGGAAGCGTACCTACGTAGCAAGGATTTCTCTAACCTGTTTTTATTCTCGCTTAGCAGCCGAGACAAGAAAAGGGGGCGTGAAACGGCTCAATGGTTGGATGAGAATATACTGCCGGTTTAGCGTGACACAAATTTGCCAGGCCAGGATCATTTGTTGCACATTAAAACATGCTCAGAAAATGGTCCATGCATATTAGAAACTGTCTCATTCATAAGAATCACGTGCCAATTCACCATTTTTGTCCCATTGCAATGCTATAGGGGCTAGGATGCGGTCGAACGGCATTAAGCATTAAACATAGTATTACATAGTATTGTTATAAAGACGACAGTTCATCGTAAAGTTGTGAGTGGAAACGCAGTTTTATTCACCAGCGGACTCAAAGACTCGACGGTCATTATTGGTCGACCAAGCGACTCGTCAAGGCACGAATCATCCCTTTGCATCACGAACCTTCGACTCTTCAGACGAAACCAGGCAACAGCACCATTTTCCTCTCCAAATTCTACTTACGTAGGTCTGCAGCCCTTGTATCAGGCACTACTGTGCATCTCTTTGGTATGACTGTCAGTCACGCTTTGAGATAAAGTCAATACATCTGCCTTTTCTAGCGTAAAGTTCGTCGAGCCTCTTCAGCCTTACCGGAACTTACCTGAGTTCAGCGGACTTTGTTCTCAAGTACCAGCTACTTACGCCTTCATTTCTGCACGCCCGAGTCCAAATCTCGAATTTTCTTTCGCCTTTGAAGAAAAGGTCCACTAGACTTTTTGGTGCTAATCACCAACTTTACTAGCGTACCACCAGTTCTCGAAACGGGTACATCTACTAGATCCCACGCGCCTTTGCAACCTTCAACTTACAACTTCGCAACAATAACTTTCAACATTTCCCAAATCCATTGTCGAAAATATGGCCTCTAACGACGGTCAACGACTATTGGTCCTCGGTCTTAGCTACCGCCAACACCACACCCTCCACATGCAGCAAGTCTTGCGCGCCTATGATCGTCTTCCAGCGAATCCGATGGATCGCGTCGTCCTGTATACTGCCCTGTTCGACTTAGCAAAGGATCTCGACGAAGATGAAACTAGAAACATCGAGAATTGGTTGAAGAATGGAGGCGCATTCCCAGCACCAACCCCAAAGGTTCCAGAAGTAGGACCTGGAGGAGCAGGTACAACTGGCGCTACCGACGAAGTCGATCACGACGATTGGCCAGAGTATAATCCAGTCGATTTCGAAACTGCGCAAGAGGTATCGAACGATGCAGAAATGACCGAGGACGAGGACGAGGACGAGGGAGAGCAGGAAGAGGTAGCGGAGGAGTTGTACGATATTGATGACCCCACACGCCAAATTGATGACCCCGGCGAGGAATTCTCGGATCCGAGCGAGGATGATATTGATGATCTCGATGCCAACTTTGGTCCTCGTCTTCGTCGACATGCCATCTCCGGACTTCCAAAGAAGCTATCCGCCGATGCCATCGAGTGCCATATCTGCGCAGAGTCTTACGAGCTTGCAGACTTTCCACCATCTACCCAAATCACCTCGAGCTGCGACCACAAGTATAATGAGCGAACTTGCGTCTATTGCTTGCAACAAACTATTGCCGGAGCAGTCAGCGAAGGTCAACTCAACAGAATCGTTTGTCCTTTCTGTCCAGCACCACTTTCTCGCGAAGAGGTCAAGAGATATGCGACTCGAGAAATATTTTCCAGGTATGTCCATTGCAATGTTATATTCATTTTCCCATGTTAACATTTCATCTAGATATGACTATCTCGTCATGAGAGCAAATCCCGACTTGGTCATGTGTCTGGGACTCGATTGTGGTTCAGGTCAAGTTCACACTGGCGAAGATCCAATGATGATCTGCCAAGCCTGTTCATTCAAGACTTGTGCTGTCCATAAGCTGCCATGGCACGAAGGACAGACATGTGAGGAGTTCGATATGGATGATTCTCAGATTGAACGACTCGAGGAGGCTGAGGCAACTGCAAAGCTACTTGCCACGGAGCAAGCTCAGATCTGCCCAAATTGTCACCAAGGCGTAAGTCGTATCGACGGATGCGATCATATGACCTGTAAGTTCCATTCCCTCCCTGTGTTGAATGTGTGAGCTGATAATGTGGGCAGGTCGTTGTGGCATGGAGTGGTGCTACCAGTGCGGCGTAACTTTTGAGAACATCAAGCGACTGGGCGAGTCGGCTCACGGAGCTTCATGCATGTATAATCCGAGGCGAGTCCAGATGAGAAGCGGCCAGAAGCAAGCAGTTCAAGGATCTCTTACGGCGCTTGTCCATGGTGGTCCAGTCAGTGATACCTTAGAGAAAGCTCGCGGTGCGAGAAACGAGCGTATTCGGACTGAGATGAGACCAAAGGTTGCCGAGGCTGCAGAGCGAAGACAAAGAGAGATGGAGCAGCAGAAGAAGGAAGAGAGAGGTGGTGCTCCTGAGAAGAAGCGAAAACTCAATCTACAGCCGGCTTGGGAGGAGAAATAGATGGTTGATGGATGCATGGCGTTGGATAGAAGGGAGAATTTCAGATACCCTGACTTTTATTTGCGTGCTAGGAGGGCGATAGTACTCGGAGTCCTAGGGTTCAGTCATGCCATGATTTTATAGTAATTGAGATTCTCTTGAGTACATTTTGAGGAAGTCGATCTGAGCTCTGTGAAAGTACGCAGCTTGTATGTGACATCCATTTCACATTTTTCTCTCTTGCAAAGACGTGTATCGGAGCCTCATCTATGTACAGATATCCATTATCGAGTCGCAAGTAAGGGTTACCTATGGTGAAGCACGTGGTCTCGGGATTAGCGCGTTCTTGATTCGCATTCCAAGACGAACCTCGTTTCTTGCTCTCCTCCGCGCTCCCATCCTCATCACAACATCAACTGTGCACGACAAAAGACTTTTAGATGCCAACATCAATCAATGACGTCGATGCCAATGACATCGATGCCGATGGCATCCTAGCTGACAGTGGCAACAACGCCGATGCGTCTCTCGAAGCTCAAGCCGCGTTCGAACGCGGGGAATGGGAGCTCTTAGACCAATTGCCTCCACGAAGGCGCGCCAGAGTTCTGCGACAAGGACTCGATCATCTTTTTTCGACATGCGATTACTTCAAAGGCAATTTCTTCCGTCTCCTCGCAAACGACCGTTGCTTCGATAGACATGGCACGTTGGATCCTGAGATGCTGGAAGACACATGCCCTTTGGACAATGGGCGACACGAAGATCCTCCAAACACTCTATTTTCGATCGGGGATTTGAACAGGCTGCCACTCGAAATTCTACAAGGCATACTGGTTGATGGCATAGACTTTGCGTCGTTAACAAGTCTGAGGAGGGTGAGTCGTGGCATGCGATCCACGATCGATTCACTGCCAAAGTATAAAGCCATAGTCACGCATGCGCCCGCAAGTATCCGTGCTGCATTGAGCCTGGAAACTGGAATATACTGGTCATGTTCTCATCTGTACCATGAGCTATGCTCGAATGCGTGCGTCTTCTGCGGACATTTTGGGGCGAACTTGAATGTGCTCATTTGCAAACGCGTCTGCATCGACTGCTTCACCACTGACGTCCAGTGCTTGCCGGTTGGAAGAGAGTATGCCAAGGCCACTTGGTCTCTCAAGGAATCGGATCTGAAGAACTCAGATACTCGTATCCCCACTGCACGTACGCTGCCATGGTACTATGTTACACGTTTGTTTTCCAAGGGACACGCAAGTCGAAAGAGAATCGAGCTCCTTGAACACACAGCGGTAGGCGCCATCGCGATCAATAAATATGGCTCTCTGGATGTCATATTACAGCAAGTCAACTGACTTTTAAAGTCATCGGTCGTTACTGACACAACATAGAATTCGTGCCGCAAAAATACAGACTTTTGCGGCTAAATTGACAGCGTGGACCGCGATGCCCGTGGAACAGCGATCCACACGTCGTCCCAATTTACCACCTTTCACTCAGTGGACTGATCGAGGCCGAAATGCACCTGAAAGATATATGTGCATTGTTCCCTTTCCTTGGCTAGACCGCAGTCAAAACGCTGTAGAATGGGGCGTGGCATGCAATGGATGCAAGATAGCAATGGGCGAGGAATTCACGCTCGAGGGTTACAATAATCAAGCGATCCTCTATTCTGAGAATGCCTTCGTCGAGCATTTCATTGGCTGCGAGCGGGCCCAAGCACTCTACAAGTGGAGGTATCAGGACAGAATATGTGGCGGAGAAAAGCTCTTGGACAAGATGACCCAAACTTGCGACATCGTCCCAAACCAGTTTTTCATAAGGGAACCTGAACGAGATCCTTTGTGGATAGGTAAAACAAGTCCGGAGTATAAAGCAGAGGCTCGTCGAGTACTTCGGGACCAGGTGAGAGAGAAGTTGAGGGCGCCCAAAAGGCGGAGGAATGCGGCGGCCTAGGGTTGCGAGCTTCCATATGCGTGCTATGCGTCCTGTATACCATATCTAGCGCTTGAACGCACAACTGCCTTACAAATCTCCTGCGATTTGTTCACGCAAAAGTACATTAGCTCCTTTGACTTTTTTGCTTCGAATCTTAAGAATTGGCGACAAGGACCTTGAAGGTTCAAGGCATTTTTGTTATTGTCTTTGTTTGTTGTTCTTTGCTGGAGTTGTTTCTTTGGATAGAAATGGAGTTATTTCTTTGGATGGAGTCATTCTTTTGGATGGAGTTATTTCTTTGTTATTTCTTTGGGAGCGTATTCAGAAAACATTGGTAGTTGCGAGGGCCTCAGCAACATCGCAAAGTCCTTGTCAGGAACGATCTGCGAAGATACAACTTTGGGTGAAACTTGTAGAGAGTAAACCTGTCGCCGGACGAGAAGCAGGACAAGGACAGCCTGCCGTCTCAAAGGACGAGCATGGTTTTGCGCCGGGAGAGGTGTTTCTCATAGGATCGACAGTGTGTTTTTGCAATTGCGTTCTTTAGATAGATTGAGGACTGGAGCGCGCGCACAAGAGAAAAGTTGCCAGTGTCGGGACATGCGTCACGTGCTTATCACGTGCGGTCCCGTGGCTAGCATGTGCGCGCTAACCCTCGAGTTAGTTAGCGGGCTCTGAGAGGGATATCTCCCCTCGAAGCCAGCTCTACAGAGGGCACGAATTAATGAACCAACAACCTGACCCACAAGATCTTATATTACCTTATTACTCGAGTACCCTGTGATACCAACACTGATCAGTGTTGGTATCTCTGTCGTTAACAGACGCGCTAATGAAGAGAAGGCACTTCAATGTCGTCTAGCAGAAGTGTGTGTATACCGTCCCCGGCCGAATTGGACCACTCAAATTTTGAGCGCCATTCTGCCGTCCTCCCGGGTCCCATTATCGCTGTTTGCGAATGTCCTCCGACCTGATATCCTGTTTTCCAAGCAATGGTGCCAGCCGTGTTTGTTCTCGCGCTTCACTTAATAAAGCATAACTTGTCGTCTGCAATTCCAAATAGTTCTTTAGGCACTGCTCCACCAGCGATCCGAAGCTTACATTCACTTCATGTTTTGAGATAGCGTGGAATATTACATTAGAATGCATACGCTTCGGATCCTCGTAGGAGGTCTCAAGTTGCTATTAACCTGCTTATCCAACAAGGCATCGGCATCTTATACCTCCACACGGACCTGCACGTCTGTAATATAGCTCTTGAACTTGCGAAGGTTGACTCTCTTCTCGAACCTATGGATTGTCAGCATCCAAATCCAATGTTTATGAATATCGACTCACATCTCATCAATCTCAGCCGGTGTACGACGTGCTACCTCAGGGAGCAAGAACCACGCAATAACAACCGAAACTGCGCCAGTCCCAGCGAAGCTACGGAGTATCAGTCGGGTTCTAGAAGTATGGGGCTATAAAGAACACTTACAAGAACCCTGTTTTGACGCCCCACTTCGCAGTCCCATTAATCATCAAAGGTGTGCAGAAGCTGAACATAATAGCAATGAGGTTCGAAAATGCGAGGGCCCAACCAGCTGTTTGAGCTCGCAGCCGCTGGGTAGGAATTTCAGCAGCGTATGCATAGCCTATTGCCGATGCACCAGTTGTTGAGAATGTTGCCAGACAAGCGAAGAACACCTGAGGTTGAGTCAGCAATCATTTAAGGGCACCAGGTAAAGGTTATTGGATGGATGCTTACTAGTAGAGAGCTTGTATCTCTCTTCGTGTAGTCAAAACATCCGACTATACCGAGGGCAAGGAGGGAGAGAACAGTGACGCCGTAGGGGTAAACGGTAAGTGGTCGACGACCGAAGCGATCAGTGAGTGTCGAGGTGACGATCATGGAGAGAATCTGGACACAACAAAGGATGACGGTGACGAGGAATGGGTTCTTGTTCCCGGCAGCCTGGACTAGAATGGGGTTCAGTTGCTGCTATACAGAGAAAGATGGCGCGGTACTTACAGAAATATGTCGCGTAAGTGTTGAAGACACTCAGACCAACAAATTGCTGAGTCACTTTGGGCCACGAAGCGATGATGAAGCGAATGAGGTTGCGGCCCTCGAAAATCGCCCATTGTCCTTCTTCCTTGTTAAGCTCGGCAGTGTAACGCTCCATATCGATTGTGGCAGTCATGACATCCTTTGACAAATGTCAGCAAATTTTTGCAGGAAGAAAGTTTTCGGCATCTTGTGGAGTACTGACAATATTTTCCTGGACGTTGTAGCCTTCAATGTGGCCATTGAACCTGAGGAGGATCTTCTTGGCTTTGTCGAGTTTCCCCTTTCCGGCGAGCCACCAAGGACTTTCTGGGAGGAGGAGAAAAATTACCAGCATGACGCCAACCATACCCCACTGTCAAAGATGAGTCTGTGGTCTCCACTGGGGTTCCGTTTCTTACCTGAGTGTAGATCGCAGCACGGAAGTCGTATGGATCACTTGCATTGAGTCTGTTGAGGGCGACAGAGCCAAGAAGTTGACCAATGACAAACCAGCTAAGTTGGCGGCGATATCAGCAACACTCTCTAGCGGCATATGAAATTGGTGCAAGACTCACAAGCTGTATGCATTGATGAGGTATCCTCTCAATTGAGTCGGCGCCATCTCCGAGAGATAGACGGGCATAGTTGCTTGTAACATTCCCACACCAGCGCCCGAGAAGAGCTTAGCAACAAGCCAGTGATCCCATTTCGTTGCAAATGACTCTGCAAAGATACTCTGAAAATGTGAGAGGTGTCAATTTCGGGATCACATTTACGGAACAGTAAACACGCTGATAGGAGGACTGACCGCTGCGAGGAAACACCAGAGGATGAGAAGGGCTGGTTTCCGACCGAGTGAATTGGTCGCATATTGAAGAAACTGCGACATGTTAGAATGGGCCGAAGTAGAGCTTGGAGATCTCACGATCTGTCCGATGGTTTGACCAGCGGATTGTATTCCTCCCCAAGCCGAGACGTATTTCCCCAGGATGATCTTCGTACCAGGACTCGCGAATTGTCGAATGAAGCCTTTGTTTGACACAATACCGCCGTTCAAACTGATCTCTATTCACCACGACAAAAGCGAATTAGCACATTGAGATCTCCAGGAAGAGTGGAAATTATTGATAGAGCGAACTTACGATACCCATCCAACGATGCGCTGAACGCTGCAGCCATGCCTACGAACGTGATATACTTGTGTCGTCCGACGCTTTCCCAGATACCCAGGTCGTCAGACTTCAATCGCATCTGTGGTGCCTCGTGCTTCAAATCCTCGACCTGTTCGGTCTCGTTGCTATGCTCGACAATGACATTTTCTTTTGTCCCTTGCTCGGATTTGGTTTGCGGGGCAATAACGTGCAAGTCATGGATTTCCGCTTGAGGATTCGCCATGATTGATGTCGATAGATATAGAGCTCGGAACAACAACAAGAGGGCTTGGATCTGATTTAAAGGTTCCACGAAAGCTTGCAGGTGCTATCAAGCGCGAGATGCAGATCACAGCAGATCCATGGGTTTTTTATACGAAGTACAGGTGAAGTACTGTTGCAGTCCCTGGACCCCCGATTTCCCCGGGTTGCTCCCCATAGTTGATTGACCCCGCAGATGGGGGACCCCAGACTACCTGTATCTCCGTACTTTAGCTTCCAGGAAATCTCACCGCAGCGGAAGTCTCGCTTCGGGTTCTGGACCCCTATTCACGGATGATTTTCGGGACATCTGCTGGCGACTTTAACTTATGTCTACGTTGGATACGTGCGATCTAAGATCAATAGTATCAATTTGAACGCGGTTTACACGCGTTCTTTACGAGTATGAGCACGGGTCAGTTGAAGTCCAAAGAGATGCGTGGCTACTTCCTCGGTACCGGCTCCGAACCCTAATACAGGCTAATGTGGCACAGTGATGGCCTATTGAGCGGCCCCACAGCAACTTTCTGGCGCTCAAATCATATGATAGTGCTCAATGGCTCGCATGTAGATACCCCGATCGCAGCTTTGCTTCTCTTTGATTTCCACGAACAAAAAGGCATGATATTGATAGCTGGTCTTGAAAGATTGTCTCGGCTCAAGTCCCGAACTCTGTTTCTCCTACCCATTGCGAGCACCCTTAGGTCCCAGAGTCATGGTCCCGGGATATCAATGACCAATCCAAGCCTTGCATCAACTTTGCGCTGAACAAAGACACGAACATATCTCACAAGGAGACAACGCCCGCGGCTTTTGACTCGCGAGTAATCTTCTGCATCGATTTTCTGAAGATTACAAATCTGTTCAACGAAGATGAATTCAAGTACGATGGTTTCGGCAGAGGAGCAAACGGTATAGTTCAAACCCCCTTCTCCAAGAAATTTCCCAACGTACTTAATCATCTTCGTAGACCATTAACCAGCTGAATGCTAACTGGATCTGGATACCTGATTGGATAGACAGCTCAATCAACAACACGGCAGGACGAATCGTAACTTTCACTCGCAATTTCAGCCTCAACTCCTCGCCTACAGAGGTTCTTTTGCACTTCTCAGCAGATACGCGATATAAGCTGCACGTCAACGGGACAAGGGTCGCCGTTGGACCAAGCAGGAGCAGTCCATTGATCTGGTACTATGATACGCTCGACATTGCACCGTACCTCAGCGAAGGCGATAATGAGGTCAAATTCACGGTTATCCGATATTTCGCATCTAGTCGAACTGCGATGCCATTTGAGCGATCATCGTTCCCAGGTTTGACTGTGGTTGGTGATATCGTCTCAGGCGCAACGACTGTGGATCTATGCTCGAGTAAAGATTGGATAGCTCAGGTCGATGGTAGTATACGTTTCCCTATAGGGTTGGTCGATGATGGATTCTTGCATGTAAAATTATCGTTCAAGATTATTTTCATGTGATACTGACTACCTGTTAGATCGTTGAGCGAGTTGCTCCCACGCCTCCAAGTTCGCTACTCGTGCCGAAGCAATATAAAATGAGAACAGCAAACGGTGAACTTCTGCCTTGGCGACTAAGACCACGTCCAACTCCTATGCCAGAGGAAAGTCGCGCAACAGTAAACGTTGTTCGGAAATGCCAAAGCACCGTCTCCATGGAGGATTGGACAACTTACCTATCCCAAGCTAGTTCTCTACACCTTCCAAGCAACTCTTCCCACATTCTTGAATTACAAGCAGATAATCACTCAACCGCTTTTGTGAAATGGACTTTCAAGGCTGCCAAGCAATCTCAAATCCATCTCAAAGTCACATACTCAGAAGGGTACGAACTTGAACCTCGCTCGTATCCCTTCTTCCGTCGAAAGGCGGATCGCTTGGATGCCGAGAATGGTCACTTGCTAGGTCCTTTCGACGAGGTCACGTTGGATATCCCGGAGAATCAACTGGTCAGCTATGAGCCGTTTTGGTTTCGTACATTTCGTATCTTACGGCTCGAAATAACTATAGGCTCTGCGCCGGTCGAGCTTCTGTCCTTTGAGGCAAAGCAGATTAATTACCCTCTTGCGATCAAAGGTAGCTGGAAGGAACCGGGTGATGAACACAGTGAGAAGATATGGGATGTTTCGATCAGAACAATGCGGAATTGCATGTTTGATGGGTACTCTGATTGTCCTTTCTATGAACAATTGCAGTAAGTTCACCTGCACTACTGATGTAGTGAGGAGAAAGCTGATTTATTTCATAGGTATTCTGGCGATACTCGATCAGTTGCCTTATTTCACTACCTTCTCAGTGGCGATGATAGGCTAATGCGTCAGGCCATTTCTAATTTTGCTGCCTCGCTCACGTTTGAAGGTCTCACACAATCACGATTCCCTTCACACGTTCCTCAAGTCATTGCTGGCTTCTCCTTGTATTGGATTCTTCAAGTCTGTGATCATCACCTGTTCTTCGGAGACAAGGTGTTCTCGAAGTCCTTCCTCCCTCGAATTGACGGCGTGTTAGATTTCTTCGATTCGCATGTTGATGAACTGGGGCTCATCAGCGGTCTACCTAAAGATGTATGGCAATATGTAGATTGGGTCACAACATGGGGCGCAACAGACGACCACCCTGACAAAGGAGTACCTACCTCGGGCAGGAAATCCAACCGACACACATACTTCAGCATGCTCTACGCCTACGTCCTACAACAAGCATCCATTCTACTCCGCCAAGTCGGCCGACCCGCTCACTCAACCGAATACGAATCTCGAGCCGATGCCCTCCTAGCCGCAATCCGAAAACACTGCTACGACGGCCACTTCTTCACAGACTCCACCGCCAACATCGCAGATAACCTCGCCTACTCCCAACACTGCCAAGTCTTCGGCATCCTCTCCGGCGCCGCGCACCCACAAGACCGCGCTCGTCTGATGACGGAATCATTCGCGGACCCCCGCTTCTCGAAATGCTCCTACATGATGAAATTCTATGCCTTTCGCGCCTTCGCACTAGCAGGCGACGACGTCTACGAGTCCTTGTGGCAGAAGATGTGGGAGCCGTATAGACGGATGTTGGCTAATAATTTGACGACGTGGGAGGAGGATGATGTGAGGCAACGATCGGACTGTCATGCCTGGGGGAGCGTGCCGATTTATGAGTTTTGTACGGAGTTGGCGGGATTAAGGCCGCTCGAGCCGGGGGCGGAGAAGGTGCTGTTTAAGCCGAGGCTGGGGTTGAGTGGGGAGGTGGAGGCGAAGGTTGCCCTTGGAGGAGATAATGTTGCGGTGGTTAAGTGGGGGAGTGTGGATAGTGGGAGGAAGAGGGTGGAGGTGAGGTTTGAGAAGAAGGTTGAGGTTGTAAGTCGTTTGCCGGGTGGGGAGGAGGTTGAGCATGGGTTGGTGGACCAAGTTAGTTTGGTGTATGATCCTTGATATATTTGAGAATATGTGAATCAAAATTAAGAGAAAGTAGAGAGTTAGGGTGGACTCTACCTGACAATAAAACCACATCTGAATATTTTCTTGTCAATGATTTGAGTTACTGGCTGTTATTCAAGACGACACAATGAAGGCAAAATCACAATGAATCATCACCAGCTGCTACATAGATTACCAAAATAACTCGATGTTCCTACAGGAATGCTTTGAATAACACGTTCAAGCTCCAGACTCCCAAGATTGAAGGTACAGTCCTTGAGAAATAGTCCAATACCCAGTCCAAACAAAATATGTGCTGAAACGCCACACCTACCACGTCTGCGGCCACATCTCAACAATTGGCCAAGGCTGTTTCTTTGATTCATGGGCATGCTTCAATCTAGAGATCACCGAGAATTCATCCAAACAGGTATGTGGACGCGCTTGCTCGCAAGTCATCAGCCCATCTCTCGATGATGAATTGAGACAACGTCGAATCATGGCAGAGCAAGTACGCGCTCGTCAAGAAGGAATAAGACTGGCGAGGAAGAAGAAGAAAGAGAAGGAGTGGATGGTGCTCGTTTTGGTGGTGATGAGGTCTTTTATGTTGGTGTGGATTTGGGATGCTGTGAGGCTGGGGAATTTGGTTGCATGGGTTGTTGTGTTTGTTGGTATGGTTATTCGGAGGGTTTGGAGGTTTTGTTTGTAGAGGGTTGGTTTTGGGATTGGGATTCAGAGAGGGATAGGGTGTTATTGTGGGAAGCGATTCAATCACTAGTAGTGAATAGTGGTAGAGAGTTCATAAATGGCCAAGGAAAGTAATCTTCCATAACAATCTCAAGACATCCAACTGGTGCATGAGATCTTCCCAAGCATTCCAGTCTTTCACCAAACTTTCGCCCGAACACTACCAAGGTAGACATCCTTCACCTTGTAAATTCTCTACAAACACAATGTGCGAAATCATCCATAGACGCTGCGCCTGCGGCCACATCTCCAAAACACCCGAGACGTGTTACCCTTTAAGAGGAAAAGTGGCTTACTACTGCGAGCAACCTTCCCATGTTTGGGGGAACCACTCAACGGAGGCTTGTAGTAGGAGTTGTCCACAAGTTCAAAGACCAAGCGAGGAATCCGATTTACGAAGAGAAAAGTCGATAATGGAGCAGCTTGAACGAGTTCGCGAAGAGGAAAGGAGGTTGGCTGAAGAAGAAGCCGTCAAGCGATTTGAGACGCAGGTTTGGGGCCTTCTGGTAACCGTTTTCTGGTCCATGGCTTTTATCACTTGTCTATTGATGATCTATAAGGCTATTCTTCTTGTCCACAGGTTTGCTCTTGGCATGTTGTGGGTAGAGAATTTGTGTACATATTTGAGAAGCACTATGTCAGGATATATGGGTGTCATAGGTTTGGGGTAGTGATGATAGAGGCCCTTTATCTGGCAGATGGCCAAAGCTACAGACTCAAACTCTTAATCAGTTGATCTTTGGTTGGCCTCGAAAACAAAAGTGCTCTGTCTCAAGAACTGTAGGCGGCATAGAAGTAATTCTGTTCTTCTTCAGCCTCTACTTCGTCTCAATAACTCCTTCTCCCTTATTCATTTAATCCCTTCCATCTCACAGCGAGAATTACGGAGATGCAGGGAGCACTAAGGTACACAAGCTATACTAAAGTAGGCATGCGTAGGTGAGTAGTAGTGAGGTGGGCAGTAGTGAAGTGAAGTTCATAAATATAACTCAGGTAAATTGAGTTGATCCGAACTACTAAAAGAATGAATCTGGTTTACTTTGCTTTACTTGAGAAGCTTCTTGGATGAATCCTTCCTTTTTATGAATTACTAGACAAATCACAGTTTCTGAGCATTCTGATTAACGGTCAGCCGCAAGCAGTGAATCGATGTAGAAAGTTTATAATAGTCAAAGAAAGTATTTTTCCACAACATCCCCAAAAGATCCGACTAGCTCTTGGCATCGCTCCAAATCTCCACTCTCTACACAAATTCTGACTAAAGAGAACACTTAAACATCGCTTAGTCGCCCACTCACTCCCAAACTCAAGTTAAAGATGTGCGGGGAACACACCATCCACTTCATCTGCGGACACACCACCACGACCAGACCAAGATGCTTCGACATAGACCGCGGCCTTGAATGCAATTTACTCTGCCACCTCAAAACCCATCTGCCGAGGTCTGCAGCGCAACTTGTCCTCAGGTTATGACGTTATCCAAACAGAACGAGATGACGGAGCAGCGGATCTTGACCGAGATGTGGCGAGCGAGGCAGAGAGAGCAGCGGATGGAAGATATGAAGGTCTATTACGGGGTCCTGCTCTTTATATTGTTGAGTCCTTTTATATTGGTACTTGGGATCTTTATATTGGGGCGTGGGATCGTCGCGTTCGTGGGCCTTCTTCGTGTTGGAATCCTGTTTCTTCTTGAGGTGTTGGTGTTGGCGTGGAGATTGTGTATGTAGGGACTCGGAGTCGGGTAGGAGAACTTGCAGCAGTGTCTTTTATGAGAAAAGGCCCATACTCGCAAGCGGTCGGCGATGAGTTAGCGGCCTGAGAGAAGATGAGAGGTCAGGTGGGGGTAAGGATGAGGAGTACATTCAACTAAGGAGACCTGACTTTATACCCATTACCGTATTGAGCTAGTTTACAGTTTGTCCTAAGAACTGTAGAGAGCATAGGCATGATGCCGTTGTTCGAGTGTGTTCTACCAAGCTTCAACCTTCACCAGGATCCCACATTCACTATGTTTACGGGCTCCATAACTCATGAAAGCACTTGGCATTCGACGCTCTTTGCTGAAAACCTTTTCATCTGTGTTGAAATGAGCACGCATTCTGATAGTGCTGAAGGAATTGAGTCCGAGATAGTCCAGAAAGGGGCTCGCTTAGCTCTCTTGTACTGCAAGATTCAAAAGCCACCAAAGAATCAGAAACGATCAAAATCGGATCATCGTGACAATGGACGATTGTCCAGTCACCTGAACTGCGAACGGGGTAAAGAATTAGTTGAGGCAACCGAACTCGGAGACCCATTAACAAAACCATCCCCACTCTACTCTTTGCTCCAAACCAAAATCACAGCACGTGCTCCCTAAATCCCCCCCCTTCCCTTACAGCACGCCGCATCTTCTGTACAACCCAAAGCCGATCACACGCCCCTTCCTAACCTATCCACAAACTGCAATGACATCCCCACCCCAAACCACAACATCTTGCCCCACCAGCACCACCAATCACACAACTTCCGTCTCGCCCCCTGCATACCGCTATCTCGTAAAATGCGGATCAGATTAGATGGATAAGATATGGCTATCTTGGCTATCGCCCCACTCTGCTCCCCAGGTGCTACTTAAGGGTCCTTAGCCCCTCTTGTGATTCGACCATTTTCTTGCGCGCACTGGAAGGAAGAGACGATGATGGATGAGAAAAGAGGTTATTTTGAGCTGAGGGAGGAGAGAGTTGACCTGAGGAAGAGAAAGTGGAGGGGAGTGGGAATCACGATTTTGTTGTTGTTGTTGCTTGGGGTGAGTTTTTGGGGGTCGGGGGCTTGGACGTGGAGGGATGGTTGGGTTTATGGGTTCGGGGATTCGAGGGATGAACCTGAAAGGGAGCATACGTCCAAGACGGTGTTTTCTTGGAGCCAGGTATGTTGTGGTCATTTTCAAGTTACGATTGAAATTATTGATAAAGGGTAATAGATTACACCATCGAAAGAACTCGAGTACACGCCTTGCTTCGACGATTTCCTATGCGCAAGACTCGATGTACCTCTGAACTGGAATGCAAGCGACAAAGAAGGTGAACTGAGAGCAGCTGTCGCAATCGTGAAAGTCCCAGCTAGAGTACCAGTCGCCGATCCAAGATATGGCGGGTCGGTGTTGATGAACCCAGGTAAATACCTCTTTGTCAAGCACTTTAAACACACTAAACATTATCACAGGAGGACCAGGAGAATCCGGCGTCAATCAAGTCCTCAGCTCAGGAAAACAAATGCAAACCATCCTCGACTCACCACTCCCGCTCTCAGAACCCAGCAACGGCAAGTATTTCGACATAATCGGCTTTGATCCCCGAGGCGTAAACAACACCACACCTCGTCTGAGATGTTTTCCAGATGCATTCAATCAACAGTACTGGCTGCTGAAGTTCCCGGATTATTCATTTCTCTGGGATTATAGGTCAGTGCTGGGAATGGAGTGGGCGAGAGCGGAAGCGATGGGCGCGAGTTGTCAGAGGGAGGGTGATGAGAGTGATATGGCGCGGTATGCGAATACGGCGCAGACGGTGAACGATATGTTGGAGTTTGTGGAGAGGCATGGGGAATGGAGGGAGAAGATGGCGGAGTCCATTGTGACGAGTGAGGGAATTTCTGCTGCGGAAAAGAAAGACATCGTTGAGCGCACGGCGTGGAAGAAAGGTAATGAGAAGATCCAATACTGGGGTATTAGCTATGGGACGCTGCTTGGCCAGACCTTTGCTGCCATGCATCCAGATCGCGTACACAGACTTGTTATCGATGGAGTGGTTGATCCTGACGATCATTATTCTGGCACATGGCTCACTCAGCTGCAAGACTCGGATCAGATTGTGACCAAGTTCTGCGAGTACTGCTATGAAGCCGGACCAGAAAAATGCCCACTCTGGACTGGGACCTCCGGGAAAGACGTCGAGATACGACTTACCAGAATCATGGACGACTTGAAAACAAATCCTATCTCCGTGGCAGCAGTTGGTCATTACGGCCCCGAAGTCGTTACATGGGGAGATATGCTCCTGCACTTACTCAGCGGAATGTTCTTCCCATACTCATCCGCCGAACTCTTCTTCGACATGCTTGCCGAACTCGAAGTCAGGAATGGAAGCCGAGTCGGGAAAATGAAGCAATCCGGTGTACGTGCAGCCGAAATCCCCGCAGAATGCATTCGAGATGGCCCATTCTCCGACGCTTGCGTGACCAGTCATTATATCTCTGGCATGGGAAGTTTCCAGTCCATCTCGTGCATGGATATTGCGGGTAGGAACAATATCACGAAGCAGGACTTCCGGGAGTACGTCGTGGAGTTGAGAAACCAGAGTAAGTGGTTGTATACGAGCTGGGCGAGGAATAAGCTTGCTTGCTTGGGGTATACGGTTCCTCCTGTCTGGTTTTTCGAGGGTCCGATTGCGGGAAACACTTCTCATCCGTTGCTCATTATTGGAAATACGCATGATACTGTGACACCGTTGAGAAAGTAAGTTCTTTGCTACCGCAGGAGAAGCGGTGCATTTGAGGCTGAGTTTGACTTGAACGCAGCGCTCGTCGAGTATCAACACTTTTTCCAGGCTCAGCTGTCCTGCACCAAAATTCGCAAGGAGTTCGTGCCGTGGATCTCGACTCTCATGCCCAAGGCTAACATTGTGGTAGCATTGCTCGTACTCAAGTCCATCACTTTGCACTGGCAAAACGGTACGGGAATACTTTCAAACGGGCAAGACACCACCGCCAGATACGGTCTGTGAGCCAGAATGGAAGCCTTTCATAGGCTGCTTGAAGAAGGATACGAACGGTGATTGCGAAAAGCTCAATGCAGATGACCAGATATTGTGGGATGCGATGAAAGGCGTGGCAGAGGTATGACTATAAAGAGAATACTATGAATAGAAGCTAACATCGAGACTAGTGAGAACGTCTCCCTCATCAACTTGATTTATCTTTGTGCGCATGGCGATTTCCTGATTTTATCGATATCCAAACACTTCCTTACGACTCATGACTGCACGAAAATAGCAAATATCCAAGACCAAAAAGCGATGATGATTCTTCTTCCACAGTCAAAGCACAAGGCATAACGAAATAGAACAGCAGTGATGATGAGCACTCCATAGAATACCATCCATATACCCCCTCTGCGTCGTTTCAGACACTTTTCAATAACAAGATGTCGTAATCTGATCGCCCGCTACGCTGGTGGCGGCGTGGCTAGCGAGACACTTGGTTCGGATTCAGCCTCAACCGTCATGTCTATGCCGTCCCAGCTGCATGGCTAGGCGTTCTCCATTCTTGCTAACCACTCACGAGCTTTATCTACGAGCCGTCTTGGCGTCCCGTTTGACATTTTGCCCATCTTGAGGAGTGAGGCCAGCCATTTTCCCGTGTCTGAAGATCTTTTATTTTTTGGGGGTGTGAAAGATGGTGTTTTCTCTTCTCGTTTTCTATCCATACCTTTTTCGTTTTCTGCTTCAATAGAAATTCGAATTCAAGATGCCAAGAGGCCGTCCCGTTAAGCATCACTTCGTGGCAGCGTTAGGAGAGTTCGTGGGCACGTTTCTATTCCTCTTCTTCGCTTTTGCTGGGACGCAGACGGCGAACGAGTCGACGTCTACTTCGACTGCTGATACGGGGCCTAATCTGCTGCAATTGTTGTATATTTCTTTGGTCTTCGGGTTTAGTCTCGCGATCAATGTTTGGATCTTCTTTAGAGTTAGTGGCGGGTTGTTTAATCCTGCGGTAAGCATCAGGAAAAGTATATGGTGAAGTGAAGACGGCTGACGAGAGACAGGTTACCTTGGCACTGTGCATAACGGGCGTCGTCCCAGTTCTACGATCGGTTTTCACTTTTATAGCACAGATCCTAGGCGCCATTGCCGCGGCTGGGGTGGTCAAAGGTCTTATTCCGGGATCTGGTGTTCTGTTCAATGTCGAATTGCAATCAGGGATGAGTATTCCACAGGGACTGTTCCTGGAGATGTTCTTGACGGCTGAGCTTGTGTTTACGATTCTCATGCTGGCTGCTGAGGTGAGTGGATGTCGATTTGCTCGAGGGTCATGCTAACGGGATGCAGAAAACGAAAGCTACCTTCGTGGCACCTGTTGGTATCGGTCTTGCGCTGTTCGTTGCCGAACTTGTCGGGGTTTATTGGACGGGAGGTGCTTTGAACCCAGCGAGGGCATTTGGACCAGATGTCGTGACGGGAAAGTTCAACGGCTATCACTGGATCTACTGTAAGCCCAACCTCCATATTCCCTTCCTTGGGAACTCTCACTAACCCATCACCAGGGCTAGGACCCGTCCTCGGCGCCCTCCTCGCAAGCAGTTTCTACGCTCTGATCAAATACCTGAATTACGAAGAAGTGAACGGCGACCAGGATAAATCGCAAGACGAAGAGCATATCCTCGATATAGTGAGGAAGAATACGGATCCGGGTCCGAAACCATCGAGTCGGCAGGGTCCGAGGGGATCGCATCATTCGCATAGGAGTCAGCGTTCGAATAGGCCGGGGAGTGGACATCAGCAGGGCCAGGGGGAGCCGACGAGGCATTATCAGGAGTATGAGAGGAATAGGGATGGACCGCATCAGGTGTAGGGACGGAAGGAATTCCTTTACTTGGAATAAAAGACAGAAAGTCAAGGATGGGGGCGCGCTATTCGGGTCAGGTTAGGACATCACCATACGAGCAGACATAGACCAATCTCAAGGGTCAAAGGGATCTTTTCGGTTACTGTCATTCAGAAAAATAGCTCCCGACTTCGATTTCTAGCATCTGCATCTGCGCCATGCTGCTCACCAAGCTCCTTCGACTGTACTTGCATCGCCAAGTTCATCTTGCTTTACGCATCAAAGGTTTGGGGTCCATTTGCGGCGAGGTGATAGCTCATATCGAAAACAAGATAAGAAGGGTGAAATTGTCAATAGGGAACTCAAGAGCTGATGTGCAAAGGAAAAAAAGCGGGCGAAAATGTATGGGTCGCTTCACTTGACGTTTCTTAAAACAGCTCTTAGCTCTTCATAAAGCTGGAGCTTAGTCTAGGTCCATTTTCATCCCAAAAATCATGCAGAATTTTATTAAACTTTGGGTCCTTGTGATGTATTTTCGTTCTGCGGTAGTACCCTGCCCCAGAATCTCCGAAACCTCTGAGTCTTCCCAAATGCCTCTTCGCCTTCTCTCTTGCTACACAGAACCCATACTAGACGTGGACCGCGAGCATCCTCGGGAATGAAGATGCTGAGTTTGTGAGAAGGTGGATGATCTGGGAGCTTTTGCAGATCGATTTGTGCACTGGCGAGTCCGTTTGTTGGCACTCGATGGAGCATTAGGCGATTGAGCGGCAGGAACTGCAGTCTTTTGCGTTGGAAACCTTGCAGATTGCACACTTGGACAATGGTGATGAACTTGAGTTTCAGTACTGGAAAGTAAGAAGATGAAAAATAGAAACAAAAGCGTTTGAAAAAAAGGAGAATAGGATTATAGGAAACAAATGGATCAAAGCCCATGCTCAAATGGGTCTTGATGTTGCGTAACATGGTCAAGCCGGAAAAGCATGCAGGCGACCTCAAAAGATCGAGGGGCTACGAAGCATACTTCAATCTTGTCCATACCCTGATGCCAAGAAGTTGAAAAGCAGTTCAATTTCCTTTTTGGGGTAATCTTAGCATTCAAAATCAAAACAGAACATGAACGGCGATACCTTTGTGCCATATTACTTAACAGAAGAATTATAGCATTACAATTGTATGGTATTCGTCCCATGTACCCTATTGATCCATAAAATACACCCTGCCCATCGGCGTGCTGTCCTCATCGTTCTGGTATTCGTGAATCGTATCGTACGGCACTGTAGACTTTGTAGTGCATGTCTCCCAGACGCATGGCTCTAATCTCTCTTGCCCACGCCAGCTCCAACGCCCCAACCATTGCCGACACCATATCCTAACGGTGTGGCACCTCCCAAAGGTCTACCTTTAAGTCTCCTCGGCAACACTACTCCAAAGAACCACATGCCGCTTCCAACAGCACCAGCCATTGCACTAATAACGCAGTAGAAGAAGGTGCTGGCGTAGAAGTGTCCTCCAATACCAGCCCATTCAATCTTGCCATTCTCTCGGGGAAGATGCGGTGTAGGAAACCATCGGATAGAGAACTGAAGCGGCAGAGGATCGCCAATAACTAACTTCTTTGTCAATGCTGCCGGGCCTGTGATATGTGATAATGGCGAAGTGCTGTATGCCGCACCAGAGTCAATCACTCCGCTATCATGATGGTGCAAATGGTGCTTCGGCTCGCTGTGGAGCAAGATGTTGAGATGGGTGGAAATGTGTAGGTGGGAGAGTTGAAGCGTTCCAGCAAGCGCAAACACCAGAGGAACAAACTCCTGTTGAAATTCGGGAGGAATATGGGTTTCGCCGCCAGGGAGGATATGTGCGGGCGGACGGGATGGTATTCGGCAGGAGAGAGGGGCATCGTTATGAACGTAGAATTCGAGGAGATGGAAGAAAGGATCCGTAATCATGGGGATTGTACAGTTGAGCTCTGCCATGTAGATCAGTATTGACGTAGCGAGGTATCCGAGCAAGTCTTACCATCTTCAATGCCATATTGTAACTCCAATGGCTTGCCCGTTTCTTCGCAGATGGGGAAAGGGATGTATTCGAGTTCGTTCTTCTCGTTGGAAATGTGCTCACCAGTGTCACTATTGAAATGTTGGTTAGCTGTTGCCCAATGATCTGTCCTGTCTCATTCCACCTCGCTGAAAGCATTTCCTGTGTAGGCGCCCACTCACATCGATCTGTTCAAACAAGTAACCGGTATCTTCGCTCCATAGTGGTAACTTGGCATGGGGATCTTGGTGTGTTCCTCTCCTCCGGCTCCAGTCGCAAAGGCCAGCGCAACCGCGGCGACTGTCAACATCGACCCCAAAAGGCCTTTCCTCCGATCTCGCGCCATGTCTTCTGTGTTGACTCTCCGTTCGCAAATAGATTATGAGTGCATTTCTTCAGAGCAGATGCACCGGCGCAAAGCTCAGTCGGTGTTGTCGTTGAGGCCAGATAGGATATATTCTTTGGCCAGATATCGCGTCGCGATTAAGCTTATTTTCTAGCGCCACTTCTTGGGATGACTGCTGCTTAAATCTGCACGTGGCAGACGACAACATAATAAACTTTGTCTTCTCGTCCAGAGTACTTGCATTCCGAACTTTTCAGCAGATCTCAACGGATTCCTTCAATTCATTACTATGTGCTTTCGTTCTCTCGATTCCGGCTTGTGCTTTATTAAGCCTGCCAGGAAGCCCGGAAAGGCTTGGTCAGGATGCACAGCAGCTACGTGACAATCCAGCAAGGCTGTTGTCGCTTTTTTCTTTCGGAGTATTTAGCAATGTACTATTAAACTATGACAATTACTGCACATGGAACCTCAGATGCGGCCTCGAAAAGGAGACAGATTTACTGTCGTCTTGAGAAAGTGTGGCATTTCTAGACACAGAACAGAACCACAGTCCGCCCAAGCTCCAAGTCAGCGACGACAAGATGCAGCGCTATCGAGACTACATGGAAGTCAGACATCTGCCATTCCGGAGTCTGGCACCGAAGAGTCTGCAAGTCCGTGCCCTCCAAAGTCTACCATACTCGCTTCCGATATTTGGAAATCTGCTGTCCAAGCGTTGTCTCCCAAGCAGCGGGATGCTTTAGGCTTCGACGGTGAGATTTACAACTTACAAGATGAAGTTTTAGATCTGGTAGTCACGAAGCAAAGACTTTGCATTGAAAAACAATGGACTATCGAGGTCAGAGGGAAGACTATCGTTCTGCAAGATGTGTCTGGGAGATTACTCCGATGGGTCGACAGGTTCAAAGTTGTGGGAGATCTTGCAAGTCAATTTGATCCCGTGCATGCTGCCCTACCATGGGCCGGCTTTCGCTTTTTGCTTCAGGTCAGTGACCCGTTCATCTTTGGGTCTCCTTATTCACAATAGATAATATTTTAGGTCGTCGTGGATGATGCAGAAACCATGGGAGCCATACTAGCCTCTCTAGAGTCAATAACCCATTTACTTGCACAATGTTCAATATACGAACGTCTATATTTCGCTGTCGACGCACGAATTTACGCTCTCGATGCTGCGACAATCTTGGAAGACTCGATGAAGACGCTTTACACAAAAATACTTATTTTCCTGGCAGAAGCATGCCTCTTATTCGACAAGCATAAAGCGAGTACGTATCCATGTGGCTTTGACGGACTTTTATCCCATGTTACCAAACTAACTTAACCGCTCCTAGTACGTATGGCGACGAGTATATTCAATTCTCCAACTTTCACCACACTCACGAAGGAGATAGAATTACAGGCCTCCGTTGTCTGGCAAGATTCTAATACTGCCGAAAGTACATGTATGCTCTTCGATAGATCCACTGGGCTAGTCTAATCATGTTTCAGATACGAGGAGAAGACAAGATATCTCAGTTTCCCAATCAACCAGTGAACGAGCCGAATTACTATCAATGCTTGCAAATCTGCAGGATCCTATAAGGCACATTGACGAGAAGACGAAAACCATTGCTACTTACGTTGATAGGAAGTCACACCCTTTCTAGGTACATAGAAGCATACTGATCTTGGCAGAATCGGAGAGATTGAAGATCTTACTATGGCTGTCGACACAGGAATACAAACGCCACCACGAGTCGGTCGCAAATCAGCGGCTGAAAGGTACAGGAAACTGGTTATTGAACCATGAGACGTTTGCGAAGTGGAAGAGTTCTACTGCGTCAAGTATTCTCTGGTTACACGGCAAGCGTAATACCCCCGTTCTTCCATATGCTGAACCATCACTGACATTCACAAAACCTCCAGCTGGGGCCGGGAAACATTTCTAGTGTAAGATATAAGATTCCCGGAATATTAAAGTATATGTCCTCGCTAATCGATCTAGATCTCTTGTCGTTGACAATTTCTTGAACAATGAACGAGATCAAGTGGCTTACTTCTATTGTAAATGCAATAATAGTGAACTTGACAGACAGAATCCTGCCATCATCTTGAGTGCGATTGTCAAACAGCTTGCTACTAAGAATTCAACAACAGCTATACAACCAGTAATTATGACTGAATACAAACAGAGAGAGAATGAAGGTTTCGCAAAGGGACGAATCGAAGTACAGGATAGCCTCGACCTCATACTTGAGCTTCCAAAGGTTCTTCCAAGGACGATAATTGTCTTAGACGCGCTTGACGAATGCGACCGCACAACTCGTGAGAGCATGATCAAAGGTTTACACCACATTATTCAATCTGCAACGAGTCAAGTGAAAGTTTTCCTTTCCAGTCGGGACGACGATGATATCGCCTTTTATCTGGAAAGAACTGCAAACCTTCGCATCGATGCTAGGGACAATCGTGCTGATATCAATCGATTTGTGGAGATCGAAATAGAGAGATGCATCCAAGATGGTAAACTGCTCAGAGGACGTCTTGAAGCTAGTCTTGTCGAGCGAGTGATCAAAACATTGCAATGTAGAGCTGATGGAAAGTAAGTCATCGTCGCCAGCGAAGCTTTCTCCTCATTTGAATATTAACACTGTCACCGAGATGAAAATTTATCTAATTCATGGCAGGTTCTTGTGGGTCGACTTTCAAATCAGACACCTTTGCATGATGAGCCATAAATCAGACATCGAAGCTAATCTTGGGAAATTGCCCAAGGGCCTGAAAGACATGTACTTGGTAATCTGGAGCGACATCCTTGGAGAGGCTGGTACCGGTCCCGAGATCGCCAAAGTCGCACTGATGTGGATATTCTGCGCACGCCGCCACCTATCTTCGGATGAGTTGATCCGCCTAGTGTCACGTACAGTATTTAAAGCAAGCTCGGAGTTGCTAGATATCGAAACTTTGCTTCGACTCACACATAATCTCTTGGTGTTCGACGAAAGATCCAACCATGTCCGATTCGCACATTTGTCCGTGCTTGAATTCCTCGAAGATATTGGATTTGAGTGGACGACAGCACATGCGATGACTAGCGAGACGTGCTTGTTTTCGTTGCTGGATCGAGAGCTACCATCATCAATGATTCATGTCCCAAATCACAAGAACCCTCGGCAACATTCATACGAGTGTAGGTACTGGCCAGAACATCTAGAAGGATGTATTCTCTACAGCCCCGCCTTGACAATCTTGCTGAACAAATTCTTAACCCTTCTATCAAAATCCCCAGCAATCAGGAAATTGCAACGCTGGACAGATCTCGAGTTCGAAGACATAGTTCTCTCGCATCTAATGCTGGCACTGGCGTGGTTTGATCCAATTGGACTCGCAGAGCAGAATACACAGTTTGCTATCTCTTCCCAAGCCCTTGAGCAGATTCAAGAACTGTTTGTGTTTGCTTCCAGGCGGGGGCGGTTGACCGCTGTGAAGCTACTATCGGAACTTCCTGGCGTCGATATCAATGCCAAGGATAAGTGGGGCCGCACTGCGATGGTGTATGCAATTGACAATGGTCATCTAGACACCCTAGAATACCTCATAGAGGTAATGGAGAAGGATTCTACCAGTGCAAGTTGGGACTCATCCTCATACCTCATGGCTGCTGCCAGGCAAGGCTACTCCAAAATCGTTTCGAGGTTGATAGACTCCGGAGCAGACATCACTGCTGAGACCACTAGTGAGTCCACCGCACTAGCATATGCGGCGAGCAATGGACATCTCGAGACCGTCGAAATACTACTGCAAGCTTACGAAAAGTGCGAGAAAGATGACAACTCAAATCAGGAAAGGCGCAGCTCAATTCTCCTGCCAGAAGAAGTCTCCAGGTCTGGCTGGGTAGCTTTTCAAGCAGCAGCTAAAAGAGGCCACGAGGAAGTTGTTCGTCGTTTGGCTGATAGAAGAGATGAACTTATCTCTGCTGACTACGACTGGCTTCCGTTCCTACAAGCAGCTTCTGCCGGCCATGCAGCCATTGTTGACTTGCTCCTTGAAAACGCAACATTGGCTGCCGAAGAAAGCTTTCGAGATTTGCAGCAAGATGCTCAGCATGCCGCGAACCAGGATGGGTGTTTTCACCCTGTGCTGGCTCTGCAAGAAAATGAAATTATCTTGACCATAGCAAGAGCTGCTGCGTATGGATCGCCAACAGTGATCGAGCTACTATTGGAATATGATCCAGATCTTGATATCCAAAACTTATTCCTTCAGTACGGGAGATCATCACTTTATGCCGCGATTGAAGACCAGAGACTCGAAACAATCAAATTACTGTTTGCTCAGGGTATTGATGCCGTGTCAAAGACGCATATGGGAATCCAGCAATATATCGTGCTATGGAAACATCACCTTCAGGTGTGATCCGCATTTTGCTATCACATTTATCAGACGTCAACATTACTAATGACAGAGGCAGTACTGCCTTGCACCTTGCCGTGGAATGTGGTCGAAACGACATTGTGGATCTGCTCTTGCGCGAAGCGGTCGACATTACGATAAAGGACATGAATGGACGCACTGCTCTAGACGCGGCGTCTCATTATGGCTACAAGCAGATCCTCGAGACGTTGCTTGCATACAAGACGCGTTTGACAGAATCAAGCTCAAGTGATGAAATTGTTTTGAGTACCGAATGAAAGATTCCAGAACACTAATTATCTCGAACTGCGAAAGTGTTCCTAATATTCTCAAACTCATTGTATTCTCCTCGTCCGCACCTCGCAAACTACCCAACTCCATCCTCATTCTTCACCCCACAGGCTAATGCTAATCTTACCCGCAATATAACGAGAAGTATTACATAACATCATATTTTTTCCTGCTGAAACATTGCTCGCTGATCGCAAAACGTGGATTAAATGACTTTGCACGGCCTGCAACTGACCTGCCTTGCATCAAGGTGATCATATAATTGTGACAATACCGAGCGGAGCAGTTGCCATAAGTCCTGCAAAGACATCCGTGCCGTACAATTCAGTTCCTTCTGACGTCTCCCCGAACCCAATTCTGGTGTATGATCTCACCCCGGGTGTTGATTGTGCGAGTATCAAGGCCCGCCTGTGACCGACATATGCGCATAACACTTCGCGAGTCTTTAATTCATCATCATCATCCATATGTGCAGGGACAACGATTGGCCTGAAACCATCCCAGAATATCAATTCGTGCTCATAAGAGTCTCGTGGGTATAACCCCTCCTGCGGAAAAGGAGTTTTCAATACCCGCGCAGAGATGACTGGGGCGCGTAGCCGAATGTGACCGCCAGTCACAGTCCCAAAGGCATTGGGTCCGCCAATATTGACTTCGGCATCGATGATTTCGCATTCGAACTCAACGCTCTCAACATCTCCAAAGCACTCATTGACATAATGGGTGACGTACTCGGCTTCGGGGATACTGTAATAGATGGCCGAATCCTGAGATGCCCAAGACCACGAAGGACTTCGATATTCTTTAGACTTCGACCCAGGACCGGCTCGATACCACAATAGTCCACTTATCAACGAAGCTCGCCATAGTCCGGCTAGATAATCGTTCTTGTGATTCGAGTACAGAGCCTTTGCTACAGCGCTGATTGCTACCAGTTTATCGCTGCCGTATGTGAGTGCCTTGTGGGAGTACGTTGATACCACTGACATGTACCACAAGTAAGTCAGCTCACCCACGCTCAAACGATAGTCAAGGTCACGTGGAAAGTCTCTTCCCGGACCGAGACTCGCAGGTCCTTCACGGTCAAGGCCATCTTCCGTCTTGAAACAGTGATCACACTGCCAGACAATCTGTGAAGCAGTGTAATGCAAGATCCTAGAAGAAAGAAGCCGTTCTTGCATGACCCATCCTCGCTGCATCAGCGGTCCTGTTTGTATATACCTCTCACGAGGTCCTTTGTCGCAGGATGTGTAAAAGTACAGCTGACCACAACGTCCATCACTCAGTTTACTATCGATTCGGATAAGACTCGAGAATTCTTCAAGATGCGAGGTTGAAGTTTTGTTGAAAGCACCCTCGAGCGCGGATTCGCTTGAAGAGATAGCGACAGTAACGACAGAGCCTCGATATATGCCAGCCATACGACCGCCTTCTTGTGCCCACTCATCTGGGTCGTCTTGGACGATACACAAAGAATCTATCCATATGTATCGCACGCCTAGCCCGTTCGCTATCGAAATCGCGTCGAACAGAGTTGGCGGCAGTTCTGAGAGAGAAAGTCCCCTCATCCGCTCCCTCATATTGGATTTTGTTGTTGTCCAAGTAGGGTTAGATATCTTGCCCCAGCAGTAGCTCAAGGCGATATACTTGCGTCGACGATTTTGTGCTTGTACGAGTCTGACTTCTCCAGGCTTTCCACCATCAGGTCGAATATCGATAAGCCTAGTTGGATTTTCCGGCTTGAGCTTTTTGGGACCTAGTCGTGCTTTCCGACTTATTGTTTGTAGTATACTCCTGGACCTCCATCTTTTCTTCGTATTGTGTTCGTTTTTGCCTGCGTGACACTCATCGAGCCAGCTTTTCGCAATCTTGAATGAATTTTCAGATCGAGTTGATGTTAATCGGTATCTCCACGGCACATCATACTGGATGCCTGGATCATGCTCATCTGTAGACGGATTAGTATGTGCATTCACAGTTCGCATGGGAGTCAAAGAGTATCTCCGTAGACCTAAAACGATTACGTTTGAGATCTAAGCTATGCAGCTCATTTGAAATCTGAGCAGCTCCAGATCTAGCAGGTCTAGTAGATCGGCACCCAAATCGAACAAGAAAAGAGTGCATAAATCAACGTACTGGTGAAATAAAGCAACGGACTATTAAGCAAACGTTAGAACAAAGTGAATCCAAGTGAAGAGAGTTTTCCAAATCAAGAAAATGATTTGTTTCACCATTTCACTTACCGCCCCTTGACGCTCTCGCCACTTTGGACATCAATTATATCAGCCCACAGTTTGCTCAAAACCACTTGAAATCGATTGGACCACGGAAACCTCGGCGTTCCAAAATGGTGACGAAGGAATTCGCAGAACTTGCAACTGCGAACAGAGGCATCCAAGTCAGCAAGACGCAGATGCTTGTAACCAACAGCCAGCCTCTCTGCATTGATACCCTGACAAGCTTCACAAAGCTTCTTCTCCGGATCCACGTCGTTAATCGAAATTTTAGCTTCGTCTACGTTCAATTTTGAGACATCCTCCTCCTCATTGTTTGAGATTCTTGACTCTGGTGACGACGGCCTCGACTCTCCAGATTCTCCCCGCGTAGAGCGAGGAAAAGAGCTCCGTTTCCTCACCCCGTATTCCCTCCATCTCAGACCCGAAACACCACGGGGCCCATACCTCGTGAAAAGTTCACTGTTCTTAGAGCTTGAGGGAGAGTCGTAACTCGCTTCCGGCTTTCTCGACCAGAAATCCTCGGCCATCCATAATGTATCAGGCGAGACGCTCCTCGCGCGACCCCCGAGAAACGTGACTGAGCGAGAGCGTATTGATCCCCGTCTTCGATTGGGTCGCTCGTATTCTGCCCATGCTTCTTCGTAGTTCTGTGAGGGTTGGTTAGAGTCAGACCTATGTCTTGTGGTGCTGGTGGATAACGGACGAGATCCCTGTAATCTCGCGTGACTTCTTCTTCTTGTTCTTCTTCTCCTCGCTCTAATGAATGGGAGGACATTTTTATGCTCTAATGCCTCATCGAACTAATATCCAGTTGATATATACTGAACACGCGATAAGGCGAGAAGTGCATTCTGACTCAGATCTGACCTGATGGAAAGAACACTTTTGCAGCGTACTTTTCAAACCGCTTATATGCCGTTCGGCGCTTTTAAATTTTGAAATAATAATTATAATTAATTATTATTGAAAATTGAATATAAATGGAATACTAAAAATTTCGAATTACGATTTCTTTCTAAAGTTTTCAAAGTTATTATATTCTCTTCGTCTACACTACGCAAACTATTTAACTCCATCTTTATTCTTCAGCCCACAAGCCATTGCTAATCCTATCCGCGACATACGAGAACCCACTCCTCCCATCCTTCCTCTCCTCAATCTCACACGCCAACACCAGCGTAACGGAATAAAGACTTGCATTCAAACAATGAATCTCCAACCCCTCCTCCTTCACGACCGTCATCGCATGATGCAGTATTCTCTCGACGGGAAATGGTCTTGCCGAACGGTACACATCCGGTCCTGATGCTTCCGATGCATAAAGATTCATGATCACGATGTCGACACTTGGTGGCCCGGAATACTGTTCGGACTTTGCATCGCGAAGTTCTCCTGTGAGAGGATCCTCGAATTTGCCATCGACGACTGGACGTTTGGCTTCGTAATCCCATACGCCGCTGTGGAACGATCCATCGGTTGGGACTTTCGCTGGATTTTTTGATTCTGAGGTCTTGGAAATGTCGGCCATAATTGAAGTGTGTGCTTGAGTAGTTCTCGTCCGATGGGATAATGTCTGAGACTTCGGCAGTAATCGCGTCGATTTTAGATGAGTAGTATGATTTTTGATTCTCTATCAAATCTTTGAGAATTGCTTTTTTCGAGATTGAGGGGCAGGTAGAATTGGGAGCCTTCGACTAAAAGTGGTAGCGAGCCTCCTGATTCGTTAGACATCAGGCAGCAGAGGCAACCTAGCATATACCTCATCGCTCGAAAGGCGTATTGTGTCCCAAGGAGGGTAGGATCTCTGCACGTACAGGCTTTGATTTGCGCTGTGTAATATTTCGAGCGCTGGGCATCGATGTAGAGCTGAGCTAGAGATTATTTCGCCCTTTGCATGTCAAGTTCTGAGACTGTCCCCAATTGGTTCAAACATCTTTCTTTCATCGATGGTAACACTTCGTAGAAGCAAATAACAATCAGCTTGTAGCTGAATTTTCGTCTGGTCTGGGCCTATTTCGATGACAGTAATGAGATGAATCGCTGGATCCAATAATTGCGAGAGGATATTCTGTTTATACTGGTCTGGACCAGTATGAGCTAACTGTCAGAAGTTGAGGCTATCTACTTCTTCTCCTTCGTGAACTTCAACCCTTCTTGTACTGCCTCCTGCGCTTTTTTATCCGTTTCCACCTTCTCGGCACTCGGCGTGATGGCCTTGAGCGGCTCAACAAAGTCAATCGCACCCAACATCTTCGTCAACCAGACATCCTGCGGGCCAGCAGCCATCTTTGAAGGAGCACCATGAGAAAAGTGATCACCACTTAAGAACTCATGCGGAAATCCATGCTCGAACCCGTACGCCACATCAATCTCCTCCATGTCCTTATCATCGAGAGCCAACCCCAACGCCTCGATATTTCCCTGAAGATGCTCGACCTTCCTCCCACCAATCAGCGGGAACACATACGGTGCCTTGTGCATGATATACTGCATGGCCACAGCCTGGATAGTTGACTGCTTCCTCTCTGCAACAACCTCCAGCACCTTCGAGGCTTTCTTCTCAACCTCACTAGGAGGCAGCATCTTCCTCCCCGGGTTCTCCTTCTCGCGCTCCTTAAACGCCTCCTCACTCTGAAACATCCCTTTCCCAAGCGTCCCATAAGCCAGTATCCCCATCCCCTCATCCCTACACATCGGCACAATCTCCCGCTCAAAATCTCTCGTAGCAGCGTTCCACAGTCCCTGATACACGCTGAACTGGCGCAAGCCGTGGTCCCGCGCGTATTGGTTGGCTTTGGCGGCTACCCAAGCGGGACTGTCGGAGACACCGAGGTATAGGACTTTGCCTGAGGTGATGAGGTCGTTGAGCGCGAGCATTAGTTCGGGGATGCTGGTGCTGAAGTCGAACCAGTGGACGTAGAAGAGGTCGATGTAGCTGGTTTGGAGCTTCTTGAGAGAGGCTTCGAGGGAGAGTTTGAGGGATTTGGAGCCGTTGCCGCCGTAGTTTGTTTTGAGGATATTCGCTCCTTTGTAGTTCTGGTAGGCTCCAGTGTATTTGGTTGCCTGTTGGAATTAGAACGTGAAGTGCCAAGTGCGGGTAGAGGAGGAGAAGTAGTGATGGTCAAGGGAGAGGCAGGGGTATGAGATGAGGAGGAAACTTACAATGACCATCTCATCTCTGTTTCCTCGAAGGGACATCCATTCTCCAATCCACTGCTCGGACTCTTCATTCTGATATGCATTGGCAGTATCGATGAAGTTCCCACCTTTCTCGTAGAAGTGGTCAAGAATGGCAAAGACTTGGGGCTTGGGACAGGCTCCCATGCGTGATGCCCTAGAATGAGGTACCCATCAGCTTTTGCAAAGAAGCAGATGGGATAGAGTGAACAGAGGTTAACCTCTCAATCACGTACCAAGCTTCACCAAAGCCCATTCCTCCGAGGCAAAGCGGGCTGACATAAACTGCTGCTGTAGGGGCAAGTTGACGGTGTCTGTGGAGCAGAGATCGAGCAGCCATGATGAGATTTTATGTGCGAATTGCAATATCTAGGTGAAGAAGAATAGAGATTTCGATGTGTATTGGAAGGAGAAAATCAAAGCATGTTGGGAATTCAATGGACATATATATAGAGCACGGAGCAACCATAGCATGGAAAGCACCGACACAGGCAACCACATGAGCATTTCAACAGGAACATGTCTAACTAATAAGCGAATCCGACGTATGGAAGATCCTCAACTTGAGGCTTTTTGTATTTGGAAAGCCTCAACAGCCAATCAAGACGCTGCATTTCCGAATGGGCCACTCACGGGCAAGCATTAGTGCTCCCCCTGCTTACGTACATTGCCAAACGCAACGGGGTATTGCATACTTGAGGGTGAACATCAGCATTTAGTAGACCCACTTGAACCGCAACAGGACTGCTGAAGAATTGTGATGAAGCTTTCTGTGTATGATTCTGGCTTGAAGTAAGTATGAAGTAAGTATGAGGAAGAGGAGGAAAGTTTGGATCGTTGTCGGTAGAATTCCGGATACGCTAGCGCTGGAACTGTCGTGACGATTCGCTACTCTACAGCTCAACTGAAACCCAAGACTTTACATCTCATCTCTTTTGATATTCCCTTTCCTCTGCATGCACGCATCACCACGGAAGCAGAATAAAGACCTCCGACACGGCGGACAATCATCTCCAAAACATGGATTCAGGAACAAGATGCAGAGCTGCCGGTGATAAGCAACAATCTCCGGCCAAACTCGAGTTGAGTCGCATGGTGCAGCAAGTGGAAGTGAGGACTTCCGAGGATGATTGGACTGGAATTAAAGATGCTGCAGAAAGGAGGAAGCTCCAAAACCGTCTGAATCAAAGACTTTATCGTGCGTCTTGTCACGTGCTTTCCATTCTCCTAGGAGCTAAGCTGATTTGCTTTAGGTCGAAGACGAGGTGCGAAGCCAAAGGTTGCTCCTCAACAAGGGAAAACCAAGATTGATGCTGCAATACTGGCTATTACTCAGCCCGAGCCAAATCTCAGGGGGGACGAGAAGGAATCTGCCACTTCTGGTTCTTCCAATTCAAAATCTACTACTCTAAGCTCTGGGGATAGCGACTCTAGGAACAGCCAAGTCACCCATCCAAATAGATATCGACTCCGTGAACTCAATCGATCGCAAATCTACGATCTGATGCTTCAATTCGAAGCGAGCACACGACAGGATTATTTGGTCGGCTCTCCACGAACCGACCAGCTCCTCACACTCATCCAATTTAACGTCTTCCGCGCCCTCCTCTCGAATACAGCGACTCTCGGAATATCTTACGAATGGCTCGGAAGCGACGAAGCCATCTCGCCACTGTCCTCTCCAGTCCCAGGCATTAACCCCTTTACACCTGTTTCCCTCCTACCCACCGAACTGCAGAGAACGATAACTCACCACCCGTGGATTGATGTCTTTCCGTTTCCAGCTATGAGGAACAATATGCTGCTCGCGGAAGACCAGTACGACGAGATGGCTCTTTGCAATGATCTCGTTGAATTTTGCACCCTTCCGAATGAGAAAACGGGGTTGATTGTGTGGAAAGATCCTTGGGATCCGAGTGGATGGGAGGTCAGTGAGACGTTTGCTCGACGATGGACTTGGGTGATAAAAGGCTGTCGGGAGCTGCTCGAAAGTACGAATTATTGGAGGCATAGCAGGGGAGAAGGCCCGTTGGTATGGGAAGTGTGAGCATTGATTCTGGTCGGGTCACGTGAACAGTCATATTTTTGGTACCCAGGAATGGAGCGCTTGGTCTTTTGATACCTTGGGATATGAAGATATGAAACCAAGTGGGCAATATTTTGGGGTTGACGATTGCTGGGTCTTCCAAGTGACCTACTGGATGCGCAAGATCAGACTTAGGTAGGGCATCCTGCGCCAACTGCGCTAGTCGCGCTGGATGAGCTGGATGCGCTAAATGCGCTAAATGCGCTGATTGCGCTGAATGTGAGGAATATGCTGCAAGTTTTGAAGCAAGCTTTGAACTGAGAGTCACAACTGAGCTGTTATTCGATCTTTTTGGAGATCCCATTCATTTGGCACGTCTAGGAATGATGGTGACAAGACCATGTGGAATCTTGTGTGCAATGTTCGAGTTTATCACTTCCTTGTTCAAGTCATTCTGCCATTTACCACTTGTTCACGTCCAGGTTGTCCAAGAGAATCCGGCGCTCCAACACTCTCAGCTGCTGTTCATGCTGGCACACATCTTTGCAGTCTTTGAATTTTCTGACTTATTATCGAGTGGCACTTTGATCAACGAGCGTTCCAATTTATATAATTCAAAAACGTTATACTCCGTATCTAGCTTGTCTTCTCCTCGGTTCTTACCTCTCCTTGTCTTACACAACAATTTCCCTACGAGGTGATGCCAAGGAATGCAAGATCCATAGACTCATGTACTGGTACGGTGTGACCAACCCCTGCTGCACTGTATCCTACAAGCTGCGCTGTTGCTGATGTACCATCTCCATAGATAGTCTGGGTGTAGCCACTTTGAGGCGTGTTGGACGCGGTCTTAGACGTCGTCAAGGCAAGCACGTTTGACCATTCTTTCATAGCTTCGGCATCTACAGGTGAATTAGTGTTTGTTATCAAGTAGTCATTGAGCTGAAGGCATACAGTTGGGATAGTGAAGAGTGTTATCAGCCGTTCCGTGCCAGATTTGCATCCTTGGTCGAGGGCCAGTGTAGCTTGGGTAGTATGATCGCACCAAATCTCCCCATTCTTGAGCAGTTTTAGTGAGCTGTCCATTTGCGCACGAATTGGACCATCCTGGAGGATCCTGAGTAGCAGTGGCCCCTGAGACGTAGAAACATCCATCTGGAACACCGGAGTAGGCGGATCCTGCTTTGAATACATCGGGGTAGGCTCCAACCATGACGTTTGTCATCATCGCGCCAGAACTGGTTCCAGTGACGAATGTCCTGTTTGCATCTCCGCCGTAGTTGGTCACGGCATACTTGACCATGTTGACAATGGTCTGGCTGTCTCCCCTTCCATTGTGAGTCAATGCTTTTTCTCGTATCAGTATGTTTTCAATTCAGGTTGCTTGAGAGAGCGACTATCTAGCTGTTGAAGAAACATCAAAGCAGCCACCACTTGATCTAGAGTTCGGATAGATCAAGATAAACCCGTGCGAATCAGCCAAAGGCATGTAGTGAGACTCAGTAGAGTACGCTGTTGCTGATCCTTGGCAATGATGTATCGCTACAACAATAGGTGCCGGAGTCGTCAACTTCTTTGGTAAGAGCTGAGGCCACCGGGAATGGCCCACTTAAGCGAGACGCGGTAACGCGTAAAAATTCTACACCCCATTTTAAAACCCTTACTACACAACAACCCTCTTAGGAATCAGTCCATAATTCAAGATGGAGACACCTCTTATCCTAAGTGATCCTATCGAGAAAGAGAATAATGAATGGCCTACCCCTGCACGTGCAGTCATTCGATCCCTATAGCGCCAGGGAAAGTCGCAACGCGAGATTGTCTCAGAGACCCATATCCCTCGAAGAACAGTACGCCGCATTCTTAAGCAGGAATCTAGTCGGAGAGAG